CCATGCAAGCCAAAGCCCCAACGCGTAGGGTGGTCTGAACTGAACAAGCAGTGGGAAAGCTTGCAAGACAGTGCTATCAATGAGAAGCTAAGCGGTTTTAGCCAGTTAGACTCCAGCTACCCCAACACAGTCTTTGGGGTCCCCAAGCCTTGGCTCTTGCCAACTTGTGCATAATATTTTCGGGAATTAGATAAGCAGGATACATCCCTCAAGGGAGAAAGTGCGCATTCCATTACAACAATCTATCTCTGGGATTTCCATGTGTAGGTGCGATGCATGGAATTCTCAGTTTGATTTGGATACTCTTAAGCATGGTGATGGGTTTCCTCATGTCAGACGCCCGGCTGACCAAGCAAAAAGGCATTCCCTATATAGAAGTTCTTGCATAAATGGTGTACTCCCAAACTCAATGTCCAGCAAAAATGACCACACTGACTAGATGGGTACAGATAAAGAAACTTTATAATAAAATGAATGTACTGTATTTAATGTATTTAAAAATAAACAATGCATAAATGAGGAAGAAACAAACATGATTATGGGAGAGGGGATTAGGAGTAGTGGCTCACGTGCAGTATAACAACAACAAGATTCCATTTATTGAGCGCCTTTCACGTCGGGAGGACGTCCCAAGGCGCTGTACAGTTGGGTCAGGACCCGAGCAGGGGGGAAAAGGTCAGGGTGAGGGGAGGGAAGGGAGGGAGCGAGGAGGGGGTAGAGAGTCGAGAGGGGAGCTGAAGGCACTGTCAAAGAGAAAGGTCTTGAGACCGGCCTTGAAGGAGGAAAGGGAGGAGGCGGCGAAGGCACTGGGGGATAGAGTTCCAGAGCCTCGGGGCTTAGAGGCTGAAGGCCCGGCCACTGATGGTAGGGCGGTTGGGGCGGGGGATGTGGAGCCGACCGGAGCCAGAGGAACGGAGGGTACGGGCAGGTAAGTAGGGGGATAGTAGGTCGGAGAGGTAGGAGGGAGCAAGGCCGTGAATGGCCTTGTAGGTGAGGATGAGGATCTTGAATTCGATCCTCTGGGGGATGGGGAGCCAGTGGAGGCGAGCGAGGGTGGGTGTGATGTGGTCCCGAAGCCTGGTGCGGGACAGTACACGAGCAGCAGAGTTCTGAATGACCTGCAGCTTGTGGAGGGAGGTGCCGGGAAGGCCGGCGAGGAGAGAGTTCCCATAGTCCATAGTATAAATACCGGGCTGGACTGGTCAAGCTGAATGGCCTATTTCTGTGGTGTAATGTTCTGTGTAATTCTATGTACTGTTTAGATAAAGTAATAAAACGTAAATTCCTGGTGACCAGGTACAGTATACCACAGGACTAACTAGATGTGGAGATTATCATTTAGTATTTGATAACTTCAATCTGCTTCAGTCTTAAATGTAACCATGGATGTGAATACTTTTCTGACTTTCTCTGCTGCACCATCAATGAGATCAACCCTATACTGAGGCAGCTCGACTGAATCTCCAGATGACTACATTTTTATCCTGGTAAGAGATCTTGCTTATTGTTTCTTTCAAGTAATCTTGTACCAAGATTTCCTGTCGGAAGAATTAGTCAAGGATTCTTGAGTATATGGCCAAGACATCTGTTAAACAATACCTTAACTGTCCAAAGTAACTATCTCTGAGGCAGAAAGCAGGCTAACAGAAGAGTTATTTAGAAAAGAAATGGGGAGCTTCAAGGGTGGTTACAATTCTCTTGCATTGTGAACTGCTGGAGCCAATGAATTAAAATCAATGTTCAAGTTAACCAGTTAAACAGTCCGCATGTCTGTAGGGAAACTCTATTGAAAGACGTCTACAGAAAGCCTAAAGTTTAAAAAACACACAGGAACATACACAAATATATATCAAACCCTATATAAATGAATAATAATCCTTGCATTTCATACAGCGCTTTTCACATATTCTAAACGTCTCAAAGCGCTTCACAGAATAAACTGCAAAGTGAATTGACTGTATATTTGTGGGCAAAATCCTGCTGTATAATAACTTAATAATCCGTAACTGAGGGCATAAATGAAGGTAATAATAATTCTTGTATTTGATATAGTACCTTAAAATAATAATAATCCTTGCATTTGATATAGCGCTTTTCACGTCGGGAGGACGTCCCAAAGCGCTTCACAGAACACACTGTAAAGTGAATTGACTGTATATTTGTGGGCGAACGCGGCAGCCAATTGTGCACAGCAATGTCCCACAAACAGTCGTAGATTGAAAATGACCAATTTATTATTGTTTTTGGTTTTGGACGGATTATTATTAGGCATGTGGAGTAAGGAAACTTGTCCAAGGTTTCGCCCTCTGCCTGGAATTCAACTCAGGTCTCTCGCTTGCAAAGCGAGTGCTCTAACCACTGAGCTACAGGACTCCACGTCTTATCTTATTTGTTGAAATATCTCAAAGTGCTTCAAGGATTTTACTATAAAATGTACTTGAATGTATTTGTAGGTAAACACGGCAACCAATTTTGTACAGCAACGTCCCACACACAGCCATAAAGTGAATGAATAAATTTATTTGGAAGATTGTTGGCCAAGATATCGAGAGAAACTTCTGTGATAATGTCTGCCTGAATAGTCAGATGGGACTTGCTACCTAAAAAGCAATAGGTAAGGTTAGGATTTTTTTAAGGTGGTTAGGATGTAGTGTGTCCTTACCTAGAACAGTGGTCGAAGCAGAATTCATACAATTTTTTAAGATGGAATATCCGAAAAGACGAAATATAAAGGGTATGAAAAAAAAGCAGGAAAATGGGACTAAGGACCACTCTTTGGGCATGTTAATGTAGAATTGTAACTTTTTCGTTCGTCCCAACTGTCGTCTTACAAACAGACCATACACCGTGGATATATTCACAGTAAGATTTAATTGTAATTAAAAGAGCTGATTCAAGAACAGTCAACAGTCTCCAAGTAGAGCACCTGACAGTCAAAAGAATGAGCTGCTGATGGTCAGTTAAAGCAGCCTTTTTATCCCCAAAAAGTGCTCAAGGTCGTAACACATACAAAGGAAGGCAATTAAAAAAGTATTATCAATCATGTGGCTCCAACAACTGTTCGAATGGTGACGTCAATCAATCCATATCTCTCAACAAGGTTAAATGTCGCTACTAATTAAGTCTCTATTCATGATGATTATTATTCTTTTAAGAGTCAAGAAAATATAATTGGCATAGAGTATTTGCCTGATTAATACCGTTGTCTAAAGTACAAAAGATATATTCTAAAGCTATCTAACAAGAATGCAACCTTTAAATTTATAACACGGAGTAAGAAATAATGAGGGAAGGGGGCTCAGGTTAGGGGACGATCAGGGATGTTTGAGGCAAAAGCTTATCTCCAGATGGTGTTTGTGTCAGACAATGCCTTATTCATTTCAAAGTTTGCAGAAGTTACTGTTTCCCTGCTTCTGTGGAATGCCCAGATAAGGATGCAGCTGGCATTGCCAAGTCTGCGTTTCCCAGGACTTGCTTTTTGGTCATCTAATAGTTGGTTAAAAGGTATAAAATTATTCCTAGGTAGAAAAGATTTTTTCTACAATCTCACATTAACATGGGCACAGTAGACTGAATGGCTTCTTGTGTGTGGTGAATGTTTATGGTTTTAACTGATAGACACCGATAAATCACACCAGATACAAAAAAAATTAAATCAGCATTTATTCAATAAATGGTTTCTCAAGAGTGAGCTTTTCTCTCTCTCTCTCTCTCTCGACAGCGCCCTGGTGTGCCAACTCTCGCTCTTTCTCTGCAGCCCCCTAGTGTACCAACTCTCTCTCTCTCGGCAGGGCACTGGTGTGCCAACTCTCGCTCTTTCTCTCTTTCTCTCTGCAGCCCCCTGGTGTGCCAACTCTCTCTCTCTCGGCAGTGCCCTGGTGTGCCAACTCTCGCTCTCCACCTCTCCCTCCACCGTGTGCATAAGTAAGTCTGGTGTGAGAGGAGGGAGGCACTGCGCGTGTATGGGGTGCTCTCTCTCTCCCCTCTGTGTGTATCAGAGTACTTATAAAGTGAAAGCCCTGAAAAACTTGATTTTGGGACATCTACATAGAACTCAAAGTGCTAAAATTAATCCCCTGGAAATGAAATTAATAAACAATGAAAAATCAAAGCCCTATGTAATAACAAATAGTTCTTCACAGACCATTTGTTCACAAAGCTCACATAGTTCACATGGCTCATAGCTCAATAAATGGTAAAAACAAACATTGATCTGTTACCCTATTTCTCTGCTCATAATAATCCTTGCATCCAAACATCCTACGTTACTATTATTCAAAGTATTTTCCATGATGTGTAGATGAAAAGTAGCCAGTGAAGCTTTTACTCTTGTCCCCAAAGTGTGCAGATAGTGCCCACACGCTCTATTCACGCAAACTAGTTATTTTCTGTACCATTATAATAAATAATAATCCTTGCCTTTGATATAGCACCTTATCATGTCTTCGAGACATCTCAAAATGTGTCACAGAATACACTACAAAGTGAATTCACTGTATATATTGTGGGTGAAAAAAATCAAGTTCTTTTTAATATTTTTTGCATTAAAGATGAATTAATTCCCACAATTTTCTTTTCTAGTTTACAAGTAGTTTCTGCTAGCACTCCACAACTTGGTTTAATGACAATATTGCACATTTATAAATCACTGATTAGAATGTAAATATTTTTTCTTCTCACAAAATCTTTTTGGTACTTATACCACAAAGACCACATTAACATTATCAACAATAACAGGACATCCTCCCGATGTGAAAGGCGCTCTATAAATGTAATTTTGTTGTTGTTGCTGAATCTGATGTTTTCTTTATTTCATTTGCTTTGCAAAGCTTTTCTCCCTCATCCTTGTCCTGACCAAGTACACAGCAGGTGACTTGAGAGGTAATTGTTATAAGGGGGCTGTGGATGATCCATGACACAGTGTCAAAGCAACTCAGTTGTATTGCAAACACAATTTAAAGTATTTAAACACAACATATACAAGAGGAGAAAAGGTCATCTTCGTTTTTGAAGCATTTATTGAAAAAATACAGATGCACCATTATTCACAAGTATACAATCAATACTTTAAATCCACTGTACTTTGTACATAGTAGTTCAGTTCTTGTGTGTTACAATATGTAACTGCAATATTAGGTTTCTCACATATCGGTTCCATTTCGATCTATTTTCAGCAGCAATCATTGGAAGAGTTAGAAAATTAACCTCTTAGCCAGGCCACCTAAAACATGAAGTGGATAACATTTACATCTGACTGTTAGTCAAAATTGATTATAAATACAGGCCTATATTGTATCTACATTTTTATTATTTGGAGACTAGCTATAATGGAACCCAACTGACTTTTTTCCTATACAATCCTTTGTTCCAAGAAACTGCAAGAAGCAAATGGAAAGCTTTTTACAAATCAATCTTATTTGCTCTTATTCTGAAGTCCATGAATGCTGGAGTCAAGAAGAACACAGGAGGGAGGAGGTCTCTGTGAAACAGAATGCATCCATCCCTCCATCTGGAGAACACATTCTTCAAATGACCCTGTTGACTCAGTGAAACAGATTTTCATGTCACAGGCTATTAAGTGCCATTTGACAATTTCCACATTAGTTTTCTTTCTCTTCCATTTTAGATGGTCTCCAAACCATGACATACTGGGTTGATGACATTGGGGAAATGTTTTATCTGACCTCAGAAGCTAGTGGAGGAAAAATCTTTCATTTATATTAAACAGATGCAGACTTCCAAAGCTGGCAAGCACATCCACTCTTCCTTTGGGATAAAGTAGATTTTTTAAAAAATTGAACTTTATCTCAATCTTATCCTGGAGCTAGGAATACTAATGTACAGCCCATTAGTTATGCATGCCTAGATTTTCAGTTTGACAGACAAACTGAGTTAAAAAATCTTATTTTGGAGAAATCTAGCTCCATACAAATAAGTACTTGAAGACCAAAGGCAGCTGGGACGGGCTTTCAATCAGCCATGCATACTTTTCATCCTTCAGACCTCTCCTCACACAAGGGCGTCAAGCTTAGAAAGATTCTTTACTGTTAAAAATAGAACACTTGGGTTATGAATCCTGGAAGCAGCACACATTTCCCTTCAGGTTCTTTGGATGAAGTCACTTTTTCTTTTTAAATCTAAAGATAAATTCTGCTTCAATGATAGCTTGGCTCCTTTTAAACATATAGTAACTGGAGAGAGACTCTACAGAAAACAATCAATTATTTGAAATGGTTCCCTGAGATACAGCAATTTTTAAATGTCACAACTTTTTCTCCCACAGGCTGAATCTAATAATAATCCTTGCATTTGATATTGTGCCTTATCACAATGTGGAAACAAAGCATCAAAGCATTTCACAGGAATTTTACTGTGAAGTATAGTGTCTATTTTGTAAGCGATCACTGTAGCCAATTTGCACATAGTAATGTCTCACAAACAGCTAAGCAGTCAATGATCTGAAGGATTGTTGGCCATAACAATACAGAGCCATTTTACTAATACACATATGGACCCCACTGGGGAAAAATCTATGGGAAAGAGCAAAGGGAAGACTGCATCTAGCTCTACTATATGTGAATTGAAAGACTTATCCCAGTTATCAGCCTCTTGCTGTCTGTGCATTAAAAAATACATTGTCCTGATCAAAATTTGCTAACTCAGCACAGATCAGAGATTAAACCTGTGATCTCTGTATTCATAAAGTGATACATTTACCCATTGAGCCATCAGGAATTGGTTTAACAACGTAAAACCAACGTAAAACCTGCTTGGCTCGCGCCTGCGCCTCAGCACCTCACGCTCTGGCAACATGAACCTTCATGGTTGCACACTATAACTCACCAAGCCAGTCAGGAACCCCGGTGTCTTGTTCAACCCTCAACTGCCTTTTCTCCCCCACATTCAAGCCATGACCTGCTCTGCCTTCCCTCACCTCCGTAACATCACCCGACTCCGCCACTACCTCATCCCTCAGGACACTGAAACTCTTGTTCATAGCTTCGTCGCCTCCAGGCTCAACTATACAAATGCCCTGCTTGTCGGCATTCCCAACTCCTCCTCCACAGACTGCAGATAATCCAGAACTCTGCAGCCCGTGTCCTCTCCCGCACCAAACTCCATGACCCCATCTCCCCCATTCTCGCCCGAATCCATTGGCTCCCTATCCTTCAGAGGATCCAGTTCAAGATCCTGGTCCTCACATACAAAGCCCTTCATGGCCTCACCGCACCCTACCTCTGCGACCTCCTAACCCCCTACCAACCCGCCCGTTCACTCCTCTCAGCCGGCTCCGGCCTGCTCCTTCGTCCCCCGACCCACCCGCCCCACCATTGGCAGGAGAGCCTTCATCCACTCTGCCCCAAGCTGTGGAATTCTATTCCCCAGTCACTCCGCCTCTCCCCCCCCTTAGCCTCCTTCAAGTCCTGCCTCAAGACTCTCCTCTTCGATCATGCCATCGGCCATTGCCCTTCCCCTCCCCTCTCTTACCCCCCTTACCCCAGCTCGGGTCTGAAATGCTGTACCCTGACCAGCGCCTTGAGACGTCCTCCCAACGTGAAAGGTGTTATACAAATGTAATCTTGTTGTGGTTGTTGTTGTAAGGTCCGTAAATTACATATATTTGATTATGTGTATCCCTTATTATTCTCGATAAAGTTTATATTAATCCTCCCCAAACACACACTGCCAAGTGCTCTGGCACGTTATCTTGCATGAGGGGTGCTATATAAATGCGAGTTGTTGTTGTACTGAATTGTGAATTTAAATAAACTTGCTCAAGTATAAATCTGTGGTCCATGTTCACAAACTTCGTAACCTATATCTTCCCATTTACCTTTATTATAACGTCATTGTGTTACTAGGTTTATTGGGGATGCCAAATCATTTAGAATGATGGATCTCACAATTGGTAAAAATATGGGCTTCAACCCACAACCTTCTTCTTCTTCACACTCAGAGACAAGATTACCAGCAACTGGAAACGAGAAGGAAAGCACTAATGGGACAGTTGTTTAGCACCCTCTTCTTTGTGGTGGATATCAGGAGTATTGATGGCTACCTACACACATCTCTGTACTTTCCTAGAAAGTAACAATGAGAAAAATTGATACTTGGAAAAATATAAGACAGAGAGGTCGGAAAGCATACCTGTCTCTGTATTTTCAGTTCGCTTCCTCTTGATAGCTGCTTTAACATCTTGTTCTTTCAAGGTTTCTGTTGGTGCATTGGGTCGGGGTAACTGGGGTCCTGGGGTTGGTCCTGGTCGGTTACTAAAGTACCTATTCTTCAGTGCCTTAAAAGACAATTTTACATTATATTGAGAGAAGCAACTGTGTGGTCAGTAAGACCCCAAGAAAATAAGAGAAAAGATTGCTCAGCACATCAAAATGACCATGTAGAACTTGGTAGGCTCTCCCCGACTCCCTTAATCTCCTGAGAGATGACTACATACAGGTCAAACCTCTAAGAAGAGAAACTGAAATTCCACCCAATATCCATCTCACCTTATTTCTATGCTATTCAACAAATGACATTAGTATAGTTACAGGACTGGAATATTGCTTCATACGAACGATTTAGTACTTCTTTCTTATAGATGCTCTTACAATTTAGACTTGGTGAACTAAATCAACAGCGATTCTCAGACTTAAAACATTCAAAATTTCTCATTGTCCAACAATTCATTTTCTAGATCTTCTAGACTGTAAACTCAGCGCCTTGGGACATCCTCCCGACGCGAAAGGCGCTCTATAAATGGAATCTTGTTATTGTTGTTGTTGACTCTTCAGCCTTTTTTCCTCCAAAAGCCCATAGGATTTTAAAACGCAAGTTTGGCATCAACCTAACCTGATCTCTCCCCTACCACTCAGCAGGATCCAGTCTGCTCCAAGTCCCCTGCTCTGCCCACCCGACAATCAGCAATCGGGCCGTCAGCCGTGTTGCCTCCACTCTTTGGAATTCCATCCCACAGACCCTTCACCTTGCAACCTCCCTTTCCTCCTTCAAGGCATGTCTCAAGACTTTGATCGCGCCTTTGGTCACCCTCCTACCACTACCCCTCCTGATCCTGACCTCCAGCATCTTAGGATGTCCTCCTGACGTGAAAGACACTATACACATATAATTTGTTGTTGTTGTTATTATATTGCACCTTCTCTTACTCTTTGCAACTTTATTAGGACAATAGTCTTTATTAGACTTCACATAGGCTACAAACAAATGCAGAGATTGTGGGTACCTGTGAGGCGGTGATGCGTGTGCTGGGATTAAATGTAAATAAGTCCTGTAGTATTTCCAGCAGGTCATCCCCTGCTGCACTGAATATATGCTCAAGTGGTGTTCCAGGAAAACTTTTAAATGATACATAATCTGGCAGGTTAGTCATACTCTGCAAACACAGATCGAACAATGCAAAAGAGTCAATATTGTGGGGGAGGAAATTATGCAGATGTAACATGTGGTTTTTTCAATGATTTAACTCATTTAACTAAGTAACAATTCTGGTACATAATGAAGAGATTTATTTAGGTTCAATGTGTAACTAAGATTGTTTTTGTGCTTAGAGTCCTAGAAAACATTTCAGTTCAATTTTTTTTCTGATCATTAGGTCTAAGGGACCTGAGATCTCCATCTTGATCTAGAAAAAAATTGTTTTGTTTCTGGGTGAATGCAGATTTCACTTCCCTTCCCCAGATCAAAACTAGAAAACAGAAATGAAACCAAACAGATTAAGCTAATGAAGCAGCTACAATTTGAAATGTTAAAAGTGGTCACCAAAGATGTTCAAGCTGATCAATCTGCAAGATGGGAGACACCGTTTTGTAGGAGAGGGTTACCATCTAGTGGCTGCTTAGTGTTAAACACTAAAGGCTGCGAATTCTCTCTTTTCTTATTATTCACACCAGTGATAGTAATTGCATAGATGAATTTGCACCTTTTCAAGCCACATGAATTGCTTGAAAAGGTGCAAATTCACCTCTAGTATTGGGGAATCCACCAATATCACTAGAGTATGTACGCCTTCAAAGTGTTGGATTAATACATATTTTAAAAATCACCTGAGATTTAGCACTTCACCAGAGAATTATGAATACAGTAATCTGGTTATGAAACTCATCAATCACTGTAAGTGTCATATTGAGACAATTATTTTACATCCACGTCCTCGTCCTATAATAATGATTTGGTTTAAAATACGGCTTTCGTACTCTAAAGGGAATACCATGTACGAAAAAGTTCAACTCACAGGCCAAAGATCCTCTGTTGGGGTACCCAAAGCTTCAAATATTTTTGTCAGCTGGTCTAGATCTGAATCTCCAGGTAAAAATGGAGTCTGTTTGAACAGTACAAATTACAAATAGTTAGACATGAAGAGCTATTTTTCTTCTTTTTCTCAAGCTATTTATTTACAAAATGGACAATGATTAAATGAAAAAGCAATTAGTTCCCAAAAGAATGCTCTCAAAACCATTGTGTACAATAAATTGAACATTTGTATTCATAGATGAAACCTGTAAGAAGTCACATGAAGTAGCCCAATGTATTGCATCACACACTCCGTTCCCTCACACACACTTTGTCCCTTTATCTCAATTGACAGCGGCTTCTACACAGCAAGGAAAATATAATGGAAACGAGCTACCATTGGCCATTCGCTACATATCCTAGTAACTAGCTCAATGGTTACTTTGATCATCTATCTATTCTTAGCCAACAAACTGATTACAACAATTTGCACTTATATGGTGTCCTTCAGGTGGGATACGATTCAGAGCGCTTCACAAGCACAGAAAAGCCATTGCCATACTATCAAATAAGCCCAATATTCCTATTCATTTCCATGCTTCAGTTGCTGAAGATAAAACCTAACAGATCAGTGTTGGGTGTTAGAACAAGGGTTCCCAAACGGGGTCCGCAGACTCCTGGGGGGCTGGGAGACGCACTGGAAGTCCAGAGGCTACAGAAGCCCAGTTGGACTATGGAATCCTGCACAGCCTGAGGAGAAGATGTGAAAAGTGCATTCCTATGGTTCCAGTGCAAGGTATTTCAGAGCAGCTTTGGAGAGGTTGTGAAGAGAGGGAGGCCTCACTGCTCTGCAGGAAGCCTGTGCAGCCTGAGTCCCTGTGGGGGCGTCCTCAGTCAGGATACTTAATGTCCTGGGGGGCCCTGAGCCCAGAAAGTTAGGGAGTCCCTGTTAGAACACTCCTCTTCTACTTCTTGAACTCTGGTCTTACTCCAGCTCATACAAATTGATAATTTATTATCGAGGGTCTAAGATCTAGGATAAAGAAAGCAAGCAGATCCAAGCTCCCATCAAAACTGGTACCAATTCAGCAAAACACACTTAGAAATGCCTATAAGGGAAGAAAAAGTTGGGACGGACAGTTGAGTTCTTTTCAGAGGAGCCATTAGTGCATATGGAAGAATTCAGAACACCTACATCAGATTTCGCTACTTACCCTAAGAAGCAATTCTGCTAAAATACATCCAACTGCCCACATGTCTACTCCAACACCGTACATCCTGGCTCCAAACAGCAGCTCTGGTGATCTGTACCATCTGAAATAAATACCCTACAATTTACATTTCAAACAAACCTAGTCCCCAAATTTGCTAAATAATTTACCATGCCTTCAGCTCCCCTCTCGACTCTCTACCCCCTCCTCGCTCCCTCCCTTCCCTCCCCTCACCCTGACCATTTCCCCCCTGCTCAGGTCCCGACCCAACTGTCCAGCGCCTTGGGACGTCCTTCCGACGTGAAAGGCGCTCTATAAATGCAATCTTGTTGTTGTTGTACTAACAAATATCTCTGGATAATTTTATGATAAAATTCTTGCAATCTCAATAATGTGTATGAGGCTTATTTTAAAAAACAAAAAAAACTCTATAATTGAAGGAATTAAGATGGGAGTTATACTAAACTCACTAATTTGTGACTTAATCCAGCTTTTCCATCGCAACGCAGTTATTCACTAAAGCTTTGTCAGTGGCTGTAAATTGTAACCAATATCTTTTTTGATGGCCTTGCTCAGGAATGTTGGAACATGATGTTCCATGGAATAATTTCCCACATGCTGAAAAACATGTGAGCAGTTACCAGACCACAATCATTCCCTAAGAAGAGGAATAAAACAATAGGGCCAACAGATCCTTTTTAATCTGAGAAATTAATTTCTTTGATGAAATCTGGAGTAGCACTGTCTCTAACAGCATACCTATATGACTGAATCCCAGCTTGGTTAATATCCTACAGCCAGGCATGAAAGCCAACACATACAAATAGAGCAGCAAGGCTGCCTAATGCCATAGGTGTAAGACCAGAAGGCTGTACTGGTGAAATGCAAAATGAAAACGTCAAAAAATGGTTTCCTTGAATAGGCAAGCTTGAGAGTTTCAGCTTTAGTACTGTTTTAGGGATTGTTTACCAAAAGATGAATAACTTGAGAGCTAAGCACCAATGGTATGTGGATTGTTTGATCACAGTTTACATTTTCAAACTGCAGAAAATGTCATAATTAAATAGAAAAGTGGATACAATTCATATAGATAGCACCAGGTCAAACTTTCACATCTTGGTTTGGAAACTTGTTTCACTTAAATTACATTATCGCACACAATTTGATTTGGAGTTGTCCAGCATTGTATTACCTTGTGATGTGTACATACTCTATATTGTATGACCTTGTTACTACCTGGTGTGTACATACACTATATTGTATTACCTTATAATATGATATACTCTATATTGTGTTACCTTGTTACTACCTGATGTGTATAGACTCGATTGGGGCTTCCGAAGGACTTGGCCAATCCAAAATCTGCAAGTTTAAGAATTCCATTCTCATCTATTAACAAGTTGTTGGGTTTCAGATCCTGAAGAATGCATTGAAATACATGTTTTTATTCAAATACAACAAAAGGTAGTGAACATATTAATTTGACAAGTCAGACAAAACCAGGATACAATTTTATTTACTGCAAACATATCATTGCAGAACCAATCTTGAAAGCTAGACCGCTTTTGCCAAGCTAGAAAGAACGTTAGTACGAGGAACAAAAGGCAAAGTACTGCAGATGCTGGAAATCTGGTGTAAACACAGAAGTCGCTGGGAACACGTAGCAGGTTAGGCAGCATCTATGAAGAGAGGAAAATTAGTTAACATTTCAGGTCTATGACCTTTCGTCAGAACGAAAGATCTTTCTGCCAAAAGGTCATAAACATGAAATGTTAACTCATTTTCCTCTCTCCATGGACGCTGCCTGACTTGCTGCGTGCTCCCAGTGACTTCTGTGTTTACATTAGTACAAGGAAGATTATCCCCACATTGTAGTACATTCCTTTAATAAAATAAGTATACAAATTTCAAGTACCACAGATTGACTAAATGTAATATATTCATATAAACCACAACCAAAGGCTACTGCATCCATCGTTTTAATGAGGCAGATACATCGGGATTATCTTCAGCAAAGATTCCCTTGCAATGTGCACAGAAACAGCAAAGCTCAAAATGTTTGGACTCTTCTTACAACTCACCTGTCCACCTTCCGGCTTTTACACAGCATAGATTTGCTGAGAGAACTGCCTGACTTAAATTTCCTTGTGGGTTGGTATTTTGTAAAGACCAGATAAAACAGATCATAACGCCTTCTTTGACCTACCACCTCACATGATCTTGTTGCACCATGCCAGTACACTTACCTTATTAACATTAATGGATGCAGGGTTGGCCCTCCTTAAAACTCCCAAATGAGAAAGGTGAAGAGAAAAACCCATAACAAACACACTCCAGAAAGGACTATCCTACAGGTACGTACATTAGCCATACATTTTAGTTACCCTTAAAAATGCTGAATTCAAAGAGAATATTATTTTAACAATTTGAGTGGGGGAGAGGGAAAGAAAGATAATCATTCTCATCATGATGTACCACATATGCACCCTAACATTTTCAATGAACACTTACCCTATGCAAAATCCAGTGTATGTGAAGATATTCTAGACCCTGAAGTGTCATCAACATATATGCTTTTATGTTAGCAGGTGACAGCACAAGGCTGGTATCTTTTATTATTACCTGTATTTATTAAAAGAAATCAAACAATTTAATATCACAAGGTACAACAATGCTATGTCTGAAATATTGTAACAGTCCAGGTTCTGCTAAGCTTACCTCTAAATCTGTTTCCATAAAGTCAAACACGAGGCTGATGTTGGATTTATGGCCAAATGCATCAAGAAGCTAATGGGGGAAAAAAAAACATTGAAAATGTTACACCTCCCCTTTCTTCCTGGCTCGGTGTCAAACTACACCTGTGTTCAGCACTCTGAGACGCTGCCCACCCATGTGAAGGGCACTAAATAAACACTATATATTTGTTCCCATTTCTAATGGATGTCATGTCTCCAAAAGATATACTACATGGATTTCTTTATATCCTTGCCCATTAACTGGAGTGCTGTAGCTCAGTGGTTAGAGCACTCGCCTCACAAGTGAGAGGACCTGGGTTTGATTCCCAGCAGGGTGAAACGTTGGGCAAGTTTCCTTACTCCACACGCCTCCATTTACATAACAATATGTAGGAACCCGGTTGTTAGTTGATTGGTGGATCACTTATCCGGGGGTAATGAAACCTTCAAAAAAAAATAATAATAATTCGGTCACTCAATCCACAGCTGTTTGTGGGAACAAGTGAGGTTCTGTGAGATAAGTGGAGTCCTGTGAATAAGTGGAGTCCTGTAGCTCAGTGGTTAGAGCACTCGCTTTGCAAGCGAGAGACCTGAGTTCAATTCCAGGCAAGTTTCCTTACTCCACACGCCTAATAATAATAATCCCTCCAAAACCAAAAACAATAATAAACTCGCCTCACAAGTGAGAGACTGGGATCGATTCCCGGTAGGGCGAAATGTTGGGCAAGTTTTCTTACTCAACATGCCTCTGTTTACCTAGCAGTAAGTAGGAACCCAGTTGTTAGTCAGTTGGCGGATCGCTTTTCCGGGGATAATAATTCCTTCAAATAATAATAAATCGGTCACTTCAATCCACGACTGTTTGTGAGACACTGTTGTGTGCAACTGACTGCCGCATTTCGCTCACAAAATACAAAGTCAATTCTCTTTACAGTATATTCTGTGAAGCACTTTGAGACATCTAGAAGAGATGATAAGGTGCTATATCAAATGCAAGGATTATTATTATCTCAGTTTATTATGTATTCATAGAAACCATAGCACAGAAGGTCATTCAGCCCAACCTGGCCATGCTGATGTCAGTTCCTTCTCTGGCACTAAATACAGTGAATCCTCATTATATCCCCATTATCCCAATCCACATTATAGAAGGGCACTTTAGAGGGGGTTGACTGCGCGTGCACGCAACCAGCTTGTATGCAGGGAACACGTCGTCTGGTCCCATTGCTAAAAGACAAAATGGTCGATATACGGGTCAACGGTCTTTGCAACATCACTTCCTGTTTTTTTTGCTCATGTTCAAAGTGGGAAGTGATGTCAGTGATGACCCAGAAATTTGAAATCTTTAACCAACAAAAAGAAATGTGTTCAATTATTATACCCTGCCAGCATTATCAATAGCTTTGTGATGTCCTCCTGATATGAAAGGCGCTCTATAAATGTAAACTGTTTTTATAGTTGTACTGTACTTACTCCTATAATATTTGGGTGGCTCAGTTCTTGTAGTAACTTGATTTCTCTCAGGGCTGTTCTATTAATACCTACAACACAAATAATTACGAGTTAGAACTATTGTAACTAGCCCAGCAGTTCCTATATTGTCACCAACATTTTCAATTCATTGCATTTTTTTTTGAAAAGTGTGCAATTTGAATTAATAAAAGCGGAGTACATACAAAAATAATTATGCAACACACAATCAATGCCAAATCATTCATTGTTGATACTAATGGCCAATATACAGAAATATCATACTTCTCAGATATAACTGTTTCAAAGGTACCTACATTTGACTACAAAATACTCAGTCATGAAACTTTACAGTAAATCCCATGAAGCGTGTCTCAACATACAATATCAAATGCAAGGATAATCATTATTACAAAGATCATATGCAGCTAATATTTTCATCTGCAATGCTCAATAAATTAACTGGGAATTTATCCAAAAGTATTTGAAATGCAATCACAACTGTATGACAATTTATATTTTTCTGTGTTGAAACTAAATAAAACATGCCTTTTCTCACACAGAAAATACTTTTGCAATGGATTGTGCAGCAATCATTAAGAGAGGTTGATGTTTCCCGGGATTACACTCATTTTTGACATCATCTAATGTACTCTGTAAACTGCCTCTTCTTCTACACTAAGCCAAGTGGAATGTTGGATTGGTCTGCGAGTAAGGCACAATTATCCTGTAGACTCACAAGAATGGTTTCATCACATCAATACATAACGCTTAGTTTGATATTCATTTCATGTTTTTGTCCATTCTAAAAGATTCAGAATTAATTTATACACTCCTTTAACTCACCATCTTTAGCTTCTGATCTGTGACCAACCTTAATCTAAAAAGAAAGAAAACAGAGGATTAGGAAATGAAATGAATCTAAGTGAAATTAAGTATATTTAAATTGACAATTCACAAGGAAATTAGATGTCTTTTGATGCCTACATTATATTTATTAATTAACTGCATCATATTCAATCAGAATACTACTGATACCATCTGCAACTTGTCGAACTATGAAAATAATCTGATGGCTAAAACTGTGTTCTGCAAATTTCAGCAGGCTTCCTAAAATGTTTCCCACTTCAAATACCCATTTAAATATGAGCTCTAATGTACTTTCCTTTGGGATCTGATAGCATTCTTGTCTTCTTGGGTCTCTCAGTATATCATGTGATAAAATTTTCCCTTGTACAAGGTAAATGTTGAAGGTGAATCATAAAATTAGTTCAGTTCATTGTAGAACTAAAGAAACTAAGCCACCGTTCTTGCTTATAATTCTCCAAAGTTCAGATCCCTATATTATATTAAACAAGACAATATGAATCCACAGTCAATTCACTGCACACATATTCTGTGAAGCGCTTTGAGACATCTCGAAGACGTGATGAGGCACTATGTCAAACGCAAGGATTATTATTATGGTCAGACCTCCACCTTCTGAGTGCTTCACAGGATTTACTGTGTCCTACAGGCAGTCTGTCAACAACAACAACTTGGATTTATATAGCACCCTCCATGCCGGACGGTGTCTCAGAGCGCTTCACAGTAACGTATCCCGGGGCCGAGCCAGGGGGAAGGAGAGGAAGGTGACCAAAGGTGCGGTCGAAAAGAAAGGTCTTCAGCCGAGACCTGAAAATAGGAAGAGAGGGGGCGAGGCAAAGGGAGTGAGGAAGGGAGTTCCAGAGCCTCGGGGCATAGTGGCTGATGTTAGTTGTCCTGGAATCGCGGGTGGAGGCAGAGAGATAGAGTTGGGTGTCATCCACGTACATGTGGAAGTTGACCCCATGTCTACGGATGATGTCGCCAGGGGGAGCAAGTAGAGATTGAAGAGGAGGGAACCGAGGACAGAGACCTGAGGAACACCAAACAAGACTATGCAGGGATTGGAAGAGAAACCATTGGTGGAGACAAATTGGAGATGGTGTGAGAGATAAGAGCTGAACCATTCAAGGACAGAACCTTGAAGGTTGAGGTGAGAGGAGATGCGGTGGAGGAGGATGGATTGGTCCACGGTATTGAAGGCAGCAGAGAGGTTGAGGAGGACAAGGAGGCAGCGGGAGCCCTGGTCACAGATGGACAGGATGTCGTTCGTCACCTTGACCAGAAAAGTTTCTGTGCTGCTCACAGCACGGAAACCCGATTGGAGGGTACTGCAAATGTAGCACTGAATTTATGGCAATAACATTGTGAATTTGCAAAGTATGGAAACATAACACTCCTTGTGGCAGACCTTCTCCACAGCTATGAAACATAACTTTCAGATAATTCAGATAAATGATCATATGCTAAGCATTTATTTACAATTAGATTTAAAACCTAAGTCATTAGTAAGTCTAAGGACTGTGACGTTTGACATCTCATCACTGTGAGGTGTACCTCAAATTTTAATCTTCACTTTTTTAAGTAATTAATCGAGGTGAAAAATATGCTTACCTTCTTTATGGCAACAATGTTGTTTGTGATCTTGTCTTTTGCCTTATACACAGTAGCAAACTACAAATTGAAAACAACATTACTGTTTTTCATAGGAAAAAAACAATATTCATATTGAGCACTGCTAAAAGCATCTATAATAAACTGTTTAGGATACCAGTGGTAGAAATTTCAATTGGGTCTAGATTTACTATATTAACATAGAATTTGAGTGCATACTGATTTCCTACAAATTCTTTTAAGCCTGAAGCTTTTTCTCACCCAACTTGTATACACGTTTTCCAGAAGGGGATACTGAATTCAACAGTTTGCTAAATTCTTAAATGCTAAATAGATTAAAGCTAGACCAAGTTGAATTTCTCCCCACTTGTGCAAGTTTTTAAAGACAAAGGGACAATATTGTTTCCAGTGTAACAGTCCCTTACAAATTTATGCTGGATACTGAAGAAAAAACCTTGTATCCACTCCTCTTTGGAAATTACCAAATCATGCTTGGTTTATAATAAGAAGAATCCTTGCATTTCATATAGAGCTTTTCACGTCCTCTTGACATCTCAAAGTGCCTCACAGAATATTTTGTAAAGTTAATTGACTGTATATTTGTGGGAGTAATGCAGCAGCCAATTGTGCACAGTATTGTCCCACAAACAGTTGTGGATTGAGTGACCAAATTATTATTGTTTTTTTAAGGATTATAATCCCCAAACGACTAACAACCGGGTTCCTACTTACTGCTCGGTAAACAGAGGCGTGTGGAGTGAGGAAACTTGCCAAACATTTCGCCCCGCCAGGAATAGAATCCAGGTCTCTCGCTTGCGAGGCAAATGCTCTAACCACTGAGCTACAGGACTACACATTTTCAAGACACCAAAATCTTCTGGTATTTCACCCAATGTTCTTCTGGATGAGCTTACATTATACACACACACACACACACATGGATTCATTGGGGTAGGGGGTGGGGGAGGTACTGATGCAGCCAAGTCTGATGCTGCCTTTACCCAAGAGCCTCACACACACACTTGTCAGCAGCGGCCATGAGCAGTAATGATGCAGCAATATTTCTCCTCACCAGCTGAGAGTTACTGAGAGACCAACAGTATCGTACAACACCAGAACCATTTGGGGGGAGGAGGAGGTGTTAGAGACAGGGAGGGGGGGGGGGGGGAGCTTTCCTTCCCCCTCTCACTAACACACAGTCACATCTGTTAAAGGGTCTGAACTGAACCTGAAACCGGCCTCCAACTCCATGTCAAAAGCCTCGCAGCCCGACTGCCCCCCGCCCTCTCCCTCACCCTCTCCCTGCCCGGCCCCCGGGGGGCGGCCGCGAGCCCTCACCTGACCCTCTCCCAGGAAATCCAGCTTCTCGTACCGCTTGGCCCTGGAGCGCACATTCCCGGCCATCACTGCCGGCCGCCAGGCAACCAGCGGCGCCGCTTCCGCTCAGCGTCACTTCCTGTCCCCCCCCCGCGGAGTCACGTGGCGAACCCAGCCCCGCCCCTAGCAACCGTCTCCTTCACCAGACTCTCCCCTAGCAACCGTCACCTTCACCAGACTCTCCCCTAGCAACCGTCACCTTCACCAGACTCTCCCCTAGCAACCGTCTCCTTCACCAGACTCTCCCCTAGCAACCGTCACCTTCACCAGACTCTCCCCTAGCAACCGTCACCTTCACCAGACTCTCCCCTAGCAACCGTCCTTCACCAGACTCTCCCTAGCAACCGTCTCCTTCACTAAACTCTCCCCTAGCAACCGTCACCTTCACTAAACTCTCCCTAGCAACCGTCACCTTCACTAAACTCTCCGCTACCAACCATCACCAACCTCTCCCTAGCAACCGTCACCTTCACTAAACTCTCCCTAGCAACCGTCACCTTCACTAAACTCTCCCTAGCAACCGTCACCTTCACTAAACTCTCCCTAGCAACCGTCACCTTCACTAAACTCTCCCTAGCAACCGTCACCTTCACTAAACTCTCCCTAGCAACCGTCACCTTCACTAAACTCTCCGCTACCAACCATCACCTTCACTAAACTCTCCCCTAGCAACCGTCACCTTCACTAGACTCTCCCCTAGCAACCATCACCTTCACTAGACTCTCCCCTAGCAACCATCACCTTCACTAACCCCCCCCCCACTGCAACTGTCACCTTCACTAAACTCTCCCCTAGCAACCATCACCTTCACTAGACTCTCCCCTACCAATCATCACCAACCTCCCCCCTAGCAACCGTCACCTTCACTAAACTCTCCCCTAGCAACCGTCACCTTCACTAAACTCTCCCCTAGCAACCGTCACCTTCACTAAACTCTCCGCTACCAACCATCACCAACCTCCCCCCTAGCAACCGTCACCTTCACTAAACTCTCCCTAGCAACCGTCACCTTCACTAAACTCTCCCTTAGCAACAGAGGAGTGGTCATCATGAAGTGGTTTGATTGTGAAGTTTTCTTGAAGTCAATGTGTTCAGATACGGAGCCAGTGGACTCTGGCGAGGATTTTGCTCACAAAATATACATTTTACAGTATATCCTGTGAGGAGCTTCGAGACACCACCATTGATGGTCGGTCATTTCTGCCAGTCTGCCCCCACCCTCTGGAACTCCATCCCCCAGTCCCTCCACCTCAACCCTCCCTTGCTCCTTAAAGACCCGTCTCAAGGCACTCTTATTCGACCATGCCTTCGGTTATCCTCCTTCCCCCCCTGCCCTCCCCAATCCCTGACCACCAGCTCGTCTCTGAAACACTGAGTGTCCAGTGCCTTGGGAGATTCTCCCGATGTGAAAGGTGCGATACAAATGTAATTTTGTTGTTCATAGAATTATACAGCATAGAAGGAGGTCATTCGGCCCATCATGTCTGTGCCGGCTCCTTTAAAAGAGCTCTCCAGATAAAGCCCACACCCCCGCTCTCTCCCCATAATCCTGCAAACTTGTCCTCCCCAAATAATTATCTGCTTCTCTCTTAAAAGTTATTATCGAATCAGCTTCCACCGCCCTTTCGGGCAATGCATTCCAGATCCGAACAACTCGCTGTGTGAAAAAATTTCGCCTCACCTCCTCACCTCCTCTCTGTTTCCTTTAACAACTATTTTACCGACCCATCCGCCATTGGAAATAGTTTTGCCTTGTTCACCCTATCAAATCAGGATAGTGTCTCAGAGCACTTAACAGTGGCGGAGCCTGACTCCGAGCCGGGGGTTGGGGTGGGGGAGAGGTGGCGGTAAGCACAGTCAAAGAGGAAAGTTTTCAGATGGGACTTGAAAGAGGGTAGAGAAGGGGCAAGGTGGAAGGATTGAGGGAGAGCGTTCCAGAGTTTTGGGGCATAGTGGCTGAAAGTGCAACCTCCATGGTGGGGCGGAGGGTGCGAGGGATGAGCAGGACGCTGGTGCCAGTCGAGCGGAGGTGCCGTGTGGTGGATTGAAGAGTGAGGAGGTCAGAGAGGTAGAGGGGTACCAGAGAGTGAAGGGATTTGAATAAATGTGAGGATCTTGAAGTTGATCCGTTCGGTGATGGGGAGCCAGTGGGGCCTGGCCAGAACTGGTGAGATGTGGGTATGGAGTTTGGTCTAGGGGCAGAGTTCTGAATGAGCTGAATCTTTTGAATAGTGGAGCTGGGGAGACCGGCGAGGAGTGCGTTTGAGTAATGCAGGCAGGAGGTGTCAAATGAATGCTCAAGGGTTTCGGCTGCATTTGGCTGCAATCCCTACATTTAATAATAATAATAATCCTTGCATTTGATATGGTGCCTTATCAGGTTTTTGAGACGCCTCAAAGCACTTCTAACAAAAAACACAAATGGACTTAAAATAGCTATAAATCATTCATTTTGGACCTACTCCCTTATGTTTTATTAATTTGTACATCTAAAAATATTTTTTTCATTATGTTAAATATTCATAAAAGAATTCTGGGCTCATTTTTTTTGCCCCTTCTGTCTTTAGTACTGTAACCAGGGGGAATTCACAAGAAACTGCTTGCAAAGTGTCTACTGGTGTGATTATATAAATAAGTATTATGAGATGCATGTGTTCCCTGGTGAGATTCAACCTGTTCCTGTGTGTTAGGAGCTGCTTGATCCACTTGATATGTGGATGAAAATTTGTAATTGCTGTGCAGAATCATGAGCGTGAACCCACAATTGACACCCACAGCTTGATGATGTATTTCCTCAACCCCCACAATTCTTGAATCGAGGAATCACATAACACACAAAAAAAATCAACGGATGTCTTGTCCTTTTAAGTACTTCTGGTTTCTACCACTTCAGCATCATATCCAAAAGCTCCAATAACATTTTAAACTCCAGATTATTTTTCTGTTCTTATCACTGTATTGTTGGCTTCATTTGTATCTTTTGTTAAAAAAAATTCACACATGAAAAAATAAATATATAAATCAAATTTGGCAATGTTAACAAGACACAATTGCAAGGTATATTTTTATATATCAGGAGTCCTTACATGGGAAAAAATATGAAATGTTACAAAACCTTACTGTAGCATGTCCATTCAGGAGAAAGAAAATTGATGGAAAACACCTAAAAGACAAACGATGGCGTTCCAAATGCAATATGCTCATTTTTGTTTCTTACTTTGAATCAAAAAGCCTCATGCATTGTTGAGACAAGTGGACATATGGGAGGATAAAATATACTGTTTGCTTTTAAATTAAAACATTCATTATTTTTACGCGTTTCAGTGATGTTGGTTAAAACATATTCCGGTTTCTTGTCCGATGGTAGGGCGGGGGACCTGGAGCAGGCTCCCTACTGAACGGAGGGAGCGGACAGGTTGATAGGGGGTCAGCAGGTCAGAGATGTAGGAGGGGGTGAGGCCGTGGAGGGTCTTGAAAGCGAGGATGAGATTTTTGAATTCTATCCTCTGAGAGATGGGGAGCCAGTGGAGCCTGGTGAGGGTAGGGCTGATGGGATCACGGAGCCTGGTGCGGGAGAGGACACGAGCTGCAGAGTTCTGGATGATCTGCAGCTTGTGGAGGGAAGAGTTGGAAGAGACCGACAAGGAGGGAGTTTCCATTGTCGAGCCTTGAAGTGACGAATGCGTGTATGAGGGTTCCGGCGGCATTACAGGTGAGGCAGCGGCAGAATTGGGCAATGTTGCGGAGGTGGGGGAAGGCAGAGTGGCTAATGGCACACATATGGGGGAGAACAACAACAACAAGATTCCATCTATAGAGCGCCTTTCACGTCTGGAGGACGTCCCAAGGCGCTGAAAGGACAGTTGAAGGTCGAACAAGACGCCCAGATTCCTGACTGGCTTGGTGAGGTGGAGTGTGAATCCGTGGATGCTGATGCTGCCGGTGCCTGAGGTGCGGAGGTGCTGGCACGAGCCAATCAGGAGAGCCTCAGTCTTGTTAACATTCAGCTGTAGAAAGTTGGCTCTCATCCAGGACTTGATGTCAGACGTCAGTTGTCCTGGAATTGAAGATGGAGGCAGAGAGCCAGAGTTGAGACTCTATCAAATGCACTCTATCAAATGCAAGGGTGATTAATATTATTATTACTTCTTGGCCTTTTCGCTCAGATCAGATATTCAGGACTATAACCAGAAAATTGATTGACTTAATCGAGTTGGGAGAACAGATATGGGACTGCACTGTCTTTTGTTAGTTTGAAGCCCGGGTTTCGGTGTTTGAGAGTGTGGGTTTCCTCGATACTGGTTACCTTTGGGGCAACTCACATTCCATTTTGCCCACAAAATACACGGTAAATTTACTTTACAATATATTTTGTGAAGTGTTTGAGACGTCTCAATGATGTGATAAGGCGCGATTTCAAATATAAGGATTATTATTATTAAAACGGAATGTAATTTGGATAATTCTTCACGAGAGAAGGGGCAACCTAGCTCACCGCATAACTAATAGCAATCCTTGCGTTTGATAAAGCGCCTTATCATGTCTTCAAGACGTCTCAAGGCGCTTCATAGAATATACTGTAAAGTGAAATGATTATATTTGGTCGGCAAAAAGTGGCAGCCAATTGCGCACAGCAGTGTCCCCAAACAGTCGTGGGTTGAGTGACCAAATTATTATTTAAAAAAAAAATGTTTTGAAGGGATCATTACCCCCGGAAAAGCATAAAGCATTCTGCCAATCAACTAACAACTGGGTTCCTACTTACTGCTAGGAAAACAGTAAGGAGTAAGGAAAGTTGTCCAAGGGCTCATCCTGGCCAGGAAGCCAACACAACAACAACAAGATTCCATTTATTGAGCGCCTTTCACGTCGGGAGGACCTCTCGCTCACGAGGCGAGTGCTCTAACCACTAAACTCCAGGACTCCACAACCTGCTTCAGGCCCTAACACAGATATTGCCAATATCTTAACCTTTTGGCAAAGGCGACCTCCAATCTTTCAGCATCTTGCAGTTGCTGCTCTCGTCAGTGAGACTCCCCCTGGTGGCTCTCCTCAGGGCCCATTATTTACGCGAGCCTTCAACATGCCCCACAAAACCTTGCAGGTCGGAATATTTAAACAGTCGTGTTGAGTTTGCTGATATTTCTTCCAAGGTGCCGACCGGGCGGAGTGGTTTCCCCATCGGTTAGAAAGGACGTCGAAATATATTCGCAGGATGGTTCACGTGGTGGTAAACGGTAGCACGTGAATGCCGCCTCATTGTATGTAAGAGGCGGGGTGTGCGGCATGGTGCGAGGGTGGCTGGGGCCGGTCATCTCCAGTATGCTCTGGTTTCTCTTCAGATCGTATAAATCTTTCGCCTTTTACTAAAGATTTCCGTGGAGAGGAGCATTTACGAGTTTGAAACTAATTTTTTTAGGCTCTGCCTCGGCAGAGCTTCCCTCAGTAACAAAGAACAGACTCTCACACACACGCTACCCCTGGCCCCTCACTCACTGTCCCTCCCTCCTGACACTACCCCCACAGCTCAGGTCCTAATCCCTGACTGTCCAGAGGTCCTCCTGCCCCCCTCCCTCCATGTAAATGCTCCATTTATACAGATGGGATCTGTTGTTGTTCCCTGTCTGACCCGTGTCCTCCTCCCGACGACAACTGTCCTCCTTCAGCCCAAGAACCAGGTTATATGTCCCTGTCCCAGCTTCTTTTTTTATATGTATGTTACTGAGTGAGGTTAGAACCGCTCGCCTCCATCAACCGAATATGTTCCACTTAGGGCACAAAGGTTGGCCCCGCAGACAAGCCCCGATTTTCCACCCCCAAAACTCTTCTAGGCCCCAAATTGTCCATGTGGACCTGAACCAAGTCTTCACGACCACCCGAGCAAGTCAGGTAACCCCTTCTATGTAACCCCTTCTCAGTTTCAAAACTGATCCAATCAAATCGCCTTCAGCCACCTCCCCCTTCCCCTCCACTCTTTTTCCCAGTTCAGGCTTCCACTCAGTCTCTGTAAAGCATTTTGAGAATGCCCAGGCACTATGTAAATGCAAAATTTCCCCCCCCCCCAGCGGAAATGATAGGTTAGAGGTCTGCCACACTGAAATCCCTTTCCACTTGAAAGTAGCTTTTATCTTCAATGTATCATCTTCAAATTTCAATTTTTTTAAACAAATCTGGTAATTGTAGAGTGGACCCTTGGTCAGTTATTGCTACATGTAAAATACAAACACACACGAAATTCAGCAGATATTGGTTGGCAATATCCATATCTTTCGAAGCTCCTATTGGAATATTTTCAAAAGGGTGTTTTTTAAAGCAGTCATTCCACTTTACGTTAAATTCTGTGAAGCTCTTTGAGACATCTCGATGACGTGAAAAGCTTTATATCAAATGCAAGGATTATTGTTATTTTAGCAATTATAGAAAAGATAAATGTTGAATTTCTGACAAATAAATAAAATATTTAATAAAATAAATATTTCTCTACTAAAATCATTCAGCATTAATTTACATAGATTGGTTCCACAACACCTAAAAAACATTCTAGTCGCAACTTGAAAAACAAGTGTAGCATGTTGAGCAAAATATATTTTACTAAAGTTAACCTTACTGTGATGAGTTATAACAAAATATTACACTATGTAACATTCAACTGCAGCATTTTCAAGTTTTAAAAACCCAGATTGTTGTGTATAGTACATTACTTGTATCAGTGAAGTGAAAGTATAAGTAATAACAACAACAAAATTATATTTGTATTCCACCTTTCATGTCAGGAGGACGTCCTAAGAAGCTGGACAATCAGCGTTTCGGACCTGAGTTGGGGGTCGGGATCAGGCTGGGTGGAGGGCAGAGGGATGAGGGTGACCGAAGGCACAGTCGAAGAGGAGGTTCTTGAGAGGGGTCTTGAAGGAGGCAAGGGAGGGGGCGAGGTGGAGGGACTGCAGGATGGAGTTCCAGAGGGTGGGGCAGTGTGGCTGAAGGCCCACCTGCCAATGGTGGGTTGGGCGTGGTGGGGGAACTTGAAGCAGACTGAAACCCACTGAGTGGAGGGAGCGGGCAGGTTGGTAGGAGGTCGCAGAGGTAGTGGGGAGGAAGGCGCTTTGAAAGTGAGGACCAGGATCTTGAACTGTATCCTCTGTGTGATGGGAAGCCAGTGGAGTCGGACGAGGATGGGGTGATAGGGTCACGGAGCCTGGTGCTGGAGAGTGACGTGAGCTGCAGTCTATGGAGGGAGGAGTTGGGGAGACCAACAAGCAGGAAGTTTGCATAATAATGTAATATTCTCACCACAACTCCCAAGATTACTCCCACTCACTTTAAGGGCTCATGTGCAAATATCATGAAGCTTTTGAAAGTTTGTAATCCGTTCTATAACTTTTCCCACCAATCTGTGATTGAGGATACAATTAAGTTTTCTCAGATTTTCTCAGTCAGTCATTATTTCGCCCACAAATATACAACAACAACAACTTGGATTTATATAGCGCACTCCATGCCGGACGGCGTCTCAGAGCGCTTCACAGTAACGGATCCCGGGGCCGAGTCAGGGGAGGGGGAGGAAGGTGACCAAAAGCGCGGTCGAAAAGAAAGGTCTTCAGCAGAGACTTGAAAATAGGAAGAGAGGGAGCGAGGCGAAGGGAGTGAGGAAGGCAGTTCCAGAGCCTCGGTGCGTGGTGGCTGAAGGCATGGCCGCCGAGGGTGGAGCGGAGGACTCGGGGGACGAGGAGGAGGCCAGACCCGGAGGAACAAAGGCAATGGGTACTGTGCTGAGGAGAGAGGAGGTCAGAGGGGTAGGAGGGTGCAGAGGAGTGCAGGGACTTGAATACAAGGGTGAGGATCTTGAAATCGATCCTCTCTGGGATGGGCAGCCAGTGCAGACTGGCAAGGACTGGGGTGATTGGGGAGCGGAGTTTCGTGCAGGTGAGAATGTGGGCGGCAGAGTTTTGAATGATTTGGATTTTATGGATAGTAGTGGATGGAAGGCCGGCGAGGAGGGCGTTAGAGTAGTCCAGCCGAGGTGATAAAGGCATGGACCAGGGTTTCAACGGCTTTTGGGGAGAGGTATTTGCGGAGACGGGCGATGCGTCGGAGGTGGAAGAAAGCGGTGCTGGTGAGGTACCGGATGTGGGGGAGGAAGGATACTTGGGGGTCGAACCTGACCCTAAGTTGCGTACGGGTTCGGAAAGTTTTAGTGGGAGGTTGGATAGGTGGAGGAGGTGAGAGCCGTGAGATTTTAGATGTTGACGAGAGCCAAAGAGTATGGCTTCCGTTTTGTCAACGTTCAGCTGAAGGAAATTTGCTCTCAATCAATTCACTTTACAGTCTGTTCTGTGAAGCGCTTTGAGATGTCTATAAGACCTAAAAAGCGCTATATCAAATGCAAGAATTATTATTATTATTACGTGAAAGAAAAAGTAAAATATGCAAGATATCGTTTATGGTTATGTTTAGATCCAAGACAGACCTTAAAGATGACTGGTTTGTTGTTAAAATTGTTGCTTAGAATCTTGGTTTCTGAAGTAAATGGGCACAATTTATGAATACATTTTACAACACAATACCGTATGTTACGATTAAAATATAGGTTGTGTAATGCTAAAGTAGTTAGAACAGTCCTATGAGTAAGATGTAATTAAAGATCGCTTTTATGAGTACGCTTGTCATTGAAAGTACAATGAGAGGGTTGCACGATGCTCATCCAGAAGAAAGGACAGGGAGTAGAAACTTCGACCACACAATGAACGGAAGATAACAGGCAGAGTGCTGGCCAAAGCTCCAAGGTCGTGGTACGGAGTGCTAAGCAAGAGGAATGTGGTGTTCACGTGAAAGAACCTTATATGGAAAGAGGAAAGAGGAAAAAAAGCATGAAAGAGCCACGGGATGTGCACGTGCACAGTATGTGGTAAAGGACAATTGGACAATTAGTTATGAATAAGGGTGAAAACTGGGACTCCTCGCTTCGCTGGTGGGTCCGTAGCTGTGAACGTGCTGACCATAGAAGGAGAAGTCCTCCAGTTATCTGGTAGTATTGTTTTGTTACACGCTGATTACTATTGCTGTTATTTGGGTTACCCAGTAGGGAAACTGACTTATGAGCTTTTTACATTAAATAGAATTAGACTTTAGTTTTGTTTAGTCTTTATTCTTTACACCATATAAGACAACAAAAATATTAGTTTATGTCCAAGTTTTAATTAACATACACATTTCAATTCTTTATCTTAACTGATTTTGGATTCATGATTTTGTTGAACACACAATAATATTTCAGTAACAAAAAAAATCCACTTGCAATGGTTTGTGTCCATATCTATATACCCTCCCACCACCAACAATAAAATGTCCTTGTTTTTGTCCATTATATCACTCCTACATTTAGCTGTGACTGTTACTAATTTCATATGCAGGCAATGAAGTTATACTGAAAATACACAATTCCTCAGTTTTCTGCATCTCGATGCAAGAGTGCTAAAAATATTCCGTGACTAATAGTGTTACAGCATTAATCTGAATATAAAACACCAAATCCTTCACCTAATTAAAAACATTTTACTGCCATGGTTCAGCACCAATTTTCTTTTAATTTTGAAAAGAACTGCAAATTCACATATGAATAGTTCACAATGGTCAATTCAGCAAAATAGTTAAAAGTAATTTTTAGCCTATTTCAAAGAACAAAGGTGGACAATGCCAAACCATAAATTTGTATAACTAGGTATCGAATCCTATCAAAAACATATATCTGTTTATTTCATGAATAAGAAAGCAGCTGGACACTGACAATTCCAAATTTAGAATTAAAAGGTTGGGGCCTGAAGACCAATATCTAATTTTCTGTAATCTTGAGAATATACTTAGAAAAACAGATTTTTAAAAATGTTCTGTCTGCATACCTGGTAATACATTTTAACATAAGAAATCAGAGATTTTTCTAAACTTTATAAATCAGTTTAATTTAAAAAAAGTTCAGTTAAGAATTCAGCTCATATACTAAGAATGAGAGACAACTTGCATTTTTATAGTGCTTTATCATGTTAAAATGACTTGTTAGTGTTACCAATGTCTGTTAAATGTAATAAACGGTAATAATTTATGGTTAAACACAAAACACTCCTTACAATTTACAACACTTTGAAAGAAATGATCAGAAAATTAGAAAAATGGTCTTCTCTGAATTTTATTACAACCAGAACACCCAAATAAGTTAAAATATACAAAGATGCTTACCAGACCTTCCCATGCACATCACACGAGACAGTTCAAGTATCATACCGAGATGTCTTTGACATTACAATTTATAACCGTTGTGTCCTTTATTGAACATTATATACACAGCTATTGATCTTCTGAGCATTTATTTCGCAAAATGGCAAAAATGGTTACACGAATTGGCAGATATTGTGTATGAACAGCTTCAAAGTTGCATAAAGTCAGCAACCAAAAGATAATAGAAGAAGCCACTGATATGTGATAGAAGTATGAGGTCAGCTTATTCAGGTCCACCACGCTGTAAAAGAAGGATTACAGCAGTAATTATGCAGTTCAAAACATTTCAAAATATTTTGTGCCTTACAAAGATTACATATTACAAGGGATACTCTAAGTTCAAGAGTCTGAGAATTAAAACATTAAATAGCTATTTCCAGTAAAATTCATTACATGCATTTTATCATTATATTCATACTTCAATATCTGTACAGAAACAAATTACACAAACGCAAGAATACATTCATTTATTAATCATAATACCTTATCATGTTGGTGATGCACCTTAAAGCACTTCACAAGATTTTACTGCGAAGTGTAGTGGCTACGTATTTGTAGGTAAATGCAACAGCCAATTTGTGCATTGCAATGTTCAACAAACAGCAAGAAGTGATTGACCAATTCTATTTGGGGGATTGTTGGCCAGAACACTGGGAGAAATTCTCTTCAGTACACATGTTCCCATAGTGGAACTGATGAAGATGAACATTTTGTAATTTACACACAAGTTATTAGGGTAAATCAATGTTTCCTGCAATAATAAAAGTAACTGAATTATTCCCTGCGGACATGGCTACAGCAGTTTCAATTGATTTTTCTGTGCAATTTACATTTTGCTCATGCCACAGTGGTTAACTGCAATTTCAGTGCAGAGAATTCTATAAAGGCACAGAGCTTAACATAAAATAATCACCTTTCAAATAAATTATTGCATTATGATGTTGGCAAACATTAGTTAAGCCTTTGGAATTTGTAAATAAGATACAGTGAACATGCTACCTAGGCTCACCTGGATATACTCCATTTCCTCTAAGGGTACTGGTCGCCTTCGATATTTCTGCGGTAATGCTTTTACTAGATCTATAGTGTCAGGTCTACCAGGCAATCGGTTAACGGGTGTTGATGCTGGTACTGGTGAACTTGATGCTTTAGGGTGTTGTCCTTGGGATTCTGGCATTTCCATGTTCAATGATTTGAGAGCTTCTTGCACTATGCAGTTAACAATATAAAAAAATGTTTTTAGATTTCTAAGCTCGTAGCCTTAAAGTAGAACCATGAGACATTAAGAGCACATATGTCCTTATATGCTTCCTACTTTATTTCAGTTTTAATCTGCAGCAGTAACATTTCAAGATACGTAGTAATCAACTTTAATCATGGTATTTTTGTATGTATATACCACTTGGATAGAAACAAAACATGCATTCATAGTCATGGTGAGAAACAACAGTTTACAAAGAATGACACCAAATTTCATTACTAGATTTAGAAAGGTTATCTCAGAACCTTGTAAAAATTGACAAACATGTTTCATATAAATTAAGTACAAATAAAGCACTAATCTTTATTAGTAGCACAAAGCAGTCAACTAAAAAATAAAGCTTCATTAACATCACTATACCAGTGTCTATTTTATTATTCGTTACTGTAATATTTTAGCTTATGTAATAAGAGACCTTATTGAGTAAAAATGATACAGTTACACACCTTCCCATTACTGGAGGCTTACATTTGGATGTAAAGATTAAAACTCAAAATCAAAAGCATCTCTTGGGTCTGTATGGTATTCCCATACAGTGAGACATTGCAAATTTCCAATAGTTAAACAAGGAGTTAGTTATTAATAACACTGCACAGTAAAATGGAATACAGAAAAGTATGGCACAGTTTCATTTGTCAATATTAAAGAAAGGACTCAATAAAATCTCTTTAGGCAAATAAAATCTTTGATCATCAAAATGATTTTACTGTTATGTTAAACAGACAAGAGAAAATGAACTGAACCACTTACCACTGGGTTGAGGCCAGGCTTTCCTATTGGGAAATTTAATTAATTGAGCACGTGGTTTCACAACCTGCAATAACATAGATTTTACGTGCACAAACTTGTAATAGTCCACATCTTCATTGGTGAATACAATACAAAATTACATTTGTATTGTACCTTTCACGTAGGGAGGTCATTCCCAAAGCACTGGACAGTCAGGGATTTGGAACCGAGCAGGAGGGGAATTGGGGTAAGGAAGGGTGGAGGGCAGTTAGTGTAAGAGGGTGGCTGAAGGCACGGTTGAAGAGGAAGGTCTTGAAAAGTGCCTTGAAGGCGGCAAGGGAGGGACTGAGGCAAAGAAAGTATGGGATGGAGTTCCAAAGAGTGTGGGCGGAGAGGCTGAAGTCCGACTGCCGATGGTGGGGCGGGCTTGGCGGGGTTACATAGAGCAGGAGGGAGCGAACGAGTTGATAAGGGGTTAGCAGGTCACTGAGGTTGGAAGGGGCAAGGCTATAAAGGGCCTTGAAAGCGAGGATGAGGATTTTGAGCTCTAATGAACAATTAATCTGAACGACTGTTAGCCAGGACACTGGGGAACTCTTTTTTTTGAATAGTTCCATGGGATCTTTAATCAGCTGTAATAACAATAGGCAGAAGGCATCCTGGTTAAATTTAACACAAAAAGCACCCTATAAACAAAAGACATTTGTTCCAGTCTTTCGGTCTTCCTCTAATTGTTCTGATTTCTTTTTGTCACCTTTTCTATTTCTCCAATCTCAGCGTTTCTTTAAATTCAGCCTCCTTTCAATCACCCACTTCATGACTCACTAAACTAACATCATCTTCGCCCACCAAGGAAGCTGACAAAGATCGGAATCAAAGATTTCTCTACATCAGTGACACTTGTGAATCAGTACTCAAGTGGTGATTCAAGTGAGCCAACTAGGACAATAATAGATGAGTAGAGTATGTTACAGAATTTCAGCATTGAGCACAGGGAGTCAGGCTCAGCCACTATTAAGCGCTCTGAGATGCTATCCTGCGTGGAGGGCGCTATATAAGTGCAAATTGTTGTAGTGGTTTTAGGTCAAATCACAGCAATGTCCTTCCACAATTTGGCAGACTCCCAAAACAAAGCAGTGTACAGTTCTGTAAAAGTCCAGTAATTTTGTCGCATTTTAACTTATATTTGGACAAAGCATTTTAGATGAATTAAACTGAGAAAATACAAAACTAATCTGTAAACTGAAGCAATTTGCTTAAAGAAATAGTAGAACACACACATATATTATATATACACATATATATATAAGTGCGCTCTGCAAAAGTCAGCTTGCAAAAGAAATAGGGCTTTCTTTTGTGAATACCACACATTTTATCAGAATATGACATTCTTCTAGGCTAACATCAGGCACTTTAAGGGACACAAAACTAGAGCTAAGCCAATTTGGTTGCCAGGCAAATAAAATGCTAATTGATTACAATTTCCTAAGTATCTTTTAAGAAAATGTTTTGTTTAGCAATGACAACTTGTACATTTAATAATGTTGCCCGATATCATTCCAATAAAGTTGATACCACAGCTGCTCAAGTCATATGGTACACTGACTAATTCTGTACCTGCACTATTATATCAAAGTCCATATTTAACTCTGAAGTTCCTTACTTCCTCTGCTTACTCCTTCTGCTCGGCAACCTCGAGCTTTCACCTCACCTGTCTGCACCACCATTGGTAGTCAAGCCTTCAGATTTTTTTGTGAGGGCTCGATTGATGGGCATACCAAGTTTGGTGCAGGTGAGGATATGGTGGCAGAGTGGTGGATGAGTTGGAGCTTGTAAATAAATGATGGAGCTAGACCATCAAGCCCCTAACCTTTGGAACTCCCTCTACCTCTCAGTCGTGTCCATTCTCTGTCTTAAAAAGTCCTGGCTTAAAACATACCTCTTCGAAATTGGCTATGGTCATGCTCACTCTCCCTTTGATTGGCTTTCGTAAAGCATGTTGTTAACATGAAGGGCAGTTTGCTGCCTTTCTCTCTGTAACTGTAAAAAGGAACTAGGGGCTGAAGCTCAGACTATGAGCTGCCGTAAGGTCACTCGAGATATAACCAAAGAGCGTCCCGAAAATGCATGTACAGTAAACGTGTTCATGTACGGTGCACATCGGGGCACCCTCCGAAAGCAGCAAGTGGGGTGCGTGTGGGCACGCACATGGATGGGGTGCACCCAGGGGCGACTCCCGACTGTTTTAAAGGGAGGGTCCCAAAAAACGTGTGCAAAAACCCGTGTGGGTGGGGGAAGGAATGTACCGTAAACAACGGAACATGTTTTTGTATCGGGAGGAAGGGGAAAATTGTAACAGAAGATGTTGTGTTTATTTTGGATCTTCTGTTGTACCAAATATTATATTTATAAATAAATACTTAAAAAAAAATGATCTGCCATGGGATGGGGGTAATTTTATAATAATAATATCACACCAGACTACATTGTGATATTTATCACACCAGACTACAGATCAGAAGCTGTTTTCCTACTCGTTTACCACCTGGTGAAAATAAATAAAACCTGTGCCACAGGTAACTATCGCCCTTGGTGTCTTGGGTCAGGTGAACTGTAGGTGAAAGAAATCAGTGACCTGAATGTCCCAGTGACAGGCCGCTGCTCCTCCGGTAGCTAACTCACTGATTCACACACAGACGGTCACAGCCATTTATTATAAATAAAAACAACAACAACAAGATTCCATTTATTGAGCGCCTTTCACGTCGGGAGGACGTCCCAAGGCGCTGTACAGTTGGGTCAGGACCCGAGCAGGGGGGAAATGGTCAGGGTGAGGGGAGGAAAGGGAGGGAGCGAGGAGGGGGTAGAGAGTCGAGAGGGGAGCTGAAGGCACAGTCAAAGAGAAAGGTTTTGAGACCGGCCTTGAAGGAGGAAAGGGAGGAGGCGGCGAAGGCACTGGGGGATGGAGTTCCAGAGCCTCGGGGCTGAGAGGCTGAAGGCCCGACCACCGATGGTAGGGCGGTTGGGGCGGGGGATGTGGAGCAGACCGGAGCCAGAGGAACGGAGGGTACGGGCAGGTGGGTAGGGGGATAGTAGGTCAGAGAGGTAGGAGCGTGCAAGGCCGTGAATGGCCTTGTAAGTGAGGATGAGGATCTTGAATTCGATCCTCTGGGGGATGGGGAGCCAGTGGAGGCGAGCGAGGGTGGGAGTGATGTGGTCCCGAAGCCTGGTGCGGGACAGTACACGAGCTGCAGAGTTCTGAATGACCTGCAGTGTGGAGGGAGGGGCCGGGAAGGCCGGCGAGGAGAGAGTTCCCATAGTCCAGCCTTGAAAACACTCTGCGTGTGGAGTTTTTACCGAAATGATTCAGACTCGCACCGTGCGGGTTGGGAAGGAGGGTCCGCCGGGGGCTGGGCTCACACTGGCCGGGGTTGGGGTGAGGGTCCCCGGGTTGAGGGGGAGGTTCCCGGGGGTTGAGGGGGAGGTTCCCGGGGGTTGGGGGGAGGTTCCCGGGGGTTGGGGAGAGGGGGGTTCCCCGGGTTTGGGGTGAGAGTCCCCGGGGTTGGGGGGTGAGGGTCCCCGGGTTGGGGGGGGGTTCCCCGGGTGGGGGGTGGGGGGGTTTCCCGGGTGGGGGGTGGGGGGTTCCCCGGGTTTGGGGGGGGAGGGTCCCCGGGTTGGGGGGAGGGGGGTTCCCCGGGGTTGGGGTGAGGGTCCCCGGGTTGAGGGGGGGTTCCCCGGGGTTTGGGGGGTGAGGGTCCCCGGGGTTGGGGGGAGGGTCCCCGGGGTTGGGGGGAGGGTCCCCGGGTGGGGGGGTGGGAGGGTCCCCGGGTTGGGGTGAGGCTCCCCGGGGTTGGGGGGAGGGTCCCCGGGGTTGGGGTGAGGCTCCCCGGGGTTGGGGGATGAGGGGCCCCGGGTGGGGGGGTGGGGGGGTTCCCCGGGGTTGGGGGGAGGGTCCCCGGGTGGGGGGGTGGGGGGGTTCCCCGGGGTTGGGGGGAGGGTCCGGGCCGCTCGCTCTTACCTGAATGACCCTGACGCTGGCCGCCATCTTACTGCCCCAACCACTCCCCATTGTTGGCATTTCCCGGCATCTGCTTCCAGGTCACTGACCCTCGAGTCCCGCCCCCGCCCTGCGCATGCGTCAACCTTCAATCACACCTGTCAATCACGCGTAACCTTGGCAACATCAGCGCCATTGCCGCTGGGGCTGAGATGAGCAGAAGGAGCACATTTCAACCCTTAACTTAATGTTTTTTTTCTCTCTGAGTGCACGTGCTATGTTCATCTCACGCGTAATTTAAGATGTGTGTATTATGATTGCCGGTTACGCTTCTTTATTTGAAGAAATATACGAAAACCGTAGCGCTGCTCATGTTCGGAAGGAATTCTCTTTGCTTAAAATAATTATAAATTGGTCCGCGACTCAATCCATGACTGTTGGTGGGACACTGCTGTGCGCAATTGGCTGCCGCGCTTCACCCTATAGTCGATGCGCTGTATACTATCTGGTGAAGCGCTTTGGGACGTCTTGAAGACGTGATAAGTCCTGTAGCTCAGTGGTTAGAGCACTCGCTTTGCAAGTGAGAGACCTGAGTTCAATTCCAAGCAGGTCAGGGCGAAACCTTGGGCAAGTTTCCTTACTCCACACAGAGCCTAATAATAATCCCTCCAAAACCAAAAACAATAATAAATTGGTCATTTTCAATCCATGACTGTTTGTGGGACATTGCTGTGCGCAATTGGCTGCCGCGTTCACCCACAAATATACAGTCAATTCACTTTACAGTGTGTTCTGTGAAGCGCTTTGGGACGTCCTCCCGACGTGAAAAGCGCTATATCAAATGCAAGGATTATTATTATTATTATTATAAGGCGTTATATCAAATGCAAGGATTATTATTATTACGATCAGCCTGGCTCAGTTGGTAGCACTCTCTCCTCGAGTCAGAAGGTTGCGGGTTCAAGCCTCCCATCGGAACTTGGATTCACATACTCCAAGCTGACACTGCAATGCGGTGCTCGGGTGTTTTGCATCGCTGGAGGTGCCATCTGCCGATTCCAGTTGACATTAAAGATCCATGACATTATTCAGAGAGTTTTTCCCCGTGACCTGTCCAACAATCCTCCAAATAATTTGTCATTTCTTTCACTGCCATTTGTGCGACACCCCTGCACACAACTGGACTGCCATGTTCATCTACAAGTACAGTTGCACCACACAGTAAATCCTGTGAAGGGTTTTGGGACATCTTTCAAATGTGAAAGATGCTAATAACAAATGCAAGAATCAACATTATAATTGGCAAAAAGATTTATTGATGTTGTTGGTCCTAGGCCAGGTAGGAAAAGTAAAAGCAGACAGGATTATTTGACAATTATTAGGACCATAACATATACATTAACTGATCATGATGGCTTTTGAAGTTTGCTCAACTGTAGATTTTAATAATCCTTGCATTTGATTGAGTGGTTCACCCCAAGGGTAGGTCTCAAAGTGCCTTGTGATTGATTTACTGTAAAGTGTTGTGACTGTATTCTGCAGGCAAATGCAGCAGCCAATGTGTGTCCAGCAATGTCCCACAACCATGAACCAATTTTATCTGGGGGGATTGTTGTCGTGTCAATAGGGACTTACTATCCCCCTACTTACCTGCCCGTACCCTCCGTTCCTCTGGCTCCGGTCTGCTCCACATCCCCCACCCCAACCGCCCTACCATCGGTGGCCGGGCCTTCAGCCTCTCAGCCCCGAGGCTCTGGAACTCCATCCCCCAGTGCCTTCGCCGCCTCCTCCCTTTCCTCCTTCAAGGCCGGTCTCAAGACCTTTCTCTTTGACCGTGTCTTCAGCTCCCCTCTCGACCCCCTCCTCGTTCCCTCCCTTCCCTCCCCTCACCATTTCCCCCCTGCTCGGGTCCGTGTCATACTGGTCTTAGAGTGTTAATGTAATCAGTGTCTCCAAGCACCTCCTGTTTCCCTTTGTTTCGTGAGATGTTTTCAGACCAGCAATGTCCAAATGTATTTTTCAATCAAAATGTTTAAGGTGATTAGTCGATCACCTTAGCTCATTATCCCTCTTTCCAGACCACACTAATTCATTCATTTATTATATTAATCCTTACATTTGATATAGCGCCCCACCACATCCTCCAGACGTCTCAAAGTACTTCACAGAATATACTACAACGTGAAGCGACAGCATGCCCCCCAGGTGAAACATTTACATTCCAACAGCAGTCAGATCTAGTTTAACAGGAGCACCAAAATGGAGCAAGAGTCATATTGTAGTTTTATTTTGATATAGTGGAAAATTAGTACAAAAAAGGTTTATTTGGAAATAATTTATCTTATTCTTGCTTCACCTCTCTAAGCCATATTGACTAAGTATTAACTAAGTGTTAGTTAAGTATTTGTTAAGTATTAACAACAAATAATGACAACTTGCAGGCATTAAAAATCCATTAAACATTATTGTTCACAAATACTGTAGCTCTTGTAACCAAATGAAAACACCATAACAATCATTTTATTTTAGCATACAACACAAAATCAGAGTATTTACAATTCTTGTTTAAAACTAAGAATAGAAGTCAAAGAATGTGAAGATTTCCACTCAAGTACAAGAAAATAGTTTTGGGAGTGATTTGGTTATAACGTTTCCCACTCATAAGTATCAGAAACGATTAAGTTCTTAAATGTGTTCAGTCAAGTGGATTCTTCTCCAGTTGCAAAATAAGTTCCTTTAATTTAGGATCCTTGGCCCAGTTTACTCCACTGGCAAGAATGATACCCTGCAAAAAAGTTTAGTACTTAGAAACATTTAAGATAATCTTAGAGAAAAACAAAAGTATTGTTTCACAATTTTTAAACAAATTGCAGATTTGCAGTTTGGTTCGATGACTCGTTTTCAAAAATAAAGTGCTAGTTCAGCATTCAGCCTTGAAAGATAGTTTTGACATTTAAACAAATTACACTTATTGTATGAATGCATGTAGGAAAACCTGAGCTGGGGGTCGGGATCAGGGAGGGTGGAGGGCGCGGGGGAAGAGGGTGACCGAAGGTACAGTCAAAGAGTCTTGAGACGGGTCTTGAAGGAGGTAAGGGAGGGGGCGAGGTGGAGGGACTGCGGGTGCAGCAGAGTGGCAGAAGGCCCGCTTGGCAATGGAGGACATCCCAAGGCGCTGGACAGTCAGGGATTTGGAGATGGTGGAGTGTGGTTGGGGGTGGGGTGGTTAAGGAGGTGGTGATTAAAGATACAATCAGATCAGAAGTTATAGTTGATGTCCTGTACCTGTAAAACATTTTGAATCAATGTTACAGTCTTCAGATGTTCTAATAAGTTTTTTTTGGCACGTTTTGGAAGCTCATTTTCCATTTCTTGTAGCAACTGCTGCTGCTTCATCTTCTCAGTCCTTCTTTCCTTCAAGACATCTTGCATCGTTTGTTTTAACACTTAAAGAAAAGGAAAAGATTCTTTGCATCAATACCATGAAAACAACAGAAAACATTTCTAGTTTTAGTTTTATTGGAAATGGGACGAAGTTTCCAATGTTTATGATATACACATATTGCTATGTACCTCTAGAGAAAAAGGAAGTGTGAGGTATCTGCAGGGACAATGATTGTACAGCAAAGAGACAGAGAACGTCAGAGCTATGAAGCACTGCGAACTTGGTAGGTGATCAGTTTACACCCTTAATCCTGCACACACTGATTTCTCAAATAGCTACAAATGAGAATGAGATTTGCAAGGCTATTATGATGGCCACAGTGAGATTAATGTGCCAATATTTAGAGACCAGGGGGGCAACCAGATCCCAGGTACCATACCCAAGCAGATGAAAGCAGAAGAACAACAACATTACATTTGTATAGCGCCTTTCACGTCGGGAGGATGTCCCAAGGCGCTGAAGGGTAGATAAAAAGAAAAAATAACATTTTCTAAGAAAGCATACAACAGTGACTCCTTTTGAGCACAAACAAAATGGACCACATCACTGATTTAATTCTCTGCTCTGCTCACTTCCCAATCCATGCTGGCAGGAGGTTGCTAGGAAGAGGGTAAAAACATTGAACGTGTGCTTACTTGAAGGCAATACCTTATGCTCCTGCCAGGTGGCTAAAAGGTGCATTAGTAGGTCTTGGAACAGAGTGCCCATATTCTTATCAAGATGTATGCCCAGGCACATCTAATCCGTGGAAATAAATTCCAACATAAAAAGTGAGTATTCTACAGTTATTTACTGTGTAGTCGGTTCACAAGAAAATTTACAATAACAAGTTGTAAACTGTTAAGGGAAATATATGGTGGGGTGGTTGTTGGAAAATCTCACTTACCTGTCAAATATAATTGTATGGATAACTAAAGAATAATTAAGGGGTGATGAACCACAATAATAGTCAAACAAAATATATAAGTTTCCCTATCTGTGCAGTAATTGAATCTGGTGAAGATTTATAGATTTTCAATTACTTAGCCTCTGCTTTTGAACTTCAAGTACTTTGTTTTCCAAAGTGCGGATTTCCTACAAAAAAACAAAGCAACATAAAATCAGTAATAATAATATTTGCATTTATATAGCGCCTTATCACGTCTTCAAAATGCGGCAACCAATTGCGCACAGCAGTGTCTCACAAACAGTCGTGGATTGAAGTGATAATATTATTATTATTTGAAGGAATTATTATTCCTGGAAAAGCAATCCACCAATTGACTAACAACCGGGTTCCTACTTACTGCAGAGGCGTGTTGAGTAAGGAAACTTGCCCAACATTTTGCCCTACTGGGAATCGAACCCAGGTCTCTCACTTATGAGGCGAGTGCTCTAAGCACTGAGCTACAGAACTCCAGGAGTAATGTGTTTACACAAAGGTCTCTTCTGGTGTTTTAACATTAAAGTACAAAGTAATCCTGGAATAATTTAATCATTTCAATGGTGAATGATTACAGTAAAAATGTCAACATTCACTTATCTCACAGAACCTCACTTGTAAACTATTGGTTACTAAATCAAGTATAAATGTTAGCAGAGCAAGGCCTCTGAATGTCTCTCTATCATTTACAAATGAATACCACTGGATGGAATAAACATAGAACATGATTTTGTTTGCTTTCTAGGAATGTTTCCAGAGTTTCTTCTACATGAAAATTATGTCCTGGGTAAAACGAAAATTGTACAAGACTTTTGGGGAAAAAAAGCACATCAAAGCACAATCCAAAACATTGACTCAAAGTGAAAGAAAGATTGGCAGGTAAAACAACTAAAGAGCAGTGGAAAGTCTTCAAAGATGAGATAGCTCGGGGACAGAATAAATACATTCCCACAAAAGGGAAAAGTAGGGCTTCCAAACCTCCCTGGATGACAAAGGTAATTGTATCTAGAATGAAGCAGAAAAAGGAGGCGTATGACAAATGTCAAACCCAAGATACAGAAGGCAACCAAATAGAATATAGGAAGAGCAGAAGAGGTTTGAAAAAGGAATGGCCTCTTTTTGTGCTGTACGATTCTATGATACTGACCCATCACTAGCAAAATGGCTACCAAAATACCTTGGACCCTCCCCTCCCAAACAAAAATGGTAATGCACACAATGGTACTTACTTTCTGGTTTGCTACAATCTCAGAGCAGAGCTCCACGGACTTATTGATTGTCTGCATTATCAGCCTAAAAGAATCATATAACAAACGAAAATCAGTCTTCAAGAGCCATCAGAATTAGAAATCTGCACAAAGCTCCACTGATTAACAAACATTGTAAAGCAAAACTCCAGAATCCATTCCAGCTATTCACCCCCAACTCTTAAGCCCTCTGGGACTCTACCCAGTGTGAAGGGCACTATATAAATGCAAGTTGTTGTTCCCATACAATACCTTTTAACGGATGCACCAGCTATCTTTGTCTCGGAAGTATTCCCATCCCCAACTAGACATTTATTCAGTTTATCAAGTTCCTTTTTAGCTCACTACTGCACCAATTACTTTAGTGTTTGCCTACCCATTACTCTGTAGAAAAATATAATTCTCAAGTTTTGTTTTATGCTCGTTAATATCAACTCCATGATTTCTCGTTCCTTGTTCATACTCCAAGTCAAACAGCCTGATTACATCTAAATAACATCTGCAGATCAGCCACATCAATGATTTATACAAGGTCAGGAAAACTTGTTTCTAGCTAAATTTTATCACTGCTAAACTACTGAGGTGGGAAGAGCAACGCAGTGATATACCCGCCTTCTAACAGCTGCCTTTGAGTTTAGTACCATCTTTATTTCTAATTCCATTCCAGGTCACTAGCACTAGCACTATTGTGCTGGTCAAACGTAACATGACCTGCACAATAGTTCTCAATATTTTTATGGGATCGACATATGTAACGCAATGGAAACTATGCACTTCTTGTGCTCAGTATAATATAATATAATAATCCTTGCATTTGATATAGTGCTTTTCACGTCGGGAGGACGTCCCAAGCGCTACGCAGAACACACTGTAAAGTGAATTGACTATATTTGTGGGCGAACGCGGCAGCCAATTGCGCACAGCAATGTCCCACAAACAGTCGTAGATTGAAAATGACCAATTTATTATTGTTTTGTTTTGGAGGGATTATTATATATATAATTATGCCTTTGGGGAATAGGTTATATATATACACATATATATACACACACTCATATATATATATATATATATAAAATTGTTGTTGTATGTCATCATGGTCTTGTTGGATCCTAAGTTACAGAATGCTTACATTACAAAACACTCATAGATTTAGTACAACCTTTTATGCAAAATGGTCCTGTGATGAAGGGTACGTTTAAGATAATTATTTATAACAAAATTCCCAAACAGGAAAACGGATAAAAAATGTTAGATGGGTTCACATAAATGGAGACAAACTAGGTTTACATAAAAAATGCCTTTAAAATACTGGACTTACTTCCCTTCAGCATCTTCCTCCTGAGCTTGTTCTCGGAGAGCATGTGTGACCTGGAGCCTGTAAAACATCATATAATGTTTCCTCAGAAGGACAGCAACTGGAAAGTTTCTTTTAGAGCCCCCACAGTTTCCTCCTGCTGCTGTACTTTGGACAAGAACTTGAACATCAACATAGTCCAGTCATAATTTTAAGCAAGACTGTTGCAATCAATGTCTGTGGGAACATGCCACATTAAGGCTGAGGGTTAAAACTTGCAACTTTTTATTTTAAAAAAATCTTTGTCTCCCAATAGTTATAATCCTTGCATCTGATTATAGCAGCTTCCCATCAAAATATGTCAAAGGAGTTTATTGAAAAGTGTAAATTTCAATCAAATTCAGCAGCCGTCATTGGGCACAACAATGTCCCACAAACAGCTCTGAAGTGAATTACAACAAAATGGCTCTAAAGCTTTACAGTAATTACAGTCAAGTCACCCTTTTCTGGGACACCTAACAGCCGTTAATGCCAAGAAAGTCCTATGAATAGGATGAAGGGCAGTTAATTTGAAGGATTGTCCAGGAAACTGGGAGAACTTGGACTCTTTTCACATTGAGCCATTGGCTCTCAAGTGACCAGGTCTAAAAGACCTTGGACAATTTGACAAAATGGCACCTCCAACCACGCACCACTGCCCCAGTACTGGTCAGGTTGTGAACTCAAATGGGGCCTAAACCCACAACCTTTGACCTGGATGTTAAAAGGAACCAACTGAGTCAACCTGATAGAGAATAGTCGAGGTTTGTTGCTGTGTAAACTGCCAATATTCTTAAATAAACCTTCAAAACACGCAGAATGTCACATTATAAAGTGATTATACACTAAAACCCTGGCTAGCTGGGGTTTTAGTGTATAAGGTGGGGAGATGATCTGATCTGATATAGGGGGAGCATAAAAATGTTTGAACAGAACAATCAGAGAGCAAAGTGCATTTTCTCCAGGTGAACCCTTATATATCATGCTGACTGGTAAACCTCAGCTCCAGCCCTAGAACTCCTCAGAACCAAGGTCTTGCAAATCGGCATAATGCACAGGAGTAAATACCCTATAATCATAATATTTGCATATGATATAGCACCTTATCACGTCTTCAAGACGGCTCAGTGCTTCACAGAATATACTGTAAAGGGAATTAACTGTATATTTTAAGGGCAAAATGCGGCAGCCAATTGGGCACAGCAGTGTCCCACAAACAGTCGTGGACTGAGTGACCAAATTATTCTTAATTTTATTTTTTTGAAGGGATTATTACCCCCGGAAAAGCGATCCACCAATCAACTAACAACCGGGTTCCTACTTACCCCTAGGTAAACAGAGGTGTGTGGAATAAGGAAACTTGCAGAAGGTTTCGCCCTGCCCGGGAATTGAACCCAGGTACTCTCGCTTGCGAGGCAAATGCTCTAATATGCACCAGCAACATACAGTGAACTCTGCAGGACTCCACTATATGTTGCTGATCACATTCTGTTGGTTATGCCATTTTTCAACACCACAGTTCAACACGATAATCTTAAATTAAGTGAATCACAAACAACCAAAATAGAGTTGTCACTAATCACTGCAAATGCAAATGCCTTTTCTAAGAGACCTGGATTTCATACCTGTGTAACATCAAAGATTTGTTCTGGAAGGAAACGGACGCATCTTCTAATTCCTTTTCGATTATTTCAATTCTGGAAGGATTTAAAAGAAGAAAATAGCCATCTTTCCACAAGCAACTAAGACTATTTTTCATACCCTGAAAGATTTTATCTACAGTCCATCATATTTTTAAATGTTTAGTGTATGAAAAGCACTAAACCAGCAATATTTCTATTATGTACAACTCTATCTGCTGCCATCTCCCCATCAATGCAGCAGGCTATTCAACGAACAATGGAAGTGAACAATTTTTGAATTTAGTCTTAATTTGGAAGCTTGTTTTCTGCAAAAAAATGGTAAAACCAAGTGGAATTTCAAACTTCAAATCATCCAAACTACTGTATGCAGAACAGCTTTAAGGTTTCCGCATGATATCCAAAACATTTGGAAAATGGCACAACAATATTAAAAACCACAGTTGAGAAAAGCACTGAAAGAAAATCTACATTTGATTTTAATTAATAAAATAGTAAACTGTGTAAACGTACGTTTCCTTCAGATCACCTTCTGATGTAGCCTCTGTATTAGTTTCAACACCTAACAATCAAATAACAGATACTCATTAGATTTAACATCTAAAGGATACAAGATTACAGAATCCCTTATTGACCATATTTAGATCCAAGGCAAGAGAGGAAGTGTTTTGTGACCGTTACCTTATTCTGACTTAATAATTTATTTTGTTTTTAATAAGGATTTAATAATCTTTTGTACAAAGTTTTCAACCTGCCATAAGTCATTATCTCAGAAATTATTCTATGAAGAAATAACTCTATATTTAAAGTGTCACCATAACAGTTGTTATTTGATGTGCCACTAAAATCTAATTATCATGTTTTAGATATCCTAGTACGTGGATATCTAAAGAAATTGGGCATGGAATTGTCACAAGTTAGTCAATAATTAGATGCCCAACTGAGGTGAGACCTAGAACTGTATGTTGTCCCTCCTTGCTCACAAAAACACAAAACCACTGTAAAAAGGCCTTTTGAAGAGCATCCTCAATAAAGATCTGAAACTAGATTCCTTCACTGGATAATGGTGCCCAGGGAACTAGGGCAGGAAAAGAAGTACACAAATAAAGATTAACATCAAATTTGCTACAATTGGCTACAATATGAGCACTAGAGTATTTAGTCAGTCTATGGTAGACCATCTGACGTATTTCAGTCATACATTTTACCACAAATATTATTTAAGAATCAATTAAATATATTTGATCAAATAAGTTTAAAATATTTAGACAGCCCTGAAGCTCACCAACGTGTACTTTGACATACAATGCAAAATATCTTACAAGCTTTCACATGAGTCTCGAGTTCCACAGTCTGTTGGATTATTTGGTCCTTTAACCTATCAGAGAAAAAGAATACACATAAGAGATCATCAACATGCATTTTGTGTTGGGTGCATCAGTAATAGGACCAACTGAATTAAAATCCTCATTCCAGACTATGTCCCTCATCTATGCATTTATCACATCCAGGCTCAACTATTCCAAAGCTCTGCTCACCAGACTTCTTTACTCAATTCTTCTTCACACAAGATGCAGACTGTCCAGAACTCTGCAACCCATGTCATTTCTCACACTAGGTTCTGTGAGCCTATCACTCCTATCCTCACCCAGCTCTTACTGGCTCTCATCCCCCAGAGGATTGAGTTCAAGATACTCATTTTCACCTTTAAGTCCCTCCAGTCTAACTTTATCTCTGTAATCTCCTTAAATTGTAATGACCCTGCTGTTCCATTTGCTCAGCGAACAACAGCCTGCTTCAGTCTCCCCATCTTTTGCTCTGATAGATGAAAGTCCTATTTTAGCCTATTTGCAGTCATTCTCTGGACCTCTAGCTCAGGTGCTTAACCAGGATTGTTAAGTACCTTGGGATGTCCTCCCTACATGATAGAAGCTATGTCAACTTGCACGTACTTAGTACTTGACTGCAGGAAGAAACACTGAGATTCCCAAATAAATCAAGATATCTACATTTCTGAATATTTACAATTAGATGGTAAATCTGGATGCTTAAAACGCTGAAGACAAATCTGGGACGGTTCAGACAAGATTTTAAAATTAGAAGACACTAGTTAATAAAAAGTGATATCGAGAAGTTCAGGTAACAATTATTGCTGCTACTTACCACACGAGGTCTACAATGGAATTCATACAGGTAGGATTTTCGTGAACATTTTTTGGCATTGAGTGGAAGTTGTCAATTGTCAGCTGCCCTTGTTTCTCATGGGAGCTACCAGGTTCTTGGAGAACATGGGTCTCTGTTCTGTTTCTAAAAGTATAGGGACAAGCAAGTTAATCAATGATGAATGGCAAAGAAGTTTCATTTTTATGAAGCTTTTTTTAAAATTGTAAATGTCAGCAACAACAGGTAGAATTAGAAATAATGCTCAAGTTTTAAAAAAAAGGGCAGGGACAATACATTGCATATTAAGTAGCAGAATAATCACCCAAATAATAATCCTTGCAAGGGTGGAGGCGCTATCTCGCCACCGCCACCCTCGACTTCAGGGCAGGACTATTGACGTCTTGGCTAATTGTCTGTCTGACATCAAGTCCTGGACGAGAACCGAGTTCCTCCGGCTCAATGTTGGCAACACGGAGGCCCTCCTGCTTGGCTCCCGGCAGCGCCTCCTCACCTCACTATCGCCATTCGTGGCTAAACTCTTCACCTCACCGCGGCAATCTGAAACCTCGGGGTCCTTTTCAACCCTCAGCTATCCTTCAAACCCCACATTTGTGCCGTGACCCCGTTCCGCCTTTCCACACCTCTGCAACATTGCCCACCTCCGCCACTGCCTCTCACCGCAGGCCGCCGAGACCCTGATCCACGCTGTCATTACGTCCCGGCTTGACTACACCAACTACCTACTCAAACAAACCCGATTGCCCAACGTCCCGGAACATCTTTCTGACAATAAAAGGCGCTGTACAAGTGTAATTTGTTGTCGTTGCATTTGATACTGCGTCTTATCACGTCATTGAGGCGTCGCAAAGCGTTTCACAGGATATACTGTAAAGTACAGCAAGTAGTTAGTGAGCAACTTCTTTGGTTGGCCGACAAAATAAATGTTTGAATGAAAATAGGTCTCGAGTCGTGGCATAAATCTTCGCTATTTTGTTATTTCGGTGATTATTCTGCACCACTGCCCTACATCGTTGACATCCCGATTGCCAGACATGCTCCCTCCCGGGAGAGGGATGGCGGGAGAGCGACTGACCTCAGAGAGAGGGAAAATAGTTACAACGATTCACAGAGGCTGTGGGTGTGAGGAGGCCGTTTGGCTGCTCCAGTCCCTGTCGGGGTTTACACTCCACACCTCCCCCCTCCCTCACACACACACACCCCCTCTGCTTCCCTCTCCCTCCCTCCCAACCCTCTGCTCCCCACTCCCTCACACACCCTCCCAACCCTCTGCTCCCCCCTTCCTCACACACACACTCCCCCTCTGCTTCCCTCTCCCTCCCAACACTCTGCTCCCCCCTCCCTCACACACACACCCTCTGCTCCCCACTCCCTCCCTCACACACCCTCTGCTCACCCGCCCCTCCTCCCAACCGTCTGCTCCCCACTCCCTCACACACCCTCCCAACCCTCTGCTCCCCCCTCACACCCCTCTCTGCTTCCCTCTCCCTCCCTCTCAACCCTCTGCTCCCCCCTCCCTCACACACCCCTCTGCCCCCCCCTCCCAACCCTCTGCTCCCCCCCCCCAACCCTCTGCTCCCCCCCTCACCCCCTCTGCTCCCCCTCCCTCACACACACACCCTCTGCTTCCCCCTCCCTCCCTCCCTCCCTCCCTCCCAACACTCTGCTTCCCTCTCCCTCCCACCCCTCTGCCCCCCCTCACTCCCCTCTGCTCCCCCCCTCACACCCCCTCTGCTCCCCTCCCTCACACACCCCCTCTGCTCCCCCCTCCCTCACACACACACCCTCTGCTTCCCCCTCCCTCCCTCCCTCCCTCCCTCCCAACACTCTGCTTCCCTCTCCCTCCCACCCCCTCTGCTCCCCCCCTCACCCCCTCTGCTCCCCCCTCCCTCACACACACACCCTCTGCTTCCCCCTCCCTCCCTCCCTCCCTCCCAACACTCTGCTTCCCTCTCCCTCCCACCCCCTCTGCCCCCCTCACTCCCCTCTGCTCCCCCCCCTCACACCCCCTCTGCTCCCCCTCCCTCACACACCCCCTCTGCTCCCCCCTCCCTCACACACACACCCTCTGCTTCCCCCTCCCTCCCTCCCTCCCTCCCTCCCAACACTCTGCTTCCCTCTCCCTCCCACCCCCTCTGCCCCCCCTCACACCCCTCTGCTCCCCCCCTCACACCCCCCTCACACCCCCTCTGCTCCCCCTCACACCCCCTCTGTTAACGTTTCTAACTGACTCCGCGGCGGCTCCAACTTACTCCATCTCAGCAGCTGCTCGCGCGGCCTCACAGGTCCCGCCCACCACCCCGCCTGGCTATTGGGCGGCTGGTCGAGCTGGGGGGCGGGGCCTGTAGGGAAGTCCGCGTGTTTATTGGTGAGCGGACACGTCAGTTGCACCAATCACCGGGATCCGCCGCCCGATTGGTCCAGGCGCCCAAACCGAATCTGCCGCCTCGCGCCGCGGTCGCGCCTCTGACAAACACCAGGGCGGCCAGTCGAAAGTCGATTGCTTCGATGCGTGGGTGAACGCCGTCGCTCGGGACTCGATTGTTCAGGCGCCGGTCAGCGGGTCCGGAGCGGCGGCGTTTGAATTTAAAGCGGGAATCGGGGCGGTCAGACCAGAGCGGCGGGGGATCAGGGGATCAGGGGCGGCGGGGGATCAGGAGCGGCGGGGGATCAGGGGATCAGGGGATCAGGGGATCAGGGGCGGCGGGGGATCAGGGGATCAGGGGATCAGGGGCGGCGGGGGGTCAGGGGATCAGGGGCGGCGGGGGGTCAGGGGATCAGGAGCGGCGGGGGATCAGGGGATCAGGGGCGGCGGGGGATCAGGGGATCAGGGGCGGCGGGGGATCGGGGGCGGCGGGGGATCAGGGGATCAGGGGCGGCGGGGGATCAGGGGATCGGGGGCGGCGGGGGATCGGGGGCGGGGGGAGCGCTCCGAGGCGGCCCTGAAGGATGCAATGCAAATGCAAGTTGTGCACTAAGATTGAAGGGTCAAAGCGGTGCCACCGCCGTGTGCGGCTCCAGGAGAGGAATTGTGGTAAGAACGGGGATAAGGCAGCGCCGGACAGTGAGGGCGATCCTGTGAGTTGGCGTTAGACCAATCGAGAACTTGTTCGCGTTAGAGAGAGACACAAAAAAGTCAACGGGAATATGACCCCCAAGTCTTAAAAATGATAAGAAGCAGAGATCGAGGAGGTTCATGTTTGAAAAAAAAATCTGTTGGACTTGGACAGTCAAAAGCAGATTTAGAACGACATGGAACGGATGTGGGGATAGAAAGGATAGTTGAGGGTCAAACAAGACCCCAAGGTTCCGGACTGGGTCAGCGGGAGGGTGGGGTGTGCGCCTCGGATGGTGATCCGTCAGCGCCTGAGGTGAGGAGGCGCTGACGGAGCCAATCAGGAGGGCCTCAGTCTTGTTGATGTTCAACTGTAGAAAGTTTGCTCTCATCCAGGACTTGATGTCTGACAGACATTCTGTCAGGACAGCCTTGGTCCTGGAGTCAAGGGTGGAGATGAAGTGGAGACATTGTGAGTCGTAGGATCTGAACCATTCAAGGACAGAACCGTGAAGGTTGAGGTGAGAAGAGAGACGGTGGAGGAGAATAGAGTGGTGAACGGTGTTGAAGGCAGCAGAGATGTCGAGGAGGATGAGGAGGCAAAGGGAGCTCCGGTCGCAGATGAACAGAATGTCATTTGTCACTTTGACCAAAGCTGTTTCTGTGCTATGGACAGCACAGAAACCCGAATGGAGGGGTTTGTGAAGGGAATGGCGGGAGAGGAGGGAGCGAAGCTGGGAAGCAATGACTCGTTGGAAAGGGATGTTGGAGTTGGGAAGGTAGTTTAAGAGCAGGGATGGGTCCAGGGAGGGTTTTTTAAGGATAGGAGTGATGACGGACATTTTTAAAGGGGTGGGAATGGTGCCAGTGGACAGGGAATGGTTTATGATGTCTGTGAGTAGAGGGGCAAGGAGCTGGAGCTGAGAGTTAAGGAGCGGGGTGGGGATGGGGTCGAGGGAGCAGGTGGTCGATTTCATGCAGATTATAGCAGTGGTGAGAGAGGAGTGGGAGACAGGATAGAAAGTGTGAAGGGAGGGATGGGTAGGGGCCGGGATGTGAGGGAGAGACGGGGAAGGGTTAGTAGACAGAAGGGCAGAGGCAGCTGAGTGGATCCCCTCGGCTTTGGGTGTAATATTGAGGGACCTATGGAATACTGCTCCAGTGATACTGCTCCAGTGGAACATAAAGTGGTCTGTTATCTTGGAGAGGGGAGGAAATTGCTAAGGATAAAATAGTGAACTATGTTTGAATCAGACTAAATAATCCAACCTTTGTATTTTCTAGGTTCAGTAAGTACAGTGCCACACAATGCCTCGTACTCTTAGATCAAGCAAGTTTCAAGAATCAGATAGTCCTCCATATCAGGAATGTAAAAATCTCCGAGCAGGAGTGAAAGGGAGACTTGTGCATCTCTTTGAAACTGAGAGTAGAAAGAAAATCTGGAAACTTCCTGTTGATAAAAGTAAAGATGCATTTACTCCACGACAGCGGATGGTTACACCACTGATCTCCAAAGCACTTAATCACCTGATGTAAGTATATGCGTTGAATGTGGAAAAACTTTCAGACAAGCTTCAACAATCTAAATCAGTTCTGCAGTCCCAGGGGAGCCTCTAAGCAATTTGAAAACTCCAAAGGAATTTTGGGTGCTTTGAACAAGAAAATTACACTCAATGCAACATGAAGGAAAACAACTGGCCTTAGACCCAGATGTTTTTTTAAAAAAACGATCTGCCAAGAATCCCACTCAAATTTCCTTATTGGAAAGTAGACGGTGCTTGCCAACCTAATCCCACCAATAATCATTGCCTTGATAGAAAGGGGGCAATTATTGTACAGATAGTTTAGAAAGGTGAAACTGTAAACTAATTATACATGATAATCAGATGTCCCTGGACTTTTTGTTCCTTCCTGTGATATAATGGATTGATTATCAGTCCTAATGGACACGCAAATTCGTGAAGCGTTCCATATTTTTTTTTGGAGTCCTGTAGCTCAGTGGTTAGAGCACTCGCTTTGTAAGCGAGAGACCTGAGTTCAATTCCAGGCAGGGCGAAACCTTGGGCAAGTTTCCTTACTCCACACGCCTAATAATAATCCCTCCAAAAAACCAAAAACAATAATTAAATTGGTCATTTTCAATCTACGACTGTTTGTGGGACATTGCTGTGCGCAATTGGCTGCCGCGTTCGCCCACAAATATACAGTCAATTCACTTTACAGTGTGTTCTGTGAAGCGCTTTGGGACGTCCTCCCGACGTGAAAAAGCGCTATATCAAATGCAAGGATTATTATTATTATATATATATTATTGATTAAATCTACGGTTGCTGACTACTCTGCCCCACCGCTTTCTTCAGATGACAGCAAGCAATTTGGATTGTTTTACCTCGGGACTATGTCCCCATTTCACATATCCCTCTCTTGAGTGCTTGGAGGTTGCTTTGCTTTCATTCAGCACAGGCTTAGCTAATGTAATGACATGCCAGTTGGATATCTCATTGGAATATTACCCTCAGAAAGTGTGCTGAATTTCTTAAGAACTCAGACTGTAAATCATGTTGGTACTTGATTTGTTGAAAAAATCATCAAATCAAGGAAAGCCTCACTTTTCAAGGTTCCTGTGTAGCATTATTAATAATGTTTCAACATAGATTAGTCTAATGAGCTCAGTTGGGTCGCTTTCCTGCCTCTGAGTTTAGACTTCAATTCAGACTTGGGGGTGTGCTGCATTTTGGAGGTGCTAATCCTTCAGATGAGGTCATATCTGCCTGTTGCAATGGATGTTAAAGATCTCATTGATACTATTCCAAAAGAGAAAGACGTTCCTGGCCAAAAATCTGATAGCTGTGTGCAAATTGGCTGCCGCGTTGCTATAAAATACAGTTACTACTTCACAGTAAATGCTTGAGACATCCTCCCAACATGAAAAACTGCTGTATCAAATTAAAAAATGTAAGGATTATTAACTTGAAGGATAGATAAAACTTCTTCGAAAGTTTTGTAGTGTATGAATTTCTTAAAAAGTTTTTTTTTTATAAAACAGCTCCAATGTTGAAAACCACCATAAAGTACCAGAAAAACCTGTCAGTCCTAATCTCGCAATACTTAGAATGACACCAGGTGGGTTGTTAATTTAATAAGGTAACTATATAAACTTTTTAGATATCTACAGTATCCTGAGGGCTTAAATGCAGAGTGAACTCTCCCTCAACCCCACCGCCTTCCCCTTCTCCCTTTTTCAAATCCAGCCTGTAAACCTTCCTTTTCGACCGTGCTTATGGTCACTCCCCCCCACCCGCCACGGTTAAGCGCTCTGAGACTCTACCCTGCCTGGAGGACGCTATATCAGTGTAAGTTGTTGTTGAACTATATCAGGGTTGTTGCTAGGATTTCAGTGAATGCCCAAAATGTGTCTGCGTTCAATACATGATTTTCAAAAATAGATGTTTGTTCATAAGACTAGACATTTTAAATGAGGCCATTCAGCCCATTGAGGGTGTGCTAATGCTTGTTCATCCATTGGAGCTTACTACATAATCCCAATTTCCAATTGAGTTGGTATTTTCTCCTATTACCTGCACTTTGCTCTCTAATATTTAGAATCGTACAAGTATAACAAAACATAGCCATTGTCTGCCAAATTGTGGGGTCCGAAGTAAATCTGAGAAGTCTTTAATAGTTCCCCTATTGGACTGCCATTGGACTAGTGGGTAAAGATCATGTAGACCAGAAGGCCCCAGGTTGAATTCCTGATTTATCTCAAGTTAGCTGATCTCAACTAGGCCTACAGTTGGGGCATTAGAATTAATGTCAGTGCCATGGGCTGATGCGAGAGGAAATCAGCCATGGTCCTTGCACCTAATTACATGCTGATCCCTGCTGGGTGAAAGTTAATGTCTTAATTTCTCAGTTTGTCTGTGATTCCTCTACCACCCCTCCCCCCCCCCCCCCATGGGGTCAAATAGTTCTTTAGCACACACTATCCAGCTTTAATATGATAGGTGACTTATTGGGGCAGGAAGCAGAAGGCTCCTTCTCCTGGTGCCTGCAAAATTGTTACCCCGGAAACAGTAAGTGCAATTGGGAGAAAACAATCAGAAATTACAGCAGAAGAGGTGTCAGCCCATTGAGGCTAGGGTCACACTTGTTCATCCATTAGCCCTTACTTCTCTAATCCCAATTCCAAATCACACTTTTGGTTACCTTTTCTCCTGCCTCCCCCCCCCCACCCCCCAGCTCACACTCCCAGTCAGCTCTGTGAAATGCTTTGAGACGTCCTCCTGACGTGAAGGGTGCTATGGAAGCATGCAAAAAGTACTGATGTTGAAAATTGACAAGAGAAAAGGTCTCTTACCTTTTTTTTGGTGGGTTTGAACAGGTCAATGTCTTCAACAGAAAAGAGAGATTTTACAGGAAAAACATCTGAAGGCCAAATCTTCAGTGGATAAGATTCCTGTGGGAGGAGGGGTACGTATGACTGTGCTGTAAACTTTTCTTCATGATAGCCTACATATCATCTGAAGACTGAAGTTGCCGTTTAATGTGGATGGATGTTTACACAGACATAGATGCACTTTACTGTTAAACTCATTGGAGTGGTAAGCTTTAACCCACACAATGAATTACAGATTGCATGTCTGCTGTTGCAGGGAGAAGCTGATTGGGATCCAGCCACTTTTAATCTGGAATTGGGAGATTCCCCCTTGCAAAACGCCTGCCTTCTAGTGGCTGTGATGAAATGCTGTCATTGGGAAGAGGAGCAGATCCTCTTCCTTTCTTTGGGTGCAGAAAGACTTGGGGAAGGTGCAGTGTGTTTGCAGGCTAAGACTTAGTGGAATTTCAGGGTTCAGCACCTAATGACTTGGGAGGAAATTGAGGCCATAAATGTTCCTTTGCAAGAATCCAAATTGAGGTTCATGTCATTTTAAAATTCTGAAATCCTAAATCCACAGCCAGTGACAAGACTTCTGTCATTATTTATTTATTTAGGTTTTTAAAGTGGAAAGAAACTCTTAGTGTAGACATTAACAGCATTGGTAGAAATAAAGCAATCTCTGGCCCAAGATGCCTCATGTTCTTAGGATCAAGGCTATTGTCTTAAAATGTAAGATTGTGTGGAACTTTCAAAGACCATCTTAAATTCAGACTTGCTTTCAAAGATTTTCTGCAGTTTTGCGGTTCAGTGGAAAATCTGCCTCGAAAGAGAGTTGGGTATTGGAGGTATAAATAAAGGTGCAGTTTGGCTCAGTTGGTAGCAGTCTTGCCACTGACTCGGAAGGTTGTATGTTCAATTCACACATCAGAACTTTTAACTCGAAGGCTGACACCCCCATGCAATGCTGAGGATGCCTTGCATTGTCGAGAGCGCTGTCCTTCAAATGTGATGTTAAAAATGTTTAACAATGTCTGCCTGTTGAGGTTGACATTAAAAGTTTCATGACACTATTCAAAAAGAGAAGGGAGTTAATTCCAGTGTCCTGGCTAGTGATTCCCAGGTAAAATTAGTCATTCACTTCATTGCTGTTTCTGGGACATTGGTGTGTGCAAATACAGTCACTACACTTTACAGTAAAATCCAGTGAAGCATTTTGAGATGTTTCAATGTGATACGGTGCAAGTCATTATGATCATACGATAAACATTGTAGTGCCCATTGGTTGGCACCAGCATGGGAAAATATATCCTAGAAGAATCTTTTTTAAAAACAATCTTTCTGATATAGTTGGGACGTTTTCCCGATGGGAAAGATGCTATACAAATGTAATTTGTTTCAGTTGGTTAGTATCCAAAGACCCAACAGCAGGAGGTAGTATTAATTCTAGTGGGGGGAGCAACCTCAGAACTCGTGTAGTCAAATTATAGTTCCCCCCGCACCCCCCAAAAAGTCAATTCAGAGGCATAATGAGAGTAATTTATCAAATCTCCACTTTCTGATCAAACAATTAACTTTTGCGTTTGCAGGTCAGTCTATGGCCAGAGATGGATAATATGAGGCTGAGTAAAGGAGAAGTGGTCACCGTGACTTTATTATCTTTGCTGCTATGTTTTTCAGTTTTCCTCTTGTTTAAATACTTGCACGGTACGTACAGTATTCCTTTTGATCCCAGAAGGTCCTGATAATAATCCTTGCATCCTATAAAGTACCTTATGTTATCAGAATGTCTCAAAGCACTGCACAGCATTTTACGATAAAAGGTAGTCACTGTAAATCTCACTTATAAATGTAAACAATAAAAATCTAATATTAATCCAAGAAATTTGAACACAGCCCATAGAGGTAAATTGAGTTATTCGATCCACCTGGTCTGTGCTAGTGTTCATAATTCACACAAGCTTCTATACCTATTCCTTTCCTACACTCAATATTCCCTTCTCCATCAACCCTTCACTGTGACACTTCACCACACAGCTTTTTTTCTTCTAAAGGTTAGTCTGTGATGTGGCTAAAGAATCTGCACATATCACAGAGATTTTATTAGACGTTAGCAAGTAGGAAATAACTTTTTGGGGGGGAAATGAAGCTCTGAGCTCAGGAGAATGACTTTTCTCATCTGATTCAAGTTCTAAACAATTGAGATAGGATTGATCTATTGATTTTTTTTTGATAGCACTCTTGCCTCTGGTTCAAAAGGTTGTGGAATCTAGGCTGAGTTTTGAATGCAGCACTGGGGGAAGCTGCATTGAAAGAGGCGTCATCTTTTGGATAAGACAATAAAACAAAGTCCTGTCTGCCATTCCTTCTGGTGCACGTCAAAGATCCTATTCATTTAAAATGGTCAACAATACTCCCAAGTTAGTTGGTTATTCACAGCAATTTAGGTAAACAATAATAAGAGAAGGCCATTCAGCCTATTGAGTCTTTCCCATCAGTTTACTGGATTTTGGCAGATCTTTTAATCCTAAATCCAATGCCCTGTTCTTTCACCATAACCTTTAGTCCTCTACTACCCAGTTATCTGACTATCTTTGTTTTAAACATCACTATTGATTGCTTCTCTACAGCTTTCTGGGGCAGAGCATTCACTGCATGGGATATGGGAGCATGTTAGTTTGTAAATGGCTGCGTGTTTGTATTGAAAAACAGATACTACACCTGACAATAATTACTGCAAAGTGCTTTGAGTTATTTTAACAATGATGCATTAATAACAATTTAAGTGCTCTCTTTTTAAACCACTTGCTTCTGCACTCAGGGCCTCTGCTGTTGAGCCTCGATCACTATGCCAGGACAGTGAGGGCATTCCATGGGCACCATCCAATTATAAGCCAGTCAGGATCGGCACTCAACCAGTCACTCGTAAGGTGGCACAAGCATTTCTGGAAGCTGATGGTGAGTTTGTACATTTAAAAAAAAAAGTGTGAGATTCATGAATGGGGATGATTCACTAGTGCAAATGTTTCATTCAGAAAGGATGAAATCTTGTTATACTATAATAATAAAATCCTTGCTTCTGATATGCCTTGACATGTCGTTGACCTGGCTCAAAGCGATTTACTTGATTTAGTGTAGCGTGTATGACTTTTGCAGGTGAATTGACAGCCATTTATGCACAATGATATCCACAAACAGCCATGAATAAATGATCAATTTTATCTGGGGGATTGTTATCCAGGACACTGGCACAATCTCCTTTCTCTTTTTGAGTAATGCCATGGGATCTTAAACCGGCAGACAAAACCTCGGTTTAACATCTCATCCAAAGGACAGCACTTCTGATAATGCAACATGCTCCCAGGAATGTATTGGAGTGTCAACCTAGAATATGTGTTCAAAGTCCTAACGTGTGGCTTGAAATCCACAAATCTTCTGACTCAGAGATGAATACTACCAACTGTACACTATTAATAATAGAAAATCTCAAAATCTGAAACGACAGTTAATCATTTTAACCATCATTTTCCATTTCCATGGATAAAATCCAAGACTTGGCCATTTACTCCAATAGCTTCCAGCTACTTTATGATCTAATTTCATGTGATTGACATGACAGTATCTTGATTCCTCAAATATCTGTGGTGTTCTTAATTCTGCATTAAAGATTCATGCAGTGCATTAAGGTCTACAAGTCAGTGTTTTTATCACAAGTACAACACGGTGAAATTACTGTACCATGTCCCCCGGAGACGCCGTATAATGCCTTGTGTGATGTAGTTACACCTCCTCAGCTTCGGTGACTGGCTGAATCATGCCTCTCTCAGTAACGTTAGTCACGGGTGCACATGCTCAGATGTATTGTAGAGGCCTCTGGTCTGGATTGCACTGGGGCCTCTCGCCCTATTCTGTCACAGGATTGAGCAGGAGGTCTCTGCAATTGTAAGTCCCATCTTATAGGACGAGTTATCCGAAGTAAGTACTTGCAAGAATTTCTAGAATGAGACTTGTTACGTGTTAAGTGGAGTGACCAGGAAAGTGGAGTCCCTTATTAATATTTTGCATGGGAAGCAGATGCTGATATAGACAGCTTGGCTACTTTAGTAGTGACAAGTTAAACCTGGGACTTCTTATCGGGAGTTTAATGTAGTTCTATTAAAACTTTACAACCTCATACAATGAATGGCCAGAAAAGGCATCAGTGCCCCCTAATGACAGGAAATTCTTACTGCAACTAGTTTATTATTATGATGATGATGATTTCCAATGGTAAGAATTTCCTGTCAGTGGGGGGCACTGATGCATTTGGTGTAGTAATAATAATCCTTGCTTGTGCCTTTCATGTCCTGAAGCCATCTCAAAGTGCTTCATAAGATTTCACAGAAATGTGCAGTGACTGTATCTTGTAGGCAAACGTGGCAGCCAATTTATGCATAGCAATGTCCCACAAACGGCCATGAAATGAATGATCTTTAATGTCCACCTGAACAGGCAGGCGGCACCTCGGTTTAACGTGTTATCCGAAAGACCACACCTCCAACTGAGCCAGGCTGGTTTGTGTTAAATCTTAGTCTCAAAAGTGCTTTGTTGGATTTACTACGAAGCGTAGTGACTATATTTGTAAGCAAATGTAGGAAACTATCAAGACTAGAATTTGAACTTGATTTGTTAAGGTTGCTATCACGATAACTTACTGAATGGCACTTTGAAGGACATATTTCTCTGGCGTCAGCCTGAAGTGTTCAAATATTTTACTGGCATATACAATTTTTAATTGACAGGATGACATCCAGAGGAACTTTGAAACATCCTTGCACCGAGCTCATGTGACCTATATTCTGTACGTAATGATGTACATTGCTGGAATAGGAATGTTGCTTTACTACCTGGTGGACAACATGATTAAGAAAAGCAGACTTACTCCAAAGAGAACCAAAATCTGGTACGTCTTATTCTCTTGATTTATAAAGGTGACATACAGATAAACTGCAGTTTATAGCATGACTATACTGTGGACTCGTGCTACACTGGAAATGCTAATATTTCCAACTACACAACCTGCAGAAAGTGACATCAGTGACACAGGTGGATGTAAAAGGACTGCCCTGCCATTGCTATTTCAAAGACACCTACAGTCTTTCTACCAATTAACTTGGTTTATATGTCCTTCCAAATCAAAATGTCAAATTACACTAAAATCCTGTTAAGGTTCCTTTAATACAGTTATAATACAGTTGTGCTTTTAAGGAGGAACAGCTGGATTCCTGCACACTTTCAATAACAAGATCCTTCCGGGTCATCAGGTTACTATTGCTGTTCCTTCCTGCACCGAGGAAGTGATGACGGCATTAACCTGATGACCAGGTTTTTAAAATACAAGGAGGTTTGTGCACATATGTCCAACCTGCATTGAAGTGACATCAATGATGATCTGATGGCCAGGAAGCTGGCCGCTTTCTGCATAAGAGTGGGTATGAGAAGATCACAGGGATACAGAGGTGCTAGGGTGTGAAGGGATGTATAGTTGAAGATGAGCAACAGCTAGAAGGGCAGTCCAGTCCTACCAAGTCTGGTACAATAGAGTTTTCCTTCTTGTGGAGTGGAGGTGGGGGGAGGGCAGGGTGCAGGGAAGAGAAGGTGAGCATTAGTATTGTACCTTATTACGTTTTGTTCTGCATATAGGGTGACTCTCTTGATGGTCACTTCAACCTGGACATTTCTCATGATAAAGCTGCTGGTGGCTGCACATCACTTGGAACGTGGAATTGAGGGCACCGTATACAGACTGATAGAGGAACTGGTACAGTATTTACTGTTCCTTATAGTTGCTTTATGATCTTTTCAACACAATGTATATTTGGCGCTAGCTACAAACAGTCAGGTTTGCAATGGAACTCTTTATAAATGTATACATTTTTAATTCTAAAGTGTTTTCCACTGGTGCATGTGGCTATATTGTCTGAAACATTTTAAGATGGGGCGGGAGTGGGGAGGGGAGAAGGGCAATGCACACACTGACCTTACATAAGCATTTGGATGCAGCAGATTCCCTTTTTAAGACTACAAATTGCTAGCTTCAAAATGAATACTGAAATCAAACATTATTTTCACGATTTAAGGCCATGCTCTGAAGGCTTTTTTTGAGATTGTTCAAGATTCGATGCAATTTTGAATAACCCTTTTGGTACTGTAGCTGGAAAGCCAGAACACAATGAGTTTGTTTCAGGGAAGGTGCAGCTGAAAACTCTGCTCTTCCCCAGATTCTTCCAATTAGAATCAAAAGACCCGGAGGGGAGATAAGTAGAACATTTTTTTTTTACACAGCGAATTGTTACGATCTGGAATATACTGCATGAAAGGTTGGCCAATCCATCACGCAGCTCCTCCGCTCGACTGGCACCAGCCTCCTGCTTGTCCCTCGAACCCCCTGCTCCACCATTCGAGGTCAGCCACTGTGCCCCAAAACTCTGGAATACTCTCTCTCAATCACTCTGCCTTGCCCCCTCGCTCCCCTTTTTCAAGTCCTGTCTGAAAATCTTCCTTTTCGATCGTGCTTACAGTCACCTCCCCGCCCCCACCCAACTCAGAGTCAGGCTCCGAGTCGGGTGGAAGCAGGAAGGTAACCGTAAGCACGGTTGAAAAGGAAGATTTTGCTCTCTCTGCTCAGCGGGCTCTGGCCTGCTTCACGTCCCCTGCCTTGCTCGCCCCACTATTGGCGGATGGGCTTTCCACCATTCTGCCCCCACCCGCTGGAACTCCATCCCGCAGTCCCTCCACCTCGCCCCCTCCTTTGCCTCCTGCAAGACCCTCCTTTGACCATGCATTCAATCTCCCTGCTTCCCCCCCACCCCTCAGCTCGGGTCCGTAACTCTATATATGCAGGGCCTTGGGACGTCTTCCCGACGTGAAAGGCGCTATATATATGTAATTTTGTTGGTGTTGTTAAGTGCACTGAGTCTCTACTCTGCGTGGAGGGTGCTATATAAGTGCAAGTTGTTGTGGAAGCAGATGCAATACTAACTTTCAAAAGAGAATTTGATAGGTACTTGAAACAGAAAAAATTGTAAGCATTTGGGGAAAGAGCGGGGGAGTGGGACTAATTGCATAGCTCTTTCAAAGAGCAGACACGATGGGTCAATGGCCTCCTTCTGTGCTGTAAGTTTCTATGAATTAACTATGCAAGTGAGTCTTGTATTGAAAATATGTAATTTATGCTGTTTCTAAAACCACGCGTAACTAAAGCATACTTTTGTATAACATTTCAGGCTGAACTAGCTACGAGTGGCCTGGACCTTCGCTCTTACCACAACATTGTCACCTATTGGCGATTCCGATGCCTTCCTCCAACAACCCGTGGAACTTTGTACATCTTCGGCTTAGTAAAAGTCCACGATGTCTCCTTTTATTTTCAGTACTATAGCCTGCCAATCATTACTGCACTGTGCACACCAGTCATCAAGCTTTTACTGGCACTGAAGGACATCTACAGCAGGCCACGAGTTTCTTGAACAAACGACTGTGCTTTTAACTTCTTCCAAAATGATTGTATTACACTGCTATTCTGAGTTTTAACTGTAATCCACATTACATTTAGTGTATGTAATCTGCTTTACTCTTTGACCACGCCTACAGTCACCTTCCCCCTCCCCCTGGTTAGACCTCCGCCATTGTTAAGCGCTCTGAGATGCCACCCGGCATGGAGGGCGCTCTATAAATGCAAGTTGTTGTTGTTTAACAACAAGCAACTCGATTAACCTCCATTGTGGTCAATTCGAGAATAGTCTTATTCCTTGGGTTTATCACTCATTTGCTGGTCTCCATAAATAAAAATGTAGCCTCGTCTAAAAATAAGATACCAAAAAAAATGATCTTCCAGGGCTAAAGTTTTACATTAGTATTTTGTGATTCAATATCTTTATACAAGATTTTAAGCAATATTTTTCTTTGTATAAACAGGCCAGTAATTTGAAATGATTCCCACATCTAATTATGAAAGAAATCTTGCACATCTTACTCATGCAAATGACAATTTCTATATCGCCTTTGTGTGACAACTATCTTGAAGTGCTGTAGAGAATGGAATTAACTAGAAATAAAAGTTATCTCGGTAAACATGGCAGCTAAGTGTACCAGCAATATCCTAGTCACACTGTGATACATTGCCAATTCCAGAATCTTTTGGGGTAAGTTTGAAGGCGGGAACATAAACCAAGATGCCCAGGGGAAGAAAGCTCCACAATTATCTGCTCAAGATATAGCACACGCTCACATTGCCAAGTTCATTCAGAAATTATAGGAACATAAAGCTCTCATTCAGTGAAGTTCTTTCTCCTACAAACTTCATAAATGTATCCTATCATGGGCTTTCCCCCCCATACACACATAGAACTGGAGTGCCAGTTTAAACTATGGGTTCAAAATCCTGATGTGAATCTTCTAACCTGGGGCCAAGCTTACAGTTCTGGCCTCCTTTCCTTCATTTATGCGATTGACCAGACAAGTCTATCACAGCTGTTTTGGCTCACACTGCAATCCATTTCTGAGGAATACTGCATTGTCAAGTGCAATCTTCTGGCTAACAATCCTCCAGATAAAATTGATCGTTCACTTCATTGCAGCTTGTGGAACTTTGCTCTGTGCAAGTCGGCTACTGCATTTGCTTAAATAATAGTTTCAACAACTTATTATTATAGAAAACTCATGATTCACTCAAACATTTCCATGTTGTGGATACTATATAAAATGTAAGGACTATTATAAATAAATATGGCAGCTAGGAAGTTAACCAAAAAGCAGAAAAACTGAAACACATGAAATAATTTCCCAACACATGGCCAACAATCCCTCAGCTTGTAATTGTCTTTTCTGTTTCAAATGTAAAGCTCTGAGTAATATCTGTGGAAAAAAAACTGTCAATGGTGGATGTTTCTGGGGATTCTACTTCTAGTAATAATTGCAATATTAACATTTATTTGTGTTCTTGTTGGCTTTTGGTTATTTTAGTCTTGATTTTGTGCAATTCCCTTCATTTGATTAATCCATAGGTTTGAGTAATAATTCCAGTCATGTGACGGGAATTGGTATTATGTGGTTCAATTTTTCAGCCGTCACTGAAAAGATTTCTGATACTGAGCTGTGAAACACAGCCCACTACATGTAATGCTTGTAATTTGCCTTTTGGCTTATTAGTGTTGGATCCTTGGCATTATTGTGTTGCTGCTAACTACGCCTCACCAGGATCTCAGAATCAAAGAGCTTTCTCCAGCAGCTGCCTTTTCAAAACTGGACACCTAAGTAAGGACAAGTGCTGTGCATACACATACTGCACATTATACTACATCAAGCACTGTGGGACGCTACCCTACATGAGGGTCCGTTATATAAATACAAGTAGTTTTTATATTGTCTAAACATCCCATAATTAAAGGAGTTGTAATGTCAGTACATTGCTATACAATTTACATTTTTATAGCACCTTTCATATGGGGAGGATATCTCAAAGCGCTTGGGCACCCGAGCTGTGGGTAGGAACCAAAGTGGGGGGGGAGCATAGGGAGAGGAAAAAGATGATAAAAAGCATAGTCAAAGAGGTACATCTTGAGTAAGATGAGTAAACACCCACAATGCCTGTTTCATTTCTTAAATTTGTGCATACAGCATTCCCAATGATACAGCACAGCAAGTCTAAAATAAAAGCCCCAAGTGGAATGTGCTTTTTTTCTACCATAATTTCTAGGATCCTGTGACTCGTGGCAAAATATTAGGCAAATTTCTTTACTCCACACGCCTCTGTTTACCTAGCAATAAGTAGGAACCTGGTTATTAGTTGATTGGTGGATTGCTTTACCGGTGGCAATAATCCCTTCNAAAAAAAAGAATAATTTGTTCACTCAATCCACGACTGTTTGTGGGACATTGCTATACACAGTGATAAGGTGCTATATCGATTGCAAGGTTTATTATAAGCCGAGAAACTATTTCTTAAAACAGGAGCTGGAATGACCATAGCTATCGAAATCCTGAAGTGCTAAATGTTATTCCTGTGTTGCGTTTGTCACACAAGGGTTCATGTTAACAAACTAGAATTTAGTGTGTCTGTCATTGTCGTCTGAATCTTCATTTGGATCAGTTTAAGACTTTTCTTAAATTACCAGTTTGCACATTGGACGTGACAAGGTTACAGCGGATAAACACCTTCAATCATGCGTACAACAACAGCAACTTGCATTTATATAGCATCTTTCTCCAGATTCGACGTCTCAGAGCAGTTGAATGCAGTTGTACTGCATTTCTCGAGTTACTTCCCCTCACAGAAGGTGAGCAGCAGGCTGGTCTGCCCAGTGGTACTTTGCCACAGGGGTAGCATATTCACATTGTAACCAGGACACTTGACTGACATATTACATCTCCAGCTTTCCAGCTTTCTAATCACTCGCTGGAGCTCACGGTTGAGTTTTTGCAGTGCCTGGTTTTCCAGTGTGGTCATGTTACACGCTCTCACAATCGTGTCTCTCTCCCGACTCACACAAGCCAATTCTTCTTCAAGTTCTTTGATTCTGAAATGGATCAACAATATTTTTAGCAATTCAATTTTTTTTGTAGAACCAGTGGCAGTTGTGAATAAAAAAAAAGTTAAATCACTATTTTATCTTTTACTTTTCCTTCTCCTTTTCTGCCAAGAAACACTTATTACCCCCACAAGAAATGGGACACAGCTGCAGAGCTCTGCTATGTAGCTCAGAAAGCATCCGGGAGCTGCTATAGATATAACAGCTCAGGTTATGTTGCCCTCTGATTTCCCAAGTTAAACCTGTCACAATAAAAACAAATCAGATATTATAGTGCCTTTCACATCGGGAGGACATCTCTAGGCGCTGGACAGTCAAGGATTTGGACCCGAGCAGGGGTTGGGATAAGGGGTGGAGGGTAGGGAGGTTAGGGGGTAGGAGGGTGGCTGAAGGCGCGATCAAAGAGGAGGGTCTTGAGACAGGTTCGGTTGAAAAATGTCAATTTGATTTCATCCTTCGACCCATTTGATCTCATCCTTCCATCTTACCGTCTTTCCCTTTAAAGCAACAAGGCTAAATTAGGCATCACCCACCCTTCCTGTAGCTCAGTGGTTAGAGCACTCGCTTTGCAAGCGAGAGACCGGAGTTCAATTCCAGGCAGGTCAGGGCGAAACCTTGGGCAAGTTTCCTTACTCCACACAGAGCCTAATAATAATCCCTCCAAAAAAAAACAATAATATATTGGTCATTTTCAATCCACGACTGTCTGTGGGACATTGCTGTGCCAATTGGCTGCCGCGTTCGCCCACAAATATACAGTCAATTCACTTTACAGTATATTCTGTGAAGCGCTTTGGGACATCCTCCCGACGTGAAAAGTGCTATATCAAATGCAAGGATTATTATTATTATATTCTGTTATAGCAGTAGTGCGTCTTCATGACAAAAAATATAAATTCATCCTGTGGCCAACTGGAGAGACTGACACTTTCCCAGCATACGAGTCACATTCAAACAAACATTTACTCAGCTTTTATATTTGAGAAACAATTTGTTTTCAGCATTACCTCTGTAAATATTCCTTCCTCATATGCTCCACTTTCCTTTGTAACTTCAGATTGTCTTCTTTTAGATTTTTTTGAACCTCCTTTGGAAGCAGGAAGACTTCTTTCAAGACTTCTTGTTTTATAACAGACAGCTGTCCTACAAAGCCAAAGATTGATAGACAACAGCTCACAGCTGTGAACATTTAAACCATCACTTTCAACTATTTAAATTGTTTGCTAACGGGCAGCTGTCCTACAAAGAAAAAGGTTAATGGACAACAGCTTACACTGTGAACATTTAAAATGGAGCTTTCAACTATTATTGGAAAAACAATACATTAAAAAAAACTTTAACAATGTTGCTTTATTTAAAATAGAAATTTACAGCAGAGATGAAGGCCATTCAACCATCACAAATTGACTGTTGTGTTTACCTACAAAATACAGTTACTACACTTTACAGTAAATCCTTTGAGGTGCTTTGAGATGTCCTCCTGACATGAAAGGGACGATATCAAATGCAAGGATTATTATTTTATTATCTTATCTGTGCTGAAAGAGCAAATACAGCTTTAAAATACAACTTTCAATTATTATCATAAAATCCATTCAGTCCTATTCACCTGCTTTCCCCACTCTGCAGAGTGTTCCACTTTAGATATCTATCTTGTTCTCTTTTGAAAGCTAATATGCATCTTGCAGCACCCAGAAGGACATTCCGCATCCTAGCACCTCTATGTGCAAAACAAATTCTCTTAATCTCCCCCTTTGGTCCCTTGCTAACTACTTTAAATTGATGCCACCTAGTCACTGACTCACTGACCAGTGGAAGTAACTTCTTCAACGAAAATCATATTTTTTGTAATGTGTTTGTACTGACACAGCCACGGGAGGAAGAATTTATTGGCAATTCTGAATGTTCAATGTTTTCTTAAAGCCCTTATTTTCTTTTACCTTCAGTGATCGAGTTCTTTTCTGTATGCTTTGAAATCATTTTCGATATTGAATTCTTCCTTCCATACTACTCTTCACTTTTAATTTGCTCTTTTATAAATCGGCCATATTACACTTCATTTCCTGACTGAGAAGCCCCAGTGGTGATCTGCTCTGAGACCACTCATTGCAATTAGTGAACTGGATGCCAGAACTGTGTAAGAAACTGACTTGGCCTTTCGTTTCTAGTAAGAGACTTCTCCCAAGCAATCTAAATTCACTTTACAGTATATTCTGCGAAACGTTTTGAGACGTCTCAATGACATGATAAGGTGCTATATCAAATGCAAGGATTAATGTTATTAATAATAAATAAAATTAGAATCTCAGTGTGCTATGAATTATAGATAAGACCATTTATCATTACCATTGATTGTACAGGCGATCATCTCAAGGTGCTTCACAGGATTTACTGTAAAGCGTAGTCACTGTGTATTTAGTAGGCAAAGGTGCAGTGAATTTGCCTATAAATTCACATTAACTACGCATTACCATGAATCCTGTAAAGCTTTTTCAGGTGTGTCAGCAACATAAGGCACTAGATCAAATAGATTCAATGTGTGTTGTGCTGATAAACCTGCAAAGCCATCCACACTGAAATACAATGGAGTCCTGTAGCTCAGTGTTTAGAGCGCTCGCCTTGCAAGCGAAAAACCTGGGTTCGATTCCCAACAGGACAAAACCTTGGGCAAGTTTCCTTACTCCACACACCTGATGATAATCCCTCAAGAAAAAAACCCAATAATAATTTAGTCACTCAATCTATCCTGTGAAGCGCTTTGAGATGTCTAGAAGACGTGAAAAGTGCTATATCAAATGCAAGGATTATTATTACAATGGGAAAACATTAGTTGATCCAGATTCTGTAAAAATATTTTTTGCATTTGATATAGCACCTTGTAAGTCAGGGGGTTGTTACAAAGCGCTTTACAAGATCTACTGTAAAGTGTATTTTGTAAGTGAACGGAGCAGCCAATTTGCACACAAACAACCATGTAGTGAAAACATTGTATTATAAGCACTTTGGGATGTTGCAATATTTAAGGATATATAAAAATGAAAGTCTGTCTAATTAGGGAATATCCAAAAGTTGGAAAGTTTGGTTTATAATAATTATTGTAAAACTCAATTGCTGTTCATTCCTTATTTACCTGTAGATGTGCATTCCTTTTCTTCAATAGCTGCTTGAAGAGTCTGAGCAAGATACCAGTATCCAATCTCACCAAGAACATTGCAAAATGATTTGAACACACGGGAATCAGCATTTCTAACAATTTCGAGAAGTTTGGCCACCTTTAGCTCAGCCAAGCCTTCCAACTGTATAAAATACAAGCAGATGCATCACCTTGCTTGAAACCTTCCAATACAATGGATTTATTAAACTGTATATAATAACATAGTATTTAAATAGACCTTACATGTGATGTTGTGCCTTATGTCGTTGAAACGGTTCAAGGCACTTTACAAGATTTACTGTAGAGGGAAGTGACAGTGTCTTTTTTAACCAAACACCACAGCCAATTGGTACCCAGCAATATCCCACAAACAGCCATGAAGTGAATGATCAATTTTATCTGGGGATTGTTTGCCAGCAGCACATTGGGAGAAACTTCTCCAAATAGTGGATCTTCGATATTCATCTGAACAGGCAGATGGGACCTTGGTTTAACGTTTTATTATGCCTCTTTGATGACAGCAGCCTCAATAATATAGCTCTCCAGCAGCATTGCTTTGGAGTGTTAGCCTAGTGAGCGCAAATACATGACATAAGGCTTGAACTCACAACATTCTGACAGAGGCAAGGGTGCTACCAACTGAGCCAGGGTGATACACTGTTATCAGATATTCATTATCAAGCAAATCCACAGTTAAATATTCAAAGAAAATAAATCTCTGTGAATTTATTATTAGTCTAATGCTACATAAACAGAGGCAATGTAGACCGCGGTGGAATTTCTCCTCATAAATTCTAATTCTACTCTCCTGCTTAGTTTGTAGCAGAGATTTCCACATTTCAATCGACCTTTCTAACCCTGTAACTCTTTTTGTGATTGCTGTATTTTAAACATGTACCTGGAGCCAAAGAGACAAGGGAAATCCAATACTTAGCTGCTCTGTGTTAACTGATCTCCTGAATTCAGATTAATTGGCTACTCATTTCATTGTCGTTTACGGGATATTGCTAGCACTGATTAGGGACCTTATTTGTTTATACTGTATAATGTCATTCACTTTCATTTCCAATCAGTTTTAATTTGTAAAGCGCTTTGAGATTTATTTTTACCTGAAAGACATTATATAAATCCAAGTTATTATCTAGGAAAATGGTTGGGGGAGGTGAGAAGAACATCATTCATGTTATATCCCTCAGGCCAGGAAAGAAGACTTAATCTTAATCTGTCCTCCCAATTTAAAAGGCGTTATATCAAATGTAAGGATTATTATTAATAATAATTCAGCGTCTGTTAGTACCTATAGAAACTATATGTAATCCATTAGAAGAAATGTGGTTAATGAATCCAGGAGTCTTCATGTTCCCACTGCATTGTATAAGAGATTTATCACAATTCCCTTCACAACAAGGTTCCAATCATGGCCGTGCCACCACAATGAGGGCCTAGCAGTTCCCTGTGCAGTAAAATCAGACACCAAACCACTAAGAACCCTCATGCTGAGAAATTATGCCACATATCTCAGACACAATATGAAGAAAACATTTAAAAAGGGACAGAGGAAATCCAAAATGATCCTACCTCAATCTGTCCTATTTGATCCGTAGTCAAGACTCTCTTTTCTTTCAAACTCCGGTACAAGGGAGTTGACAATGAAAGCTTTTTGACGATGAAAGGGAAGTAGGACTCAATGACACTGGAGTGGAGGTTGGATGCAACTTCTCGTTTAGCAGTTTTTTCACCTAAATTCATCAGGGATAAACATAATTATTAATCCACAGTGACAGAAGTAATCATTTAATAATAAGAATAATCCTTGCATTTGATATAATGCCTTATTACATCATCGAGACACCTCAAAGCACTTCACAGGATTTACTGTAAAGTGTATTGACTGTATATTTTATAGATGAACTTAGATTTTACTTCAATTCAACAAGTGAGACAACTCACATCAATAACAAATATCCTTGATCTGGCATGTACATCGTCAAATGTAAACCAGGGATCCCAAATTACATATTGGGGTTCAAAGTCCTCTTATTCGGAGAATGGAGATCTAATACTGACTGCAAATATATCCAACATCAATAATATACATTAATAAATCAATACCTTTGAATACCGGCTTTCATGGTGTGAGAGTCGCAAAGCCCTTCACAAGCTGGGGGTGGGAGCCGGGGAGGAAGATGCAAAAGATGACGAAAACATGGTCAAAGAGGTATGTTTTGAGATGTGCCTTCAAAGAGGGAAGTGAGAGAACAGGTCAGAGGGAGCCAGAATGGTATTCCAGAAAGAGGGGGCAGAATGGCTGAAATATCTCAAGTGGAGTAGAGCAATTACATTGCATGAGGGCTTCCTAGATGGTGGACTGTGATCTAGAACTGAACTACAATTTGTCACTTAATCCAGATTGTGTACATCATGACAACAACTGGAACAGGTCACCAGTGAAGGTGGTCAAGGCCAGGAAGCTGGATTCATTTAATAGTTTGGTGCTGTAATGAGAAGGTTAGAGGATAGGTATTCGTGAAGTATTACTATCAAATAACAATAATAATCCTTACATTTAATATAATGACTTTCGTGCCAGGAGGACATCACAAAATATTTCACAGGATATATTATAATGTGTAACCACTGTGTATTTTGTAGGCAAATGCAGCAAAATTGGTCATTTACTTTGAGCCTGTTTGTGGCACATTGTTGAGCAATTTGGGCACAGCAATGTCCCACAAATAGCCGAAAAGTGAGTGACCAATTTTGGCCAGGACACCAGGAAAAACTCCCTTCACTTTTCGAATTGTGCATTTAATGTCCACCTGAACAAGCACAGAATCTGCCGTCCTTCAGGTTAATGTCTCATCTGAAGGACGGCACCTCCGACAATGTACACTCAGCACTGCATTGGAGTGTCAGCCAAGACTAAATCAGTTCAAAGCAGTATTTGTGGCTTGAACCCACAACCTTCTAACTTAGAGGCGAGAGTGCTAGCAACCTGACACACAAATGAGCAAATAATCCAAAATAAAACTCCTGATGATTTCAGCAACATTAATGGGTGAGGTAAGTGGACTGACCTCTATGTAGAACTGTACTTTCTAATACAATCTCAAACTTCTCAATTTCATTACATCATCTCGAAGGCTGCTGTGGATGTCAATTAATTCTATATTTAGCATCCCTGTAAGCATTTAGATTGTGACATATTACAGCATTCGCAAAAAAACAGCAACTCTCAAAAATTTTACGATTACCATTCAATTGGACTCAGGGAGAGACTTTATGTCTCTAAGACAGAGTGCAGAGCAATACTGCTTCCACAAAAGGCACATGAAATAGCATCACAATCCAGTAACTTACAAACAACTGGCTGCTCCTTAAAGGTTACTTTCTTTTTGAACGATCTCGACATCGCTCAAGTATATTCTTGGAATGAGTTGATTTTTTTCTTGTGAGAAGAGCAAAATTTTATTTATTTTATTTATGGTGGCTGAATCTCCCAGTGCAGCTTGGCTAATGCTCCGCTGTGAATCTGCTGGCCTCTGGAACAACAGCAGCTCTGCAATCAGTCGGGTCCATCCACTTTGGCTCCCAATATCAAGCGTCACCCTCACTCCAGGTTCCAGTTAACCTGTGTAGTGAACGTTTCTCTTTCTCTTTGTCAAAATAACAAAACGTGTTTCCACGCTGACCCCTGTAGTTGGGACTTGTATGTGTGGTTGCTAAGTAGCCTATGGGGGTTGCTTAGCACAGCTCTGCTCAAAACATTGAGACCAGGAACACAGAAACCTCAAAACAAACAAGGAGCAATCCAAAGGACATCCATCCATCCACCCACCCCCCCTTTCACTGTCATTCTGAATGTCTCATACTATAGTTCCCAGTGGGTGAGTTTGGAGGAGAATGAAGAGGAGAGAGATGATTTGACTGCCTTATTTGGATATAGTAATAAAAGCAGCTACTGAACTTGCATAGAACTGTAGCTCACAAGAGGGGAACAAAATAAAATAGGTAGGGGAAGGAAAAAGGAGAGAAGAATAAGAACATAAGTGGGGTGGGGAGGGGGGTGGGGGTGGAGGAAACTTAAAAGAACTAAATCCCTCAACACCCTAAGGAAAGTAAGGTAGATATAGCTAGATTATGACTAATAATAATTCTTGCATTTGATATATTGCCTTATCATTTTGTTGAGACATCTCAAAGTGCTTCACCAGCACCTATTGTAAAGTGCATTTTGCATAAAGTGCATGACTGTATTTTGTGGGCAAAAAAGGAGCCAATTGCGCACAGAAGTGTTTCATAAATAGCTGTGGATTGAGTGATCACATTTTTTTTCATTAGAGTTCATATTGAGAATTTTTCTGAGTATTGGGTTAAAGCCATTTAAAAGATTAGAACAAACAAGACTTGAAAAATCACAAGAGCAGCTTTTTTTAAAAAAAATCAAATAACTGATGATACTTCCACCCATTTCCAATGGAGCAATATTGCAATACCACATTTTGGTCTTTTGACTAGATACTAAATAATTCAGTAAATATAAATTTGGACGAAGAAACCCCTTTAAATCTTATACTTCCAGAATCCCCACCTTACCATATACTATCCATATCAATCAAGCTGAACATTCAAAGGCAATGATATTAAGCAGGTTAACAAATCCACTACTTGCAATTCATTCTCCAGTTACTGGTCTTCAAAATATAATTTGTCCAATGTTGAGAATATTCTAGACAGCTTGTCTGGTAAAGATTAAGAGAAGTTACTTTGGAGGAGGTACTAATAATAATCATTGCATTTGATATAGCACTTTATCATGTCTATGAAACATCTCAAAAGCGCTTCACGGAATATACTGTAAAGTGAATTGACTGTATTTTGTTGGCAGAACACAGCAGCCAATTGCACACAACAATGTCCCACAAACAGTCGTGGATTGAGTGACCAAATAATTATTATTTTAAGGGATTATTAACCCCAGAAAGCGATCCGTCAATTAAGTAACAACTGACTAACAATTGCCTAAGGTTTTGTGCTGCCCAGGAATCAAACCCGGGTCCCCTTGCTTGCGAGGCGAACCCTCTAACCAATATGCTACAGGACTCCATTTTAGTATTAGTAGTAATGAATTAAAAATCGTCATTTCCCACCCCCTCCCCCAAGTCTGCACTCACCAACTTCAGGTTACTCAGAACACGAGCACACAAACAGACACCTGTAAGGAATTCAGAAAGCTGCACTGAAATGTAACTATTTTTCTGAACAAATTGAAATCCTGCAGTGCAGTTATTTTGAGCTCGTTACAAGTTTACTCACCTAAAAAATTAAATCGTGGGCTCAGAAAATGCTGTAGATAGGAAGATTTTGCACTTATTTGCATTTGAAATTAATATACACATTTAAAAATATATATATACTTGTATTTCATAGAGCGCTTTATCATGTCTTCAAGATATCTCAAAGTACTTCAGAGTATACTATAAAGTGAATTGACTGTATATTTTGTATATATGTATAGGTACAGCTGGTTTGAAGGGTCCAAATTTGACTATCCAGCACCTTGGGATGTCAGCTCGATATGTAAGGTACAAAACAAATGTAATTTTGTATTGTTTTAAAAATGAATTAGGCTATTCAGACCAGGCCATCATGTTTGTGCTGATGTTTCCTCCCCCATTAAAGCCGCTTATACAATCGCCTGTGGTGACGTTATATTGATTTGAAACTGAATACTGTGGTTTGCAGTGAAACTATTGCACTTGACAAAGAAGAAACTCTTACTACTGGATCACAGGATTCTCAGACACTATCCTGTGTGAAGGGCACCATATAAAAGCAAGTGATAAGATTTTTAAGATTATAAATTCTGACTTTTACAAAGCCATGGGCTACTGGCTTTCTTATCAGCCATCTTAATTTAAGGCAAAAGGCAAAGTTTCATCAGTTCTAACAAAAGGTCATAGATCTGAAACGTTAACTAATTTTCCTCTCTGCATGAATGCTGCCTGACCTGCTGCGTATTCCCAGCAACTTCTGTGTTTATACTTAATTAAAAAATTTTGTAAGTCACAGAACCAATGTATTCAAAGACTTCAGTCTAAACCATCTACATCAATCAGTAATTTCAAACAAACCTCTTCATCACACATAGTGAATAGAGGAATCGGGATAAGGAAACTCAGGTAATTTTATCCTCCCTACCCTGGATGATGTAAAGCTAGAACCAATTTAACCTCCTGAAACCCTGGCTGGGAATCAGTAAACTCAGCGCAGAACCAATGAGCTCATGTAAGCTGTAGCTCTATTCACTAAACCATCAAGGTTACCTCATGGCTGCAAATCTGAGTTTAGCAGCATATTAATCTTTTTTTTATCAATAAAAAAGATCAGTACGGCAGAGCTCATCTTCTGTCCTGTTATAAAATCACAACATGCAAACCTGTATGACACTGTACATAGCCTCTCCTCTTCTACCCCTTCCCCCACAAGTTTTTGCCATTTAGAGAAAAATTGAAGTGGAGCATAAATCTTATTTTAATCCAAACAGAAATACAAACCAGGATTGTTGTGTGAAGCGATTTCTAATGTGAAGTAGGGCAGTTCATTCTATTTCAAGATAAACAAGGTTAAAGTAGCCAAGTTATTGGTAATATGCAACTGAAATCTACAGATCCTTTCATGTGCACAATGATTGAGGTTATAGTAAGAGTCAGTTACACTAATTTCAAAAATCTGAAAATCATTGAAATCTGCAAACTCCAATTAATAGGGATGAAGAGTATTCTTTTAGTGCTAATCACTAACTCTAGAAACCTGAGCTCCAATAGAGCTTCCAGCAGCAGTGTTAGTTGAGCCTTGTTCTGCAGGAGTCAAATAGTTGCTAACTGAGCACGATTTTACAAAACCCAAAGTGATCCAGCATCAGCAGGCAGACCTTTAGCCTCTCTGCCCCTACCCCTTAGAACATCATCCCACAGTCCCTTCACCGCACCCCCTCCCTTGCCTCCTTCAAGGCCCATGTCAAGATCTTCCCCTTCAACTGCATCTTCAGTCATCCTTCTACCTCCACCCTTCCTGCCCTCCAGCCGTCCTGATCCCAACCCCCAGCTCGGTGCGCATTCTTGACTCTTCAGCACTTTGTGGAGTCCTGTAGCTCAGTGGTTAGAGCACTCGCCTTGCAAGCCAGACACCTGGGTTCAATTCCAGGCAAGTTTCCTTACTCCACACGCCTAATAATAATCCCTCCAAAACAAAACAATAATAAATTGGTCATTTTCAATCCACGACTGTTTGTGGGACACTGCTGTGCGCAATTGGCTGCTGCGTTTTGCCCACAAAATATACAGTCAATTCACTTTACAGCATATTCTCTGAAGCGCTTTGAGACGTCTAGAAGGTGTGAAAAGTGCTATATCAAATGCAAGGATTATTTATTATCTGTGATGTCCTTCCAACATGAGACACAACACATATGTAATTTTTGTTGTTGTGAAATGGCAATACATCCACCCATCAAATTCTTGTTCTTGAATAGAAATTTAAGGAAAGATTTTTTTTAAAAACAAATGATTTATTGAATATTTAGATTAAAAATAGTAGCTACATTTTAAAAAACATGCCTGCAACTCACACAGATAAATACCAATTAAGAAAATTGATGTTTCAAGTAGAGGAGGGATTGAGACAAGTTCAAGATTGTGGGAGATGTCAGCTGAGAGATGGTGCTGATCCTCAATTGGTCGCTTCCAGCATATTTATGCTTAACACTCTGGATAAGTAAAGAAAAAACTATCAACACAAGAGCAGAAGGGATTATACAATTGCATAGCATTACTGTCTGCTGAGAAATGTACTGCAAAAAAACAGTGCAAGAGATCTGACTTGTCAGATTTTCTGGATCATTTTAAGTTTATACTACACTTGACAGGCTGTTGGGATCAATTTATATAATCATCAAAAAATTAGCCCTGATTCTGCAAGTCAGTTTAGATTCTAACAATTGCCTTTTCAATTCAGACCAAGTAGCTGTCATCAAAACTAAGATCATTTATTGTAATTGAAAGACAAGTGTCTGCTGTAGGAAGAAACCCATCACCATGTTCAAATATCCAAACTAGACAGTTCTACATATGTATACCGCCTATGCACAAACTTCCTGGTCTAATGGAGTGTTGTTTCCCTGGAGGGATGCAACCCACTTATCCATTCCAGAAAGTAGTCAAGGTGTAGAGATCCCTGATGGTTGGTACTGCAAACTAGCTGAAGTAATATAGCTTGCTGATGCGTACCATCTGGAAAACTTCCTGCTGCTTGTCCAGCTAGGACCACTCTACCCATTCAAGCTTTGGATTGCAGGCTTAACAGGATCTGTGTGGCAAGAATTCCTACTTCCATTTACTGTACACAAAGTATTATAGGAAGGGCAGATGCATGGTTACTGTACCTCACATGAATTCAATCTTACCATGTGCTTAGTGATTCTATTATTGACCTGTACAACATTCTTAGCCATGTGCTGCATCACTTGAACCAATTCATCTTCTTCATATCCCATGTAGTGTCGCAACAGTGGGGACTGGAAAGAATTGTAGATTCAGTCAACGTTTTCATTGCAAGAATTAGATCAATGCTTGTTAGTACAGACAAGAACTGGTATCAATCTATTTATATACTTACCCATTCTCCGCAACTTAACAGTGTCTGAGCCAAATGGAAGCCAGCTGCAGCAATCAGGGATGGGGGATAATGCACCATATCATAATCCCCCATAGTTAGTTCCATCAGGTATTTGGCAAGAATATGTTGTTCAGCACTAACCTAAAAAGATGGTTTTTCTGCATCAGTTCAGTCAACTTCAGCTGAATATGGACAATTTAGATGTGATGAAAGCATTGACAATTACAGTAGTTGGACATACTCCTGATGCGAAAGGCACTATACAAATGTAATCTTGCTGTTGTTGTAGTTACTATGTTATTCTGTAAAGCCTGAAATCAAACCTTTAATGGAGACAATAAACATTAGAATGAAAAAATCCTGCAAGATCCTGGAATGATATTACGCACTAGTTTAGGCCAAGCCTTCACTGACATTACTCAATGACATTATGTCCGCTGCAACTATAGGAAATGACTTACATCTGTAACTTTGGCAGCTCTTCGCAGAAAATGCAGTGGAATTGGCCGACAAAGAGAAAAGTTTAGCCTTTTCAAAATCTCCTCTCCATCTCTCGTACCTGGACACCAGTGTAAGAATTGTCAGTAACAAAGACAAAGTCCCCAATTTCTGGAGGATACATTTCTTCATATTTGGAAGCCACCAACATTGCTGTAACACCAACAAGCTGTAGTCTCTTTGCAGTTACTAGATTGTTCTGTTTGGTGATAGAGGGGTGGCAGAAGAAAAAAAAGCAAGAATTCATGTTTTGCAAAGTTAGTATTTCCATTAAAATGCACAGCAGTTTTTTTAAAAAAGTAAATGGCTTAACAAGTAGGGAAGATAGATTTCTGACTACATCATCCCAGAAATATCAGGTTATAATGAACTATAGATTTAGCCTTTGTAAACTCTGACAAAGGGTTGTGGACCCGAAACATTCACTCACTTTGTTTTCTCCATAGATGCTGCCTGACCTGCTGAGTGTTCCCAGCGACTTCTGTTTTTAGCCTTTGAAAATCTTCATTTTCATGGATTTGGGGGAAAGAGGTTGAAAGCCAAATACTCATAAATGGTCTTTACCTGAAGAAATTGGTCCAAAATAGATACAGTCAAGTACATGGTTTCTTGAAGTAGTTTAAATTTTATCTGAACTTGCACAAGCCAGTCAATCAGGATAGCACGCATCCCTCCAGTTATCCTTTGTCCTGCCAAGTAGTGGTGTCTCACTGCCTGTTCAGTCTGCACTCAAAAAGAACAGGGTCATCAGATGATTCACTGCCATCAATCACCTCAATATACATAATGAAAGTTCAAATATTGTTTCATAGAAGATGTTGCAAAAGGGGGGAGGGAGTTACAACAAAACTTCTCAAATGTTTGGCTGAAATTCAAAATTAATTTAAGGAAAGAAAGAATTAGATAGATTTGCAACATCAAGTCTAGCACTACACTAAGAAGGAATTGTACCATTTAAGAGCAGGGAGTTTTGGTCAATATCTTCGATATTTGCCTGCCTTAGGTAAGCAACTCAATAATTCTAGTTTTTTTTCAGATTGATCCTTGAAGTCCCCTAAACAAGTCAAGTAGGCATATTGCTCTGAGGAAAACATAACTGACCAGAAGAGACATAGCAAATTAGGAAAACAAAATCAGAAGAACTTTCAGTCAATTAAGCCCCATTTAATTTGGGAGAATTTAATCCTAATGTCCCACCCTTTCACCATACTCTTTAATACCTCTACTGTCCAAGCAAGTATGTCTTTTAAGCATCCTTATAAATTCTCTCTGCACTTCTTTGGCTAGCCTAAACATTGGCACATTGGTCACCGCACACATTGGTGCTCCAACTTAGTTGTCTATTGCCCATCATGTAGTTTACCTACAGTATAATGAAGACTGACCTCAAGTTGTCTTAAGTAACTGTAGATGTCTTTTATATATTCACTGCACAGAAATGGGTTGTTGCCATCATTGATATCGACATCTTCAATAGGTAGCATTGCATCTGAAAAAGCCTGACATAACACTTCAGACACGTCAACTGAAGTTTCCATTTGGGATGGCAACATTTGCTATAATGAAGTTTAGAAATAAGATACAGTATGTAAGAAAACAAGCAGATTTACAGGACTGCAAGTCATATTTCAATACATGAAAAGCTAATCACAAGCAAACAGGTTCATACTCCTTTGCTCTATACAACTGTAGATAACCATTCTCTAGGTCTCAAACACATCTTTTCTTTGTATAATCTCCCGCTATTGCCTTCTTTTGTCTTGCACCATCAACACCTCTGATCTCGTCATCTTCTGTTCTCCACCTAAATGTTTCCTTTGTCTTTCTTTCCCTGTCCCCTTCGCTGCTTGTCCTAATAATCTGTTCCCTTCCAACATCTGATGGAAGGTCATAGACCTGAAACGTTAATTCATTTTCCTCTCTCCATAGATGCTGCGTGTTCCCAGTGACCTCTAGTTTAAACAATGATTTGGTGCAATGATTTGCCATCTTGTCCTACTCAACAATCTCCCAGGTAAAACAACCAGTTATTGGCTGTTTGTGGGACTGCAAATGGAGTCTTCACTGCAACTGTAATACAACTGAAATCAATGCTTATAACAAAGCACTGTAGTTGCGATCCTCAGATGAAGGTTTGAGAAGTCCATACTTGGGATGCTCACAGGAAAATCCTTAGGAGCACTTAAAAAAAAAACTTTTTTTTTGAATGTTCCAAACCAGCTTTTAATATTTTTTGCAATATGCCATTTGAAACATTTTGCACAAGCAAGTCTGTTGCAGAACGTCTATACAATGGCTGTTGACTATCCAGTGAATAACTTATTATTGGACCCAGCCAGATCTTTCATGATCTTAAGTTTTACCTCTGGAATCAAAGATTAGCTTAGTGGACAGGGACAATGTTCACATCGAAAAAAATATGAAACTTGCAGCACCTACTTCAAATCCCAAGAATAAAAAGCTTTAAGGATAGCAGTTCATCAGTGTTTCGCAGAAAATTACTTAAAGTGTGGTGACTATTTCTAGGTAAACATTTGTACCAGGAGAGCCCAACATGTGTTATGACAAAGAGCCCCCAATTTGGAGAATTAATGAGCCCAATAATGCACCATTAAGAATCTAGCTTATATTGTGAATCAGAAATTCATTACAAACCTCCAATTGCTCAAAAATTTAATTTAGCCACAAAATTGTTTGGCACATGTTGGAATGTCCAAACTTTATGTACAATACAAGCTGACATCACATGAAAGATACTGTTTTTTTGCATTCAAACCTGAACTTTTGGAACATCTTCATTGGAGGGTTCCTTCTGCAGTATACTTTCTGATTGACATTTTTTCATTGATTCCACCTTTTTAACAGCCATACGTTTTGCCTATAGAATTAAGACACATGTTATTAGTTTCTATATTCAAAGCAACCCAAACTACAATTTGGCAATTCAAGTTATTATATACAAGCACACTCTACAAACAGGTATGAAGTGAATGACAAAAACATATTTGGAGGATTAGATTATTGGCCAGGAGTTTCAAGATATGACAGGATCTTTAAATTCCACCAGAAGAAACAAATAAGATTTAATTAAAGATTTTATCCAAAGGATGGCAACTCTTGATAATGCAGGTCAACTCAACTGGAGCATAACTTCCAACATGGGGCTTGAAACTACCTTCTGACCCAAAGACAAGAGTGCTACTAACTGAGCCAAGCTGATGCTCCAGTATTGCACAGTCATCTTACAGTCCTTGCATTTGGTTTAATATATTATCATGTCAGAAGGGCATCTCAAAGCACCTCACAGGATTTAGTTTGAAATGGAGCAACTGTGCAACTGAAGGCAAATGCAGTAGCGCAACTACACATGGCATCGTCCCACTGCCACAAAACAAAGCCTAGAACTAAAGCCATCTTAAAGTGTATTTGTAACTCAACACGAAAATTGAAGGTATTAGCTCTCTTCTGAATATTAAAAGCAAGTTCACCTTTTGTAAAATTCTCTTTGGAAGTGTCTTATTTCTGATGTCCATCAAAGCATTTCTAGGCACCAAGCTAGCAACTATTCCATCTTTTGTTGAATTCACATGATTTACAACAGCTTGGGTAGCCTAAGAAAAAAACATTTCCAAATATAAGCTATTGCTGACAGTATCATGCAAGAACTGACAACATATGAAATTCATTGATCTCATGCACCATTTGTTTTTAATACATCATATTAAATATTAAAAAAATCGAGCATTTTCATGTCAACATCATTAAATTTATCAAGATATTGCACAAGTACCCCGACTGCAACTACCTGCTGAGTGAATGTAATAAACTTTATTTCCAACAGCAGGGAGAAAGAAAGAAGTTCAACAGCAGAAGACTAGCACAAATTATACGTCAAGTTCAAGCATTTTATTTAAACACGCAAGTGTTTGGCAATTCTGTTCTGTGAGTAACACACCCTCGTTTTTCTAGGAAGATTAACAAGAACTATAGATAGTTAAATATTTTGTATACCGCTGGATGGAAGTAGTATATTCAATTGGAGACAGCTGCCAGGGACTAATAAGCCCAAAATAATGATAATACATGGCTAGAGCGAAAACACTCTCCCAGCATATTGAGGTCAACCAATTTCTGAGTAAGCATCTTGACAGCTTATTAAATCATGGCCGATTTAATGTTAATTTCTTGTTCAAGTACGCTAGTTACCATGGGCAGAATGATTATTAAATCAGCTGCATCCACTTGCTTCAAATAGTTCTTCAGGCACTTAACAGGTGCGACAAAGCAACCCTGGAAGAGAATCGCTTATTGTAGCATTACGTAGCAAATGCCATTGATGATCAGTAACTGCACAGATAAATGTAGTTTAAAAAAAGTGTTTACTTGAATAAACATATACAGATATTGCACACGACATTTCAAGAACCTGTGTCTAGTTCCCAGAACCCAAATCCAGCTCACTTCAATTCACTTTTACTGAGACACTAAAATGAATCAGCATCCAAACCATCCAAAACCCTCACAAGGAGACAACACAAAGCTAGTTACTACATTACTACAAGAAATATTATGAAAATCCAAAGCACCGATTTAAAAAGCTTATTAAAGCACCGGCAATCCCCCAAATCTGACCACATGTTGACTACACGCTTTCCATTGCAGATGAAAGTTAAACAACTTGCTGGAAATCTCTACAATTTTAAATGCAACTCGTTTTTATCTCACCCGTCTTGACTGGAAAGCCATATTTTTTCTCTCTAATGTCTAAACTTAGTAGATGAAAACTCGACTGCAAACAGCTGCAACTCCTGTTCCAGCCCGTAAATCAGTGCTCAGCCTGGCTAGCGCTCTCTGATAGCAGCTGCTCCTCTCCTCCTTTAAATCCAGCGCCATACACTGTGATTGGAGCAGGATTTATGTGTCCTTCAACTGGAAATACCTGCTACATGTTGGCTGAGCAGGTACCAGCCCAGCCTAAAACTTGCAAGACCTGGGTTTGATTCCCGGCAGGGCAATCAGTGGGCAAGTTTCCTTACTCCACGCACCTGATAATAATCCCTCAAGAAAACACAATAATAATTTGGTCACTCAATTCACCATTGTTTGTGGGACGCTGCTATGCGCAATTGGCTGCCATGTTTCGCTCACAAATATACAGTCAATTCACTTCACAGTATATTCTGTGAAGCACTTTGACACGTCTAGAAGATGTGAAAAGCGCTATATCAAATGCAAGGATTATTATTATTTATTATTATTACCCAGCAGTAAGTAGGAACTCGGTTGTTAGTCGATTGGTAAATCGCTTTGCTGGTGGTAATAATCCCTTGAAATAATAAAAACAATTTGGGTTTTGGCTGCATTGGGGGTGAGGTACTGTCTGAGGCAGGCAATATGACAGAGATGGAGGAAAGCCGTCTTGGTTAGGGACCAGATTTGGGGGAGCAAGGACAGCTGGGGGTCGATCCCGACTCCCAGGTTACGTACAGGGAAAGGCCAGGGAAGTTGACGAGGTCAGAGCTGCAGAAGAGAAGTTGATGGGAGCCAAGGAGTAGGGCCTGTATTGTCAACGTTTAGCTATAGAAAGTTTGCACTCATTCAGGCTTTGATGTCTAACAGAATATCATCGAACCTGGAGTTGCAGTTGTTTGAGGAATAGATTTGTGTGTCACCTGTATACATGTGGAAGTTTACCTCATATCTGTGCATGATATTGGCAAGAGGGAGCATGTAAATGTGGAAAACAAGAGGGTCAAGGGTGGAGTTTTGGAGTGCTGGGACAGGATAAAAAAATATTTCCAGAGACAAAGTGATAACGAGTGGTTAAGTAGGACTTGAACCAGGAGAGAGTGGTCCCACTGAGGTGGATGAGTGAGAAGCGGTGGAGGAGGATGGCATGTTTGACTGCGTTGAATGCAGAAAGATCCAGGAGGATAAGGAGGCAGGGGGATCCGTGGTCATAGAGAGGATGTCATTAGTGACTTTGATGAGTGCTGTTGCTGTGTCACAGGTAGGGCAGAACCAAGACTGGAGGGGCTCGAGTAGGGAGTGGAGGGAGAGGTGTATCTATCTGGAACACTATTCATCAATCCCTCCACCTTCCTTATTCTCTTCCCTTTTTCAAGTCCCACCCAAAAAACTTCCTCTTCGATCGTGCTTACAGGCACCTCCCACACCCCGGCTCGGGGTCAGACTTCACCACTGTGAAACGCTCTGAGACACTACCCTGCGTGGAGGATGCAAATTGTTGTATTTGCACTTCAATCCATTTACCAACTGCAGTAAAGTATGCTTGCGCAATGTAGATCATTGATTTAAGTCATAAATGATATGAACTATGCAAGTTTGCTTGAAATTTATACTTTCATACAAGTCATACTAAATGTAATGTTCCTAACTGATACAACTTATGCAAGTTTTACTTTACAAGAGGCTGTTAATGTCCATCTATGGTCCACCTGCTCCACTAGTTTACAAAATCTTGTCAGATTTTATAAACCCATTTGTTACCATACATCTTAATTCCTCTACAACCCATATATTTGACTATTTTATGACCTAAATACTAAGTAAACTGTAGTTTTGAATCTGCCATTACACAAAAGAAAACATATATATTTCAAGTCACATTAAAGGTGTAAATTGGATTTGAATGAAGGAGTGAGGCTGGAGATCTCAGAATGAGTGCGAGGATCAAACATTGAGACGTATTTGACAATCTACAAGAACCTAGAATCATGGTACTTTGAACCATGGATATCTATAACTAATTAGGAGGCTATTCAACCAATTGCATAAGTATTGGTCCTTGCTCTTCCCTTTAATCCCAATCATAGTTTCTCAACAGGTCAGAAGGTTGTGAAATTAAGACCTACGATTAGAAAGGACTTTGAGCTCATAGTTTGTGCCAACACTCAGCGTTTAGGATTTGGTGCAGGGTAGCATTGCATTGCAGTGGAAGGAGGACTCCTCCTTCCATCTTGCCTTCTTTCCATTTTTCAGGAGATTGCTGCATTATAGTGGTGTTAGACAATATTTAACACGTATACATCATTTTCAAATCCCTTTACTCCCTAGCACCTACCTACCTTTACAACCTCCTCACTCCACCACATCCCCTTGACTGTCACTGGGCTCCTGCTCGTCTCTCTCTACTCTGCAAAACTGGAACCCTCTCCCTCAATTCCTCCACCTTGGGGTTTTTCAAGTCCTGCTGGAAATCTTTCTTTTCAACTATGCTTACAGACACCTTCCCAGGCTCTGCCACTATTAAGCTCTCTGAGACCCTACCCTGTGTGGAGGATACAATGTAAGTGCAAGTTGATGTTCATACTGTGACAAAATACATGGATTGCATTGGTGGGGCCCTAACACAATGGCAGAATGTGATGCATGATTGTTGTGAGCAATTAACAAGTTGTTTGAATAAAGTATAAGAGTACAAGAATATATGGGAAGTCACCACTACATCTTAGTATTTTTGGAAAGAAGTCAAGTCAGTGTGACTGCTCAGTACGATCCCTCAGTGGAAGTGCTATTTCTTTTGTGTAAGAATTGAGTATGTTGTGGAGACGCTTGACAGATCTGACCCAATAAATTGTTTAAAACAAAGAAGAGATCTCTCTGCTTTAAGATTTGTCAATAAGCTTCTTGCTTGAAAGACCGACTCTTCAACTCACAAAAAGTGTAGTAAATTGTGGCAATACAGTAACTGTTGGAAGGCAAGTAGAGTTAAAGATTTTATTCAGTTAAAAAGCACGAGAATAATGGAAACATTATTTACAGGAGCACATGGTGCTGACAAAGAATCTCTAAAAGTTGGTCAAGACAAGCATCTTATTTCTGGGGAAGCAGAGATTTTGACAGGTTAAGTATCACATCGGATCTCAGCTGTGAAATTGTACTGATCTTCATTTGCTTGCTGCTGGTATATTTGTTCTTAACCGTCTGAAAGGAAAGAGCAAAATCTTGAAGTTAGTATTGATATCAAAGAATTCTGACAAACGCCAATAGTGGTTTAACAAGAGCCTCAAAATCAGTCATATGGATCACATCCTTCAAGTTTTGTATTGAGGTAGAAACAATATTTGTCCAATGAGTGATGACAGCAGATGTACATTTTAGTCAATTCCTCTAGACAGGGTTAGGGTGAAGCTTTGCTTTCACCATCACAGGTCAGTTATCACACCTCCCCCCCACCCATGGGGTCTATTGTAGACAACAGCATAAGAGTATTTGGTTAGACTGTCAATGTTTTGAGATAACTCTGGGGCAAATTCTTGAGACAAGTAAACAGAGCTGCAGGTAGGGCTCAAAAAAAAAAGGAATGGAGAAAAAGGGCAGCCCCTCAACCTAAGAGATCCATACAAGGGCAATGAAACATTGCAAAATACAGATGGGAAGTCATTTGATGATTGGTTGAACCTCAAGCATTGGCATGATGAATTACGTCTTCAGTGCCAGAATCTGTACTTTATTGGAAAAGTGAATATTATACAGATTATAATTTGCAGAACAGGTTCTGACCACATAAGTACAAGTATCCCACCAAGCTACTCAAATTTGTAAAAATGCAACATTTCAGATTTCTAGTATAGGATAGTGCCCTAACCTGGTTAGAAAACCATTTACTTAAGATACTTTGCCAGTCAACCTACTAACTTGTGTATTAACTTACCACATGCTTAGTGAGCCCCTGGTTGACCTTCACAATATTCTTGGCCATATGCTGCATCACTGAAACCAGTTCATCCTCTTTATATGCCATGTAATGCTGCAGCACATCATTCTGAAAGAAATCAAACTGGTCAGTGCACAACCCAGAATTTCCTACGAAATAATTTCCAGAGAACCACAGCTCAAGTTTGGCATAAACATTCTCATACTTACCCAGTCGCCACTGTTTAACACTTTCTGAGCAAGGCAGAACGCAGCAGCAGCAATCTTGGATGGAGGATAATGCACCATCTCATAGTCCACTATGGTCAGCTCCATCAGGTATTTGGCAAGGGTGTGTTGTTCAGAGCTTACCTAGGGCAAGAGGCAATATTCAGTCAGCTAATTGATTAACATTACAATATACCTCCCTTTCCACTTGGAAGGAAATGTGTCATGTTCTCCCTGGAACAGCTCCTTGAAGACTCATTTGCACAACATGGGCATGAAGTAGTTTTGCAATCAACTGATATTTTAGAATTAATACAACTTCCACATGTCAGTCCTGTAGATAAGTCTATTGCTGCCTAAAAGTTGTGGTATTTATTTGAATCCAAGGCATAGGTGCTTAAAAAAATCTCTGGTGCAACTTAGAATTGATGGTGCCTTAGGATTTAAGACAATACAATCCTTTCCCCAACTGCACACAAGGTGGGGGCACCTTAAGATAACTATGCTACCCCCTGCCTCTGCAAGCTCTTTCACTCTGAGCCAACTACTCACTCACTTTGTTCAACAAGTACTGCTCTGCTTCATCCCCCTCTGGAATTTCATCCTCAATTCTCTCCACTCTTTCAAGACAGTCTTAGAGGTATATTTTTTGGCCAAACTGTTATCTATCCCCTCCTCATAGGTGCCTGTCCACCACTGAACGGCTTAAGTCCTTCCAACATGAAGGGTGCTATGCAAATTGTAATGTACGTCAAACATCATTTCAGTGAAGCTAATTTATAGTTGAAAGAAGAAAAATACTTCAGCTATCTTTGAAGATCTTCTCAGAAAGTGCAGAGGGAGGGGCCGACCAAGAGAAAAATCAAGCTCCCGCAGAATCCTCCTCTCCATCTCGCGAATCTGAGTACTGGTGTAGGTGCTGTCAGTGACAAAGGCAAAGTCCTCAATTTCTGGCGGATACATCTCCTCATATTTGGAAGCCACCAGCATTGCAGTAACACCAACAAGTTGTAGAATCTTCTTTGTTACTACATTATCCTGCAAAAGACAGAAGCTCATTACCGGTGAATCTTTTGCTTTGGGAGCCAGTGGGTACAATTCCAAATCATACCCCGTCTGCTGTCTACATGCAGCCAAGAGATAATGTAAATTAAGATGCAATGTAAGGTTTCGACAGGCTAGACAAGGAAAAGCTGTTTCCGCTGGTAGGTGTGTCTGTGACCCGTGGTCACAGCCTTAAGATATCTACTAAAAGAAGCAGAGGGGAGGTTAGAAGAAATTTTTTCACTCAGCGAGTTGTTCAAATTTGGAATGATCTGCCTGAAAGGGTAGTGAAGTCCGATTCGATAACAGCTTTTAAGAGAGAACTGGATAGGTATCTGGGGAAGACGGGTTTGCAGGGTTATGGGGAGAAAGCTGGTGATTGGGGTTAGTGAAAGTGACTTGCTCTGTCAAAGAGCCGGCACAGACTCGATGCGCCGAATGGCCTCCTTCTGTGCCGTAACATTCTATGAATAAGACCGCAACAGCAACTTGAGCTGGAGCGCTGTACTTTACTTGGGCCTTAATTAGGGCAACCATTAAGATCAAAATGTTTGCATTTGACTGAATACTGGGGAACAACCCCATTACAACTCAATTGTGGATGAAGTTTCAGGAATCATAAATAGGCATGAGTGGTGGTTAACAGGTTACTACAGGGCTAATACACATGGCACGCAGAAGTGATGCTAATGCAACTTTATAAAGATTAGGTCAGTAGCTCTTCCCACATAGAACAATAGTAAACTGATGAACTGGAAGTCAGTCACGTTTCCATGATTGGATTTGTCAGAGCTCTCAACCAACATTTGTTCAGCAAGCCAAGCCTTTGAAAAAAGGCTTCCTTTAAATAACTATTAGGAAAATGTTCCATGAATTGATTCACAAGGTGTCTTAGACACACATCTAATTAACTGAAGCCGAAATACCTTGTTTAGAAGGGGATTTAAAGTGTGCCAACTTCTAGCTGGAATCTTAAGTCACAAGTAAGGGGTAATAGGCAGCAAGAAAACTTAATTCTTACCTACTTTCACAGGGTAATTCAGAAAGCATGGTGTAGTTCATTTCTGAAAGGAGTCTTAAGCTGGATCTCAAGTCCTTAAGCTGTCTGATTTCTGCAATATTAAATCCCACTAAACAAAACTTAACATTAATTATGGAACTACAGGAATTAGTTACGCAAACTACCCCAAATTCTTACCTGAAGGTATCGATCTATGATTGCCACAGTTAGGTACATGGTTTCCTGAAGCAGCCTGAATTTCATCTGAACCTGAACAAGCCAGTCAATTAGGATAGCTCGCATATTCCCAGTTATTTCCTTTCCCTCCAAGTACTTTGGTCTCACTGGCTGCTCTGCCTGCATTGAGAAAGTATAAAGCACAACAGGTTATTAATACTGCCAAAAAGGTGTTAAACTTCAATGCAGAAACAGCTTAGGTCAAATTGTCTTGCTTCAGAGAGTCGGGATTGTGGGTTCAAGACCACGACAAGATGCTGATCTCAGTCAAAGGCTGACACATCAGCCTGTCTGCCTATTACTAGTGAAGCACTGCATTGTTAGAGGGGCAGTCTTTCAGACAGACAACTGAGGCTCTTTCTGCTATTTCAAATGAATGTTAAATAATAAAGCTTGCATTTGATATAGCGCTTTTCACATCTTCAACATCTCAAAGCGCTTCACAGAATATACTGTAAAGTGAATTGACTACATTTGTGAGCGAAACCCAGCAGCCAATTGCACACAGCTAAAGATCCCATGACACTATTAAAAAAATGTTCCGCTGGTGTCCTGGCAAACAATCTCCCAGATAAGTGATCATTAACTTCAGATGCTTGGGGAACATTGATTGCCATGTTTGCCTTCAAAACGAAGTCACCACAATTCCCTGTAAAATGACACGCTTTTGGACATCATCTCAACAAGAAAGGTGCTGTATCAAATGCCTACCCAACTACCTAATCTCAGTCTAAATGGTACAAGTTAAGAGGGCAAAGTTTAGATTTAAGTTCACCACTGATGTTACTTCCTGCACATTGCATTCAAGAAATACGATCACCTATTATCTAACATCAAGCACCTCCTATACACGTCAGCAGAAACCCGACAACTCAAAGCTGACCATTGCCCCCCCCCAACAATAATAGGATTTGTTCGACGTCTGTTTTTCAGGTAAGGAAAATCAGCATCCATAACCTAGTTACAAGCAAACCCTTATGTGATTGCCCTCCAGCTTAAGACATTGAATAGATAGCCATCTGCTATCGTAGCTGGGCACAGAACTTAAGGGTAAATATAATCATTTTGATTCCATGTGGAAGTATTGTGTTATGGTCCTTTGACAGTATTCTGATCAAGGCAGTGCAACCTAGATGTCCAATTTGAGAAAAATGCATACAGGTGTATGAATTTGCCCACCGAGTCACCATCTGCCATAAAGTGCACTATACAAAGTGGCTCACTCATAGATTATGACTCTATACTCTACATGAACTAAACCAGATGACAATCACTTGGAGCCAATGTCCTACCCAGGAATTGGGGACAACCTTCAATGGATTGCAGATGCAGCATAGTAAACGTACCTCAAGTTGTCGCAAGTATTTGTAAATGTCTTTGACATATTCACTGCACAGCATAGGATTGTCACCATCATCTTCATCAACGTCTTTAACAGGCAGCAGCACCTCTGAGAAAGCCTGGCACAGATCATCAGGTATACATCCTGAGGTTTCCATCAGGGTTGGAGAAGCAGGAACTTGCAACTAAAAAGCAAAGTTTAGTATAAATGTAGGTGCACTTAAACCAATTCTAAAGTTACAAGAAAAGGTAAATTAGTTACCTAGTGATGCACATTGATCCAAAAGAGAATTTAGGAGGAACTACTTCATACAGATTGTGGAACTCGCTGACTGAAGCAATGGTTGAATCAGATAGTATAAAGGTATTTAAGAGGTAGCCAGACCCTCACACGAAAGGGAGGGAAATAGAAGGTTGTGTGGGGGAGGAAGTAAGGAAGGGTTGGAGACTCAAAGACTGGATGATCAAGTGGCCTGTCTCTGTACATCGTTTAAACCGAGTATCTTGCAAGAGGAGCACAAGCGGAGCATGCTTTGCACCAGAAGGATGGCAAAGCAGGCAAACTTATCAGTCAGCTGAATCCATTCAGTCAGGAACACAAGAGTCAACCTCTCATAAGGAAACCAACACTATTAGAAATGTGGCTGTACAGTGAGTATGTAGTTACTGTTCTTCATGGGTACACCCAAGGAGCAAGTATGCAACCTGAAACTGTAGAGATCTTCCAAGTTTAGACATTCACCTTGCTGTGTAAAAAGCTTACCGTTAACACATCTTCTGGTTGGACAACTGGTTTGCAAGGTTTCACTTGTTCCACCTTAGGAGCAGGCACATTTTTCTCCTATATTGTAGAAAAGTTTTCAAAGATTAACCAGCTGTACATAATCATGAAAAGAATTCTACTCATCTCAACCACCACCAGAACTCCACACAGAAGGAAACACTTGGGTACATATTGCTGCTAGTTGCTGAAACGCAAGCACACCAATTTGAAACCGTCAACCCAAAATGGACCCAATTTTAAAGTGAAATGCAGTGAGAAATAGTTGGACAAGGCTGTGAACAGCTTTTTTAAAAAAAAAGTGAATATAATGAGCATACACATCACTGCACATTGACAGGGAAACCTAAACCACATGATTTTCCAGGCACAGCCACCACTGCATAGGTGGAGAATTCAAATGTTTGAGACCATTGATAGCTAAATGGTTGCCCATTCACCAACCATTTTTCTCTCAAATCATAGAGTCACCTTCTTAACTACTATGCATGCTTAAAAAAAGTGTAGTAAAAATAAAACTAAATCTTAATAAAGCTGCAAATGACCCATTAATAATAATAAATAATAATCCTTGCATTTGATAGCACTTTTCACGTCTTCTAGATGTCCTAAAGCGCTTCACAGAATATACTGTAATGTGAATTAACTGTATATTTGTGGGCAAACGCGGCAGCCAATTGCGCACAGCAATGTCCCACAAATAGTCATAGATTGAAAATGACCAATTTATTATTGTTTTTGGTTTTAGAGGGATTATTATTAGGAGTGTGGAGTAAGGAAACTTGCCCAAGGTTTGGCCCTGCCTGGAATTGAACTCAGGTCTCTCACTTGCAAAGCGAGTGCTCTAACCACTGAGCTACAGGACTTCTACAATTATACCTTTTTCAAAGGTACCTTGGCTCCTACTACTTTCCCTCGTGCCTTGTTTCCGATGTCCCCCAAGGCAGGTCTTGGTCTTAGGCGAGGTTTTGTTCCAGCTTTAGCCGCTGGCAGGTGTGTCGGTTCAACATTGTTGACAGCAACTCGGGTAGTCTGCAAGACAAAGAACACAAGTTATTGTAGAGAAATGTGGTTAGTACATAGAGTGCTAGTTAATATTTACTGAATAAAAATCCACAATATACTTAACATTACACACGTTAGAAAATGTGACCAGGAGGCAGAATTTTGAAGGTGGGGTGGAGGAAAAAAAGGAAAGGACACTGAAAGTTGACAAGTTCTTTGAAGGCAGAGACTCTGGAGTAATATCTTTAATTTAACAAGTTAAAATAATTGGGTTGTAATTAACATTACTTTTATTTGTAGTATTCTTAACACAGCAAATAGCTATACAACCCTGATCTCGGAATGATGAAGAGAATCCCACATTAAAGGCATATTATTATGTCCACAAAACTTAAGTGAATTTAAATCTTACCTCAAAAGGACAGATCACACAAGCTGACTTGCATTACTCAACTGAATTAGTCTAAGCAAATTTGAAAATATACAAGCTTTAATTTTAATTCAACCTATATACAAATGCCATTGATCACTCTCTCCCCAACGTAGAGGGAAGGAGATGTACTTGGGATGAAAATGTTTAACTAATTGCAACATGGTGTGAATGAAATTGCACTGGGCTCAAAATGCACTGGGCAGAAAGTCAGCCTGAAATCCCAAGCAGTAATGACAAACCTTCACTTATAAGAATGTACTTATTCAACTGAAGCGTCTATACTATCTAGGGCAAGATTATACACAAGCACGCCTTGCCATCTCAGAATGTTAATTTAGTAAACGAGAACAAGACTCAAGTATCTGAGGCCAATTCATTTATTCTTGAATTTCAATTACTGAAGACATGGCCCCTTTTGAAGCACTGAGAACAAGAGACCATTGAAACAAAGGGTGAATAACCAAGTCCCATTCTATTTGCTGAGGCTGTTTAAAGTTTGCACTTTAAAGTCAATCCACACTTTCATAATGGAAAATTTAACATAGGAACCACCAACACTCACTAAAAATAGCTGGAATAAGGAGTTCATTCACATCAGGAATACCTTCAGTTTGGATAAATAGTTGATATCTTCTACAATGCTTCATTAATACGGCAAGTATCAAGTATTAATTAAGAGCCTGTTAACCCTGGGGTTGATAAAGCAACTTTTGACATAGACCTGACCATAAGGCTTCTCTTTTTTAAAAACATCTAAAGAGGGAGAAACTGATCATAATACAACAAGCCTTGCATATGATACAGCAACTTATGTCATTGAAAGATCTCAAAGCACTTCACATGACCCACTATAAAGTGGATTGACTATTTTGTTCCTTGGTAAAAGAGGGGCAATCGCTCATTACTCCTTAATCAAGATTCTCCATTCCCAAAGCACTCATTGCCGGGTTAGTTCAGAGGCACCTGCTCAGCCTTAACACTTAAGTTTGCATTCCTTGCTGCAGTACACTCCAACTGGTGTAGTAGCCTTCACCAAACTCCCAACATCTGCAAGGCAGCATTTCAGTTGTACCCAGATGACACGATTGCTACAGCTCCACAAGCGGGTCAAGTAACCCGCCAAACCAGTTAGCTTGTTTAAAGGAGTTGCTCAAATTAATCAATAATAAGCAACAGATGCATATAGCACCTTTCAGGTCAGAAGGAAGTCTCGAAGCACTTCACATAACTGACTGGGCACCCAAGTTCTTTTTGGGTGGCGGAAGAAGAGAAAAAGAGGTGAAATGAGTTAGATTAGTGGATGGGAGAAGAAAATGACCCAGTCACTGAAAAGATGAGTGTAAAGATGGAGGAGGGGTGAAGTGACGACAGTGGGGACTCCAGACAGAGCTCTAGTGAGTAGGAGACATAATGGCTGAAGCTCATCCACCAATGGTGAGGCAGATCAGGCACTGCTGACAGAGCAGACGGACTGCAGGAGATTAGGACCAACAGAGGGAGTTGAATTCAAGGATATGAATTTTCAGTTAAATCCACTGGGGGATGGGGGGCAGTGAAGCCAAAGCAAATTGGTAAGAAGCAGTGAAATGTTCACAGGGGCCACGACACCACATTTAGACCCACCCCGGATGAGTTAAGAGGAGAAGCGCTCTGCAACGCCGCCCCTGCCTTCGCCGCTTCCTCCCTTTCCTCCTTCAAGGCCGGTCTCAAAACCTTTCTCTTTGACCGTGCCTTCAGCTCCCCTCTCGACTCTCTACCCCCTCCTCACTCCCTCCCTTCCCTCCCCTCACCCTGACCATTTCCCCCCTCCTCGCTCCCTCCCTTCCCTCACCCTGACCATTTCCCCCCTCCTCGCTCCCTCCCTTCCCTCCCTCACCCTGACCATTTCCCCCCTCCTTGCTCCCTCCCTTCCCTCACCCTGACCATTTCCCCCTCCTTGCTCCCTCCCTTCCTCACCCTGACCATTTCCCCCCTCCTCGCTCCCTCCCTTCCCTCCCCTCACCCCGACCATTTCCCCCCTCCTCGCTCCCTCCCTTCCCTCCCCTCACCCTGACCATTTCCCCCCTGCTCGGGTCATGACCCAACTGTGCAGCGCCTTGGGACGTCCTCCCGACGTGAAAGGCGCTTTATAAATGGAATCTTGTTGTTGTTGCTGCAATGAAGGGCACTATACAAAAGCACATTTACTCGAGTAAATACTACCAATGTACGGTGGGGGGTGAGGGGAGAAGAGCCCGAATGTACCGGTCACCCACGAAAACTGGGCAAATCCTGCTCCAGTTTAACTCGGTCATGTGGATGGTGGACCTCGTTATTAACCAATAAAAGACCCAATTAAACCAATCGGATTAGTGCCACACGCTTATTAGTGCCTCACGCTTATTCAGCTTATTCAGCCAAAAGGTTTACCGTAAGCGCCTTTACTAAGATGGCGGACAGAGATGTGAAACCCCTTCTCTCGCTGGAGGTTTACACACACCGCTGGGATTTCGTTACCACGACGAGGGGGTGAAGGCACCGAGTGCAGCCCCGCATTTGGGTGAGGGCAGTGGAGAGGCGCAAATGCATTTGGAAAAGCGACACCAGTTCAAACCCCTTTGTGCATCCCAACAATAACAAAAGGGAGACTTTCGGTTCAAACCCGAGCCCCGCACCCCCCCCCCACCCACCCGCCCCCCACCCAACAACGCCCCCCAATTACTTTAGCCCTTTCCGGGAATGAAAGCCGGGCAGCTCCTGGGCCCAGGGAGCCGATCTCCCATTAAGTGGGAGAACCCCGGGGCTCGGAGCTCCGCGCCTGGACCGTTACCCGCTGAGAGCCCTTCGATAATTATTATCAAATGCTGCGATTTTTTTTTTTAGAAAAAAAACTTACTTTTCTCAAACGAAGAGCCATGACCGCGGCTGAGAGAGTATGATCTAAAATAACAGCTCAAAGTGTGTGTGTGTGTGTGTTTTTTTTTTCTCTCTTCTTCTGCCCCGGTCTCACTCCTCCTCTCTGTGCTGTGCCTCTCGGTCTGACCCTCACCGCAGCCGCACATTTAAATTCCCCGCCGGGCCGAGCTCATTCGCTGCCGTTCCACGTTCCGCCTCCTCTGATTGGCTCGGCCCCCGAGCCGCGAGAATGCGTTGGCATGGCGACGGCCCGCGCTGACGTCACCGCCGCGTCGCCTTCGTTGGAGGGGATGTGGCTGAGGCTGAGTTTGAATCTTGGCGGGGGGTGGGGAGTGGGCGGGGCCACCGCGGCTCCTCCCCCTCCTCAGGCAGGTTGTCAATCCTCCTGATTTTCAAACTGCTTTGGAGACAACCTCCCGACCCGGAGGGCGCCCACAAAACTACACAGTCACTCCGCTGAACGGTGATATGTCCTGTGAACTGTTTTGCTGAGGCGCTCTGTCAAACACACAAGCGTTCAATTCTCCTAAATTCACACTCTGGAATCCCGAAGCCTTGGCTCTTGCAGACTTGAACCTAATTGTCTCTGGAATTAAATAAGTCTTTTACATCAATGTGGATTAGGCAACTGCCCTCCAGCTGTTTAATTATATGTTAAAACCCAACTTTTGCAGCTCCCTCCCGCGCTCAGGCAGTCAGTTGTGTGAAATGCTATGAGAACATAAGAACATCAGAATTAGGAGCAGGAGTAGGCCATTCGGCCCCTCGTGCCTGCTCCGCCATTCGATAAGATCATGGCTGATCTTCTGACCTAACTCTAATTACCTGCCCTGTCCCCATATCCCCTAATCCCTCTGTTTTTTAAAAATCTATCAGTCTCAGCCTTGAAGATGTTCAAGGACTGAGCATCTACAGCCTTCTGGGGTAGTGAATTCCATAAATTCACTACCCTCTGAGTGAAGAAATGTTTCCTCAACTCTGTTCTAAAAGGCTGACCCTTAATTTTAAGACTGTGACCCCTGGTTATAGATTCTCCTACCAGGGGAAACAGACCCTCAGTGTCTACTTTATCAGCCCTTTAAGAACCTTATATGTTTCAATAAGATCTCCCCTAATTCTTCTGTACTCTAGAGAATACAGCCCTAGTTTATTCAGCCTATCCTCATAGGTCAGTCCCCTCATCCCAGGAACTAACCGAGTGAATCTACGCTGCACCCCCTCTAGGGCAAGTATGTCCTTTTTAAATAAGGAGACCAAAACTGCACACAATACTCTAGGTGCGGTCTCACCAAGGCCCTATACAGTTGCAGTAAGACTTCCCTACTCTTGTACTCTAAACATTTGCAATGAATGCTAACATGCCGTTCGCCTTCTTAGTTGCACCTGCAAACTAACTTTTTGAGACTGGTGTACAAGGACACCCAAATCCCTCTGAACACGAACACTGTCTAATCTCTCCCTCTAGAAAATAATTTGTTTTTCTATTTTTGCTACCTAGGTGAATAACTTCCCCACATTAAATTCCATCTGCCACCTACTCGCCCACTCCCCAGCCTATCTATAACCTGTTGCAATCTTTTTGCATCATCCTCAGAGCTTACTCCCTCACCTAGTTAGTGTCATCCGCGAATTTAGATACGTTACATTCAATGTCCTCGTCTCGATCATTGATGTAAATTGTAAATAGTTGAGGCCCAAGCACTGATCCTTGTGGCACTCCACTAGTCACATCCTGCCAATTCGAGAATGACCCTATTATCCCTACTCTCTGTTTTCTACCCGTTAGCCACTCTTCAATCCATGCTAATATGTTCCCATTAATCCTGTGGGCCTTAACTTTGTGCAATAACCTTTTGTGTGGCACTTTGTCAAATGCCTTCTTAAAATCTAAATATACATCTACTGGTTCCCCCCTATCTAACCTGCTAGATACATCTTCAAAAAACTCTAAAAGATTAGTTAAGCATGATTTCTCTTTTGTAAAGCCATGTTGACTCTGCCTAATCTTGTTATGGTCCTCCAGGAATCCCATAACGACATCCTTAATTAAGGACTCACGAATTTTCCCTACCACTGATGTCAGACTAACTGGTCTATAGTTCCCCATCTTTTCTCTCCCACCCTTCTTAACTAGTGGTGTTACGTTTGCAATCTTCCAATCAAGATTGGACATCTTCCCAATGTGAAAGGTATTTTTTTAAACATAGATTGTTGTTAATATGAATGTACTGTATAATGCATAAACTAATATTACTAACTCAACCCTAAGCAGCAATTTACTTGAGGGCCACCCCAGTAATCCTCCAACCTCCTGTTCTAGCATGATAATCCATGGTCACATTTGTGTTAGGAAACACATTTCCAGCATGGAACTGGGTTGAGGGTGAACAATCATCAGAAAAAATGAAGAGGCTAAAGTTGTGCATAGACTGAATGGACCCCTGCTTGGTTGTGAGCTGCTGGGTGGCCACAAAGAGAGGATGATAGGGATCGCAACCGACATCCCCACTCTCAATGGTCACAACCTTAGGAGTAGGATCTTCAGATCCTGAGTCTGAAGGCCATGATACAGATTCTCAATTGCTACCAAGTTAAGGTACTCCCAGACCTAGTTATTCCAGAAACCCTAACTAATTTACCCACAGATAAATATTGTTGATTTTCAGGCCCATTGGTTGATGGAAAATCCCTTGGTATTAATGTCCCAATGCTTGGTGCAGGTGAAGATGGACAAGAACAATTCTGCCTCTTGCTCGCTGATAAACACCATCATTGACACAAGTCAGAAAGCTTGTAACATACATCCAATTGAATCGAAGGGGATCAGAAAATGGTTCCACATCTGGATTGCTTCATAAAATCTACCAAATTGGTACCATAATGAATGGAAAGAAGAAATTGTTAAAATTATACATATTCTGCTGTCTGAAATCTATTGAACTACATTATAATCTTATTTTGTGCCATTCTGCATTGCTGCTGTACAACAGAATCCAGTACGTCTTCCACTTCTGCTTGTTAATTTGCAATTTGATTTTAAAAGATGAGCACTTCCAAAGTACAAATTTCAATGCTTTACTTAAATTGCAGATTTTTTCCAGAAAAAGATGGTACTATTTATTCTATTCAATCTTTATATCTTCTGTGCCCAACAGACAAAACCTAAACTATAATTTAATTATTCGGTGGACTGAATGAACAATCATAGGATCATGCTGAATGGAATATTTCAGAAATGAACACCAATTATTGTGGGAGCTAATGGAATCAGATTGCCATATGACCAGCTTGATAAATACTGTAATACTTTGTTTTTCTGGCATAATCTAGAATCTATGAAGACAAGAAAACATTATTAGGGCAAGATATCTTCAAGGCCAATTTTGTTTCAAATCAAGATGCTATCAATGTTATTGCAGTGATACGATTTTACTTTAGAGCTCCCATAAAATGATTCTGACACACCCGATGACTGTAGCATATTAATTTTATGTAACCGTCTTTCCTTATCTCAATCTATTCCAGCTACACATTTTACCTTTTTAATAAAGTTTATTGAACTCCATATATACTGATACTTAAAAGTATTTCAAAGTGCACAGTATTCGAAATAACATAGATTGGTCTCATTGTACTAACTTATTGTACGCAAGCACTTGAGGAAGCTACCCTGCATGAGGGGCGCTATATAAATGCAAATTGTTGCTGCTTATGCAACACAGTACATTAGCAAACAATTCAACAAATGCTTGACAAGAATGTCTGGTTATTATATGAAAGTGCATTTTCGAGACTTATTTTTAAAAGCTAGCTTAAGTGTTTAAGAGAAATAACTTGTGTTTTAAGAAGTGATGCACAGAACATATTAATAATTAAGACTATGAAACCCCTCATTACTACTGTTTTAACCACAGATAAACATTGTCATTTTCAGGCCTGTTGGTTGATGGAGGATGCCTTGGTATTAATGTCCCAATGTTTGGTGCAGGAGAAAAGGAGCAAAATGGACAAGAATTCCACCCTGAAAAACATGCCTTTTGCTGGCTGATAAAACACCACCATTGACAGAAGTCAGGAAATTAGTAGCATACATATGGTTGACTCGAACAGGATCAGAAAATGCTTCCACATCTGGATTAAGTTTCATCAAATCTACCAAAGTTCATCCCATAATGAATGGAAACAAGAAACACTGCTGTTAAAAGGTCCAAATCAATACTCCCACAGCTCTCCTTTACCTATAATGTTAGAACAGACTCAAATAGGAGCCCGGTGTGAAAATCAAATCAAACATAATAAAGCATTTCACAGGGTATAGTGCAAGTGGTGTAGTGACTGTGTTTTGTGAGCGAACACGGCAGCCAAATTGTGCACCACATTGTCCCACGAATAGCCATGAATTGAATGACCAATTTTATTTGGGTGATTGTTGGCAGGACACGGGGAGAAACTCCCTTCTCTTTTTGAGTACTGTAGTGTCGTAGGATCTCAAGCATCCACTTGCACAGGCACAGATGGGATCTGGATTTAACTCATCGGAAGGACGGTACCTTGACAACGCAGCACACCCTCCAAGATGCAATGGAGTGTCAATTTAGACTAGTCCCGATATAAGGCTTGAACCTACAATATTCTGACTCAAAGGCAACAGCGCTACCAACTCAACCAACTGGTCAATTGTATGTCATCTGGAGAAGAGCAAAGCGTTGGAAAACCACAGAGAGAAGCATCACTTCTACCAAGTGCATTTACTGAACTCTGTCAGGAGGTTTGCTGGTTGTTTGTTTCTGTAACTCCACTACATCTTATTAAAAATATGTGGGAAAATAGTACATTCAACATTTTCAACACACACTGGTCAGACAATTCACAAAACAAAAGCTTCACAGGTTTTGGACATTAAAAGAAATGCACAAAACAAACATGAAACTAACACCACCCATTAATGACTTGGCATGTCAATCATTAATAGGTCAATTTCACACAAGACGAAACCCGATTTAAAAACATTAAAATAAGCGCAGATCTCCTGTAAACCCTGGAGTTTCTACTGGATACTGCCTTTTATATATCTTCTATATTTCCAGCAGTTGATTTTGAAGAGACTTATAGCCACCCAATCTTTCCCGATGTACAATACTGTACATAGAGAAATTTACAAATCCATCCCTTAAAAGCTGAAATGTAAACACCAGGTTAACTTCCTGTAGATCCATATATTTAATATAATTGGCAATATAATACTTTATACACAATGTATCTAATGCTGACATTTGCCATTTCACTGTGGTTTCTTCAAATATCCAATTATCAATTTTCTAATAAACAAAATGATCTTTTCAAGAATGCTGGTCCTAATCCAATACATATATTACATGATGTATAAATCTTGCCAATCTGTTGATAAATACTATTAGACCCTGAAATATGCCAGTCGTTGAAGTTATCTTGGTTCCTTTTCACCAGCTTTCATTCACAAGAAAGTTTGCCTTTGTCTTTATTGGTCACATGATGTATGTACCATCTTTAACATATTTTACAGCTTCCATTTGCCGAGTCATAGCGAGAATATCATGGAAGCCGGCACTTAGACCAGACATGTGCTGGAAGAAGGCCTCCTTCTCCACTTGAACCGACAAGTTGTTCACTCCAGCATCTTTTAAAATGGCTGTCACCTGTGGAATGCAAATAAAAACATTAATGTTACATCCAACTGATTCTGTACATATGATGCGTCATTTCTAAGCAGAGCACAGTGTTGTATGTAAGATTTATTTACTTCAATTAAAAACAAAAATGATGCAAATGTCGCATTAAAATTTACATTTAACCACAACATTGGTTTAAGCAACAGTAAGATAATTTGGCTGATTTGTTAATAATAATCCTTGCATTTAATATATGTTGTTGAGATGTTCAAGTCACTGCACAGGATATACTGTAAAGTGGTGCAAAACTGTGTGTTTTGTAGGCAAACTTGACAGCCAATTTGAATACAGTTATGTCCCACAAACAGTCATGAATTGAATGACTAATTTTAGTGGGAGGATATTTTGGTCAGGACACCGGGAGAAACTTCCTTCTCTATTGTGCGATGGGATCTTTGACCTCCACCTGAACAGGCAGACCTTAGTTTATTGTCTCATCTGAAGGACGACACCTCTGACATTACTCTGTAGCAATGTACCCTACCACTTAGTCTAATACAATGTAGCATAAGTGAGGTATCGATTATGCCTAAGGCTGCAGACTTGCCTTCAGTGTTGGTGGAAGGGGAAAATAGACAAACAGCTCTAACATAAATGAGGCACTGTTGTTGCTTCTATTACCTCCTCCTGCAAAAACTTGTCAAACTATCAGTAGTTTGGTTTTGAGAATCTTAAGCATGGTGATGGGTTTCTGTACATGCCAGATACTTGGCTGACCAAAAAAATTACCCTGCAACAAGAAGCAACAGCAAAGTACATACAGCAGGCTGGTGCCCGAAAGTTTCTAACTAGACTGAGCTCTCAGCCTGAAAAAAATCAGAACTGACGAAAGGTCGTGGACCTGAAACACTGACTCACTTTCCTTTCTCCATAGATGCTGCCTGACCTGCTGAGTGTTCCCAGCGACTTCTGTTTTTCTTTTCATATTTCCAGCATCTGCAGTATTTTGTGTTTTGAGCTCTCAGCCTTCCTGACATGCCAGCAATAGAATTGTAATATTGATGATGATTGGGGCCAGAATGGGAGTTGTAACGTAGAAACAACGGTGCACATGCAATCTATTCTGTGCTCAGGCATGGTGCCTGGCATTCTAGCCCTCAAAATAAAGAAGGTGAATTCCATGCAATAGTATCTTCACAGCCATGAAGTGAATGACCCAATTTTATCTCTAGAAATTCCAACTGTTTCACTGCCACAGAACAGACGTTTTCTGCACAGAAGTGACCATTCAGCCCATGCCACTGCTGTTTTCTAAAACGTTCCCTTTTTTATTAAGCTATTTTCAAGCCCTTGTAGAAACCTAAAAACCTAAAACAAGTAGAACAGGTTTCTACCTGTTCACAGATTTCATTGCTTTTGACATTTTTTACCCTTTTTCTTAAAATTGATCACAACCAAATTACAGTGTTAATTATTTCAATGAATGAAAAACCTTGCGCAAAGGATTGCTCGCTCAACAAGCCAGCACAGACACAACAGGCGAAATGGCTGCCTTCTGTGCTGTAAATTTCTGACCCTCACCCTCAATTAAAGGAAAGTACATTGTATGCTAGAAAGTTAAATAATTAATGGAGCAAATGACCAGATGTTAATTTGAATCTTAAGAGTATCTTAGTTTATATTGTTTTGCAGTGATTTTATTTAAAGGAGTGAGATTAGATCATAAGAACATAAAAATTAGGAGCAGAAGTAGGCCATTCGACTCCTCTAGTCTGCCCCGCCATTCAATAAGATCATGGCTGATCTATTCTAACTCCACCTACCCGCCTTATCCCCATATCCCTTAATCCCTTTATCCACAAGAAATCTATCAATCTCAGTCTTGAATGTGTTCAAGGACTGAGCATCTACAGCCCTTTGGGGTAGAGAATTCCATAAATTCACTACCCTCTGAGTGAAGAAGTTTTTCCTCAACTCAGTGCGAAAGGGCTTACACCTAATTTTAAGACTGTGATCCCGGTTATAGTTTCTCCAAACAGGGGAAAAAGTCACCTACTATTCTGACATCTATTCTGTTGTGCGCCTTAATACTCTTATAGGTTTCTATAAGATCACCTCTCATTCTTTTATATTCTAGAGAATATAGACCTAAATTGCTCAACCTATCCTCATAACTCATCCCCCTCATCCCTGGCACCAACCTAGTGAATCTAAGTTGTACCCCCTTAGAAATACTGTGGAGAATAAAAGGTTGAGCAGCACTGACCTGCTGTATAATTCTCTGCTCCACAACATCTGGCATCACCTGCACATGGATGGTTCCTCCAATCACACTAGCTGAGTGGCGCCAGAAATGAGAATCTCGATAGGATAAAACACCTTCAACTTTTTGGATCTGAATCATTTTGGACAGTGAAAAAACAAATGCAGTTATTTATCAAAGCTTCAATACGCGGGGTGGGGGGGGGTCTGTTGGATGGTGGGGTGCTTCCAGGGTAAACTGAACTAGTTTAAAATTTCTTGTGAGGGTTGTCCAACGAAAATATACCATTTTTTCTCATGATGACAGTACTTGAATGGCACAATCTCAATTTTCAGCTAAACGAAATTTGACAGATAAGCAAAGTCGTCTTATAGCAAGGCACACTATAAAGGGTTTGGCTTGTATGTAGCTTGACTCTGTGGGATTACCTATTCCTCTGAGATAGCACTAACAGTGCAAAGGTGGAGATGCTAACAACTGGGTGATCCTATTCATGCCATTTCTACCTTTTACTTTGGAGTAGTGGCATTTCTGTATTTCTGTGTGAGTTCCAGCCTGACTAATGGGATGATGTCATCACACAGCACATCTGATGATGATATGTGCATGGTGAGGCATATGTGAGGATATGTGCATACAGCATATTTTGTGCTGAAAATTGTACATAGAACACCTTAGCATAGAATTGGCACAACTGCAAAAATAAATGCAGCTACATCAGGAAGAACGATGTCTTAATGCCAGTACCTTCATAGTCTGTCCCTCGTCCTGCCTCCCAGAGGGCATAAGCTCAACAGGATGTAAGTTAACAGCACAGAGCTAGTCAAATCAGCTGAACAGCCTTTTTTCTACTTTCAGAATGTGCTGGTTTTCGGATTGCAATTGAGGAGATAAAATATAGGAATTCTGATATGTAGATTTAAAACTAAAGGGTGAAATATTTACTTTAAAAATTATGAAACTCTAAACTTTCACATTCTCTTTTCAAGTATTGTTACGGGATATTTAACATCACCCGAACAGGCATACAAGACCTGTTAAACTAATGAAGTGAATCTAAAAATAAGATAGACACAAAGTAATCTTAAGAAATAACTCGTCCATGCTTCAAATCATTGAGTTGTGAAGTAAATTATTGTTTAATGCTCAATCAGTTGAAGCTTTCAGAAGTAAACTAAATTAATTTCTGATTTAGCTGGGAGTAGAAGAGCATAACAACAACTATATAGTGCCCTTCATGCTGGATAGCGTCCCGGAGCGCATAGATTCAGAGGAGAAAATGATAAAGAATGCTCACATTAGTTCTTCCCTTTCTTAGAAATATTAACCCTGCATTTGGTACACGGTCTTCACAGGAAAAACTATAAAGGGCCGTAACTGTGTATTTTTTAGGCAGGAATACATGCCCAGTGAGGTCCTGCAAACAGCCATGAAGTGAATGACCTTACTTTATTTAAGGAATTCTTGGTTAGGAAACCAAGAGCTCCCTTTTCTTTTCTTTTTGCTTAGTGTCATACGATCTTAAACGTCCACCTGAATAGGCAGACAGGACCTGTGTTTAATTTCTCATCCGAAGGATGCTCTTATGCTCCATTTATAAATACAGAAACCCTAAGAATGCAACATAATAAAAAGATTATTTGAAACTATAAAAATCCCACATTTAATAACATCAATGAAAACTGAGGACTCTAAAACACAATTAGACATTTTTCAATATCCTCTAACTTTTACACAAATAATATTCTTTCAGTATACCCACTCAGCCACAAATGTTTACAATGTTTTGCACAGATGTACGGGAGTAAACAGGAGACTGACCTTATTTAGGGCATTACTGAGTTCCTTCTCCTCTTCTGGTGGAGTCCGTAGCAGCAAAACTTGACAAGCATCATTCATAAGCGGGATGACGCTTAGAAATATTAATACAGCAATACAGAGAGAGCAGATTGGATCAGCCACCAACCAACCAAATTGACGAATTAGAAGAGAAGAGATGATCACGCCAATGCTTCCCATTGTATCTGCCAGCACATGCAGAAACACTCCTACAACAGAAAATGTACACTTCCTAATGTTAGATTTCAATGCTACATTCTTCTATTTAACTTCAAATATAAGACCTGAACAGGCAGACGGATCCTCAGTCTCATCCAAAGAACAGTGTGGCAATTACCCCGCATTGGAGTGTCAGCCTGGACCAGTGGTTCTCAACAATTTGTTTTGTTGGCCTCAGTGTGCGGTGGCTATGGCACTAGTTTTTCCTAAAAATAATTAGTTAATCATATGAAAAAATAGCCATCTCAAATGGTTTTCATTTATTTCTGTACATCTGACAGACCACATTTGAGAAAAACGTTTTTAAGCACTTTTTGTTGTAGTCCTTATATAAACGATAGCAGCGCTAAAGAACAGAACATGGGTTAGTTACAGCATTTTCTGAATATAGAGCAATACCCGCCATGTACAAGAATTTTCATGCCTCATTTTACTTCCAGTCATGCAAATTTTCTTACAAATGTCATTGCTCTTAGTTGTTTAGGATAGCAAATACTATTTAAAATGAATAGCGTATAGATTTAAAACATTACTTTTTGCATTTGTATTTTAAAAAATTAATGCTTAGCAGTAGGCTTCTGGCCTACCAGCAGTGTTGTTTACCTCTCATGTTAGCGTTCATTCCTCTCCCTGAAGATCCATGGGAGTGTCCATGACTGTGACTGTGACCGTGTCCTCCTCCATGTCCATGGTCGCTGTGGGAATGACCGTGCCCATGACCATGCTCGTGTGAAGAACAGCTACTTCGGGATCCACTATGGGAATGAGCATGACTAAAGGCACAGATGCCAATCAGGTTCACTATGAGACCTCCGATAGAGACCGGCTGAACCAAGAATTAAGAAAGGCACAAAGGGATCAACACATTATCTGATCAAATTTGTGACTGACATAAGCACAGTAAACTTTTGCTGTCTGAATAAATCTCCTTTGCAGCAAATAGATTATATTACTGAACAATTACTTTTTAATATTAAAATAATTCTGAATTTTTTAAAAATGATAATAATCCTTGCATTTGATATAGTGCTAATCACATATTCGAGACGTCTCAAAGCGCTTCACAGAATATACTTAAAGTGAATTGACTGTATATTTTGCGGGTGAAACATGGCAGCCAATTGCGCGCAGGAGTTTTCCACAAACAGTCGTAGATTCAGTGGCCAAATTATTATTATTTTTCAAAAATGTTTTTGAAGGAATTATTACCTCCGGAAAAGCGATCCGCCAATCGACTAACAACCGAGTTCCTACTCACTGCTAGGTAAGCAGAGGTGTGTGGAGTAAGAAAACGTGCCTAACGTTTCGCTATTGATAAAACTATTAATTACAAAAACAGTAATAAATTGGTCATTTTCAATCCACGACTGTTTGTGGGACACTGCTGTGCGCAATTGGCTGCCACGTTTCGCCCACAAATTCACAATCAATTCACTTTTACAGCATATTCTGTGAAGCACTTTGAGACGTCTAGAAGATGTGAAAAGTGCTATATCAAACGCAAGGATTATTATTATATTATTATAAAATGCAATTACTGCAAATTCATATTTTGTCTCCCCAGGTAATGATTACATCAAAACATTAGTTAGGATTGTGGAGATACAGGCTTTTTAAAGAAAAAGTTTACAATCTCTCTTTCTGGAAACTGGATTATCGATAACTGAAAAGCCAAGAAACACGTACCGTGAGCATATCTGTGTCTATGTCTGGCGGATCAAACAATCTTGCCACAGACTCAATAAAAACAAAAAATGATATGACCATTAGGAAAAGGCCATTAATGAATCCGGACAGAATTTCAAGGCGCCCATATCTGGGGAAGGGAGACAAATAGTCAACCACGCTCCTTCATTACGTACATTGCTATCAGAAGCAACAGACACTGCAATCATGTTAAGGCTGTGCTACACAATAATATTACATAAACATCACAATAATGATTTCTAAAATGAAATATAAATGCTAAGTTCATTTATCAATAATGCACTGATGAGCGGCAGCTTGTTGAGCCAACACAGCACTATCATATTACCAGTTTCAATTGTTCAAGTCAGTACAGTACAGTGCTTCTTTTTGGATCAGTGTAGGCATCAGCATTCAGGGAAAAGGGTCAAATCTAGCGGCACCAACTGAAGACTTTTTCAATGCTCCAGTGGGCAAACATCAATGTGAAGATAACAGAGTTTGTTCCCTGGTTAGTTCTGAGTTACACACTGTCAGTCATTGTGATGGGGTTACAAATTGGCATTGACAACCCTGGCCTATGGAAAATTAAATGAACTAATCAGAAATCTCGAAAACTAACCACTATTCAATATCCTACTGTGTGAAGGCAAAAGCTACTCAGCTGTGATGTTCCCACAATTGAATAACCTACTGAAATCATTGGTCAGGTTCAGAGATCAAGAATAGCAAACGGATGAAATACCTGAGGACTGGCAGACCCTGCAATATTGTGTCCAGTACAACTCAGTGCCTTCAAGAGAGAGGAAAGTAAAAGTAGAGGTGGGGAGAACAAAAGAAGGAGCAAGAATACAAACCCATAAGAATAAATTCGAGTTGCCTTCCATCTGGTCATTAGGGCAGCAAAGAGTCCCAAGACTAAAGCAGAGCAGTCAAACAGCATGTGAAAACCATCAGAGATGAGACCAAGGCTGTTTGTCCACACACCATAGAAGAGTTCCACAAAAGTAAAGGCCTAAAACAGAAAATAGAGGACATCATTATTCAGTCTTCAGAGTCACAGATAAGAGCAAAATGTTGTAAAATTGTACCCAGCAGAGTACTTATTATTTATTGCTTTTACTCATTTTATGAATCAAAGCGTTTCAGATGCAGCTGAAACACTCGTCCATACATTCGTCATCTCCCACACTGACTGTTCAAATGTCCTCCTCGATGGTCTCCCAGCTCCACCATCCATAGAACCCAGCTGATCCAAAACTCCTCCACCTGTATACTCACCTGCATTAAACTCTGTACCCCCATCATACCAGTTCTAGCCAGACTCCACTGGCTCCCTATTGCCCAATGGATTGATTTCAAGATCCTCATACTCGTCTTAGAATCATTTCTTGTCTTGGCACCTCCCTACCTCTCCGACCTGATTACGCCCCAACCCACTATCCGGTGCCTCCGCCCAACTTCATGCATGTCCTTTATGTCCTCTGTTCCACTATAGAGGGTCGTGCTTTCGGCCACTATGCCCTGAAACTCTGGAACACTCTTCCTCTATCCCAGTGCCTGCCCACTCCTTCCCTATATTTAGGTCGTACCTGAAGACCTTTCTCTTCGACACTACCTACGGTCACCTTCCCCCCACCCCCTCCTCGTGCGTCAAATACACTGGGACACTACCTTGCATGAGGGGCGCAATATAAATGCAGGTTGTTGTTTGCTTCCTTGGTTCTAATAACTGGAATTTGAAAGAAAATCAGTTCACTATTCATTCCACTTCATATATTAAAACTTGCCCGTCTGCTTTTGATTGAAATATATCCTGAATAAGAATTTGCACATAATTTTCTCCCTATTGTATGCTTACTTTATACATGAATCTCACTAATCTTTACACATCATTATAAACCTTAAATATTACAATTGTGATCTAGTGTCCCAACAGGACAATATGGAGTAAGATGCTTCCTGTTACTGCTGCATTCAAATCCTGGCCCTCTCAATGCAAAGGAATTATTTTATAAAGGCACTTGTTTACAAAATAAGTTTACCAGAGTAAGACTGACACAAGTGCATTGTGCTATAGATTTGCTTCAAAATCAGTGTGAGAGATTCTAGTAGTTATGCTTTTATCAAAGAATGGTAATTTAAAGAACGTGTCTCTGCAGCCTGCTAAATATGATCCACTTTGACATATTTTCTTTAAAGAGTAAGTGCGATTTTTAGTCATCTATTTGATTGGAGGGACTATTCAATCAAGATACTAATCTCCAGTGTGCCTTAACAGCACACCTCCCCCCATTTCGAGGGGCATTGAATCCTCAAGTATTGGGTATTACCACCTTTCTTGAAGTGTTCTTCACGTTACCTCTAGAAACATCAGTAAGTCACAAAGCAAGGCAAACAACAGCTGGTAAATTCATGTTCACCGTGTTTTCTGGCTTAGATATCCAGCTTGTCCCGACAGACCATTAATATGCTTTTGGTACTGCTAACCCGTCTCGACCTTCCCTGGAGATTGGTTGGGGGTGCGGGGGGGGCGGGGTGGAGAGAGAGCAGAGACCTCCAGCGACAAGTAGCCTCAGAATCTGTGACACCTGCTTTCAATTGCTTATATTTGAACCAGTTCTGCATTTGAGTTTTAAATCCATTAGTTGAATAGAGACATCTGATTTATCATGTAGGCAGTTTGAGGAGAGACATTTGATCCATCACGTAGGCAGCAGTAGATCAGGTTAAGTTTGTACCTTGTACAAAGTGACCCGGATACGTTTATATTTCATGTGAGAAGAACAAAGAGCATTTTACAGCTGAACAGAGATTCTATTAAACTACATAGCTAGAGACCTGGGTTCGATTCCCGGCAGGGTGAAACCTTGGGCAAGTTTCCTTACTCTACAAGCCTGATAATAATCCCTCAAAAAAATAATAAATTGGTCATTTCAATCCACGACTGTTTGTGGGACACTGCTGTGCGTAATTGGCTGCTGCATTTCGCCCACAAATATACAATCAATTCACTTTAGTCTATTCTGTAAAGTGCTTTAAGACGTCTAGAAGATGTGAAAAGCTCTATATCAAATGCAAGGTTTATTATTATAATTATTAGATGCAACTACCCAGGCATCGTTCATCACGTGGAGTCCTGCAGCTCAGTGGTTAGAGCACTCGCCTCGCAAAGGAGAGGCCTGGGTTCAATTCCTGGATGGGCGAAACCTTGGGTTTGCATCCTTTCAGAGTAATCAAAGAACTTCATATGTCATAAAGAGGGAGGGATTCCAAGAACTGGACAACCTGTTCCTGTACTGCTTCATCGTATAGTCTGCCTCACACTGAGGTCAATGTTGTACCAACAGCAGGATGCCATCACATCAACCTGACTTTCATAAAAGGAAGGAGGTAGACCAGCAGCCTCATGACCGGACTGCTTTCCTGTTGCTGGTTACAGTGCTGTCGCTCTCCACCCGCTAACCCTGTGGCCCAACACCAGCATAAGGCTTGATGACATTGGGCCAACGACATGTGTGTGTTGGAATACATGAGTACACAAGGATCTCACAATGGATCAGGTGAACATGTTGGTGGTAAGAAGAGCATGCCTGAATATCATCACTTTCACACTGCTTAATAATAATAATAATAATCCTTGCATTTGATATAGCGCTTTCCACGTCGGGAGGACGCCCCAAAGCGCTTCACAGAACACACTGTAAAGTGAATTGACTGTATATATGTGGGCGAACACGGCAGCCAATTGCGCACAGCAATGTCCCACAAACAGTCGTAGATTGAAAATGACCAATTTATTATTGTTTTGGGTTTTGGAGGGATTATTATTAGGCGTGTGGAGTAAGGAAACTTGCCCAAGGTTTCGCCCTGCCTGGATTTGAACTCGGGTCTCTCGCTTGCAAAGTGAGTGCTCTAACCACTGAGCTACAGGACTTTTCTGGTTGTTGAAGGTGTAAGACTTTGTTGTTGTTGTAGTAAGATGAGGCTAAGTATAAAGGCTTGGTACAACAATAGGCAACAGAAGTCATTGCTGTTAACAAAACAGCTGAACTGATATTCTGGCACCCCAAAATCAACATCGTAACACAGTGAGGTCATTTAGCTCATTGCACCTTTCTGCCAGTTCATCAGCTCATAGCAAATCGATGACCCAGAAGGCTGCCGGTTTTTAAGCACAGTAAACCGGCTAGTCAATGTTGGAAGATGGGCATTCCCCTTCAGGTATGACATTGCCAAGCTATACTGACCGAGTATATTGACTTACAGGATCCCTGTACCGTGTAGGTCCACTTAGAATAATAATAATCCTTGCATTTGATATGGTCTCAAAGCGCTTCACAGAATATACTGTAAAGTGAATTGACTGTATATTTTATGGGCGAAATGCGGCAGCCAATTGAGCACAGCAGTGTCCCACAAACAGTCGTGGATTGAGGTGACCAATTTTTTTTTAAGGAATTAGAAAAGCCTGGAAAAGCGATCCTCCAACTGACTGACAACTGGGTTCCTACTTGCTGCTAGGAAAACAGAGGTATGTGGAGTAAGGAAACTTGCGCAAAATTTTGCCCTGCCGGGAATTGAACCCAGGTCTCTAACTTGTCTGGCAAGTGCTCTAACCACTAAGCTACAGGACTCCAACTACAGAATGCAGGTTTACTGTGGCCCTGCGCCAGATCTGAAGTGCAGTACACTTCTAACAATCCAAAGAAATCATTTAAAACTAATAAAATATTTCAAATATGAAAATGATACTCAAAGGTGAAATACTCACTAGGTTAAGGCAGAGAAAGTAGAAGATCTGTCTTGAATCATATTCCTCCAGGATTTGTTTCAGTGATTCCTTAATAAATCTGGGCAGGGACTGGGATGTATGCTGCATGGCATCTCCCATAAAGTTGTAGAGTGGAGTCCCTTCAGGTGAGTATCCGACTAGTGTACCTTTCTGACCTTTCTTGGAGGGTGAAGATAAGATATTGGCAGCTAGGTACAGGAAAGAAAACAGGAAAGTTATATTGATTTCAATCTTCCTTCACACATTAAACGGTTTTCATTAGCCCTGACATTTGGACCCTCTCTCCAGCCTCCCCCCCATCCACCTTCTTGTATAAGCCTACACTTTGATTAACAGCATTCATTTTGGTGACTATTCACTAGTCATTTATTTTAACAGGACTGTCTTAAGTTAAAAGAAAATATATGGAAAGTCCCAGCCCATGCTAGTGAGCAGCGGTCTACAATCCATTACCCCAAAATAGGCACTAAACCATCTGTTACTCAGGGAGGAGACCACAACAACAAAGTATATTTGTATAGTGACTTTCACATTGGGAGGATGTCCCAAAGCGCAGGATATGAACAGCGAAAATATCCGGATGAGTTCCTACTTCTGATACAAGTTTTAAAGCACATAAATGAGCACAGAGCTCAGGGAGCTTCATCCTGTGGCTTATGACTGTCATATACAATGTGGGATTGCTGGTACAAGAAGAGGGGTCACAAGGTGGAAGCAGTCCCATTTCCCAAAATATAAATTCTTCACCTTTTGAGCAACCCACCACCACCAGCACTGCCAACAACAAAATGTATCTAGTGTATCAAAAAAATGACTGAGAAAAAATTATACCAATTAACTTACATGGACAGTACAATAACAAAGTGATTTTTTTGTTCAAATACGTCTGAACTACTATAAATTATAGGAATACAGAAAATAAAAGACCAGTAAAGACCACTGATTTACTGATTTATACCTGACTGGTCTCAATATGAAAAATAATCCTACATTGCTGCATCTCTTTTACTTACTCAATTCAATTTTTTTTCACCAAAGAGCATTGTATTTTCCTCAAACGTGCTAAAAATTTCTCTCGATATATTCACACCTCTCTGCGTGAAGTTATTAAATCTGAACTATAATGTTGACCTTCCCTCTTCTGATACAGAGTCCAATTTTTTGAACATGTTAACTATATCTCATCCATCTTTGTAATCCTAAAACGTCTGCAGCATTTTCCAATACAAACAGTGGAACCCACATACGATTGTGCAGGATTTGTGTGAAAAAAACAAGCACATCTCATAAAATTTCAGTTTGAATTTGTTTCTACCTCCAACATTAGGATCAAAAATATTCTAGCCATAAACTAACTAGTTTGCTCATTTTAGTGTTAGATTGCTAGTTACTGAGTGCTTCTGGCTTCACACAGAACCAGAGCACGCATATCATAGCAACCAAGATTTTTTTGTCCAATGAATATAATCTAGCAAAATCAATTAACCTTGAGTGAAAGCTCGCACATTTCACTGTCAGGCTGACTCAGTTGGAGACTCTCCAAATGGCAGGATATCACTTCACAAAATGTTCTAAACTGTGTACAAATACACAGGAAATAGATAACGTGTTTTAAAAATTGTGTATGACCTATTGTAGCTTTTATCAAAGCTCCTGCTCCTACTCCTAAAGATGAAAAGAGACACTGTGGGATTTAACATAGTTCTTCTTAGGCTGCCCTGGAATATTTAGCAAAGCAGCAGGTACTGAGAATTTCTACAGCACGATTCCTATATAATATCCATAAGACGTAACATTCTAGTAACAAGGAAAGATACACCACTCCCTACTCCCCAAATCTTCCTTTCCCTTTAAACAAGATGGCTGGTTTCAATGCACTTTAGACAAATTTGAACCAAAAAATACTCACCAAGGATGAAGAATACAGCACTAACCACCACACCGCCTGACAACACATGCTCAGTGCTCTGCTGCAGGTTTGGTTTGTTGATGATGCGTAGTTGATCAGTTAGTGGGTGTGTCCAGAAATTGGCAAGAAGCAGGGCGCCAAGAAAGAGCAGAACTGAACCATACTGTGCACACTTGGGGGCTTCCATCTTGGTTAGACATATGGATTCCACATAGAAGTCCAATATGAACACAGAAAAGATGATGGTTCCAAATGGCATGATGAGGGAAGACCAGGATTCTATTTTAGTCTAAAACACAAAGATGAAAGAGTTAATACAGATAGCATTACTATTAAAGTTATTAAATTCACTGCAACATATGTGATCTGGTTTAGTGTGGGTTTGCTCATTGTGCGGATGTACTGTGGACCCACGTTATGCTTCTGGCACTGCCTTCCTGCACTAAAAAATAGCTCATTTTGGGTCATTAGGTTGCCGTTCAAATATATCTGAAATACTATAAGTAACTGAGAGGGATATAGAAAAATAAAAGATCAAGAAAGAACATTGAAATATACCTGGCTGGTCTGAATGTAGGTTGTTGCTAACATAATTTCCTTTGTGTTGTGTGCTAACCACAGCAAGCCCAATGAAGTCACTTTGCGCAAGACATGACATCTAAACTAGTGATGGAAACTAAATGACCCGCAAGGCGGCTGTTTTGTACTTTTCTAATCAAATTACACATTTAACTCTACAAATCTTACAGGTTGAACTTTTCCAACTTTTTTCACTTCGTATTGGCTGAATATGGAGAGATTCAATTTGTTCCCTATGAAAATGTCTTCCAAACCTTATCTACCAAATTCATGTTCTAAATTCCAAATTATAAACCAACACCAACATTTGTTGCACAAATATACAACTTTTTAGTGCGTGGGCATCTTAGAAAGTTTGTGTTTCATCCAAATGAATGTGGAGACTCAGCCAGATCATTCCTATAAAAACATTTAAGCTTTGCTTGGAGGCTATTTTTTCATAGGACTTGGTAAAAGAACACAATTCATCCCACTGGAAAAAAGGAGTTTTTAACAGTACAGTAGTTATGATCTCCTTAATCTCACTGCTCCTTTTCAACACAGCCTCTGAGAACAGTATGACTGTTAGAGACAGGTTAATGTTAAATTAAATAGATATTCAGTACATACTTCTTAATGGCATTTCTTTAATGACTCATATAAAAGCAATTTTTGATTGCCAATAAAACATTTGTTCAAATGTTCAGATTGCAATCATTGTACAGTTTTCAATAAGTCAAGGCGAGCACTTTGCTCAATATACAAGTGGTAAATGAATGCACTGTATAGAATTACCTCTGTAGTTGCAGTCAATACGATCACCCACGGAAACAATAAAAGCGCTGAAACAAGAGTAGACAGCGTATGCAGACGCTTGGCTCCACCGACGTCCACAGAGAGCTTCCTGGAGGCTGTATGAAAACCAACCTTGAAACACAGTGACATCACGAGTAGTAGCACCCCACCCTAGACACAAATAAAAGATTAAGTTACCACTTACTCTTTTTAAATACTAAGAAAATTTAGGGTGTAATTAAAACATAAAGATAATTGAACATGGGCAGATTTTTAAAAAATATATTCATCCCCCCCATCCCATTTTATTAAGTCTATCATTCTACAAATTACTGAAAGAATAGGAAATCAACCAAGTCAGACCCAACCTCAATCAGTGCTGTTTGAACCTGCAGAAGTTGAGTGAGAACAGACTGTTCCTTTTTTCCTCCCTACGGGAAAGTATGTAATTGTCACTTAATGCCATACAGACCAGGAAGGTCCCAGAACTATGCTAAAGGGCTCGAAAATTGGCACCTGGATTGCAAAAGATCAATCAGGGTTCTTGGCTATTCAGCAACCCCTGCTGGAAGTGGCAATGTGTGAGGATGATGGGTGATGATAAGTTCAGGCTTGGCTGCAATCCAATCCAAATTTACATTTATAAAGAGCCTGTCATTTTGACAGGAAGTCCCAAATTGGGGACTGCAAAGCAAGGGTGGGGAGAACACCTGGAACTGTCCAGCATATTGGGTGGTCCTCCTGATGTGACAGTGCTGTATGAATGTAAATATTTAAGTGATGTTTTCCCAATAAACCCTTTCACAATTTGATAGTTTGTGTATTAAGAAACTAAAATTACTTCAAGGTTTTTCAATATTGACCTTATTAGGAAGATATACTTCATATCTGAATTTCAAGCTGATACCTCAGCTCCACTATTGCATGAAACATTTTACCTTGTGATCTGCTACACCAAGGAAAGAGATGGCTGTATATAGTGCATGGGTTAAAGCACTGTCATGATGTCCCTCAGCTAACGACATCACTAGGTTAAGGACATAAACATACCCTAGATTTGAAAATATTCTCTGGATAGTATCACAGTTGCTTTTTAATATCCACCAGAAATATTTCTTGCACAAGTCATTGATATATAAGAGTGGCACAACATACACAGGACTATTTACATGAAGGATACGGTGTTCAGCCATCTTGGCCATGAGGTCATCATTATCAAACAGTAATATACAAATGACAGCAATGATGAAGAACGCTGCCCCTCTTGTCTGTTTAGGAGAAAAGGACTAGAGAGTTAATTTTGAATCAACATTCCAGGCATCAATAATCATTCTGTGTTTGTACTGTGATAACATTTTGTAAACATTTTTAAATGGATGTAATAGGAATTTTTGCAAACCAAAATATTGCCCATTTAATATACAAAAACAATGATGTGATTTCCAACAAGCAGGGCAGAATGCAATTCTGAATAGTTTGAAGTAACATCTCTATTTATAATCTTGTCAAATTCACAGAAAATGCTTTGTATACATTCTGGTTCTTACAAAATTATACATACAATTTACACAAATAATATTCACCTTTATCGAGTGAATGAATAGAGTAGAAACAGTCATATTGATCAGTGACACAGTACCTTTGCTGGGCCACCATCAGAGCTTGTAAACAGTACACCAAGCAATGAAATGACAACAATGTCACTGTGTTCAAATAGAAGTACCGTTCTGTTGAGAAGATATATTTATCATGAAGCTCATATTTTAAGTAACTCAGTTTTTTTTAAATCACAAGAACGTTGAAGTTATATCTTTCGTAAATCAATTATATTTCACTCAGTAATAATATAATCTTTGCATCGAATATAGAGCCAGTCACATCAGAACGCTTCAAAGTCCTTCATACTGAAGTGACTGAATTTTGTTGGTGAACATGGCATTTATCCCACAAACAGCCATGACCAATTTTATCTGGAGGAACTGTTGACCAGGACACCAGGAGAAATTCACTTCTCTTTTCAAATAAGGTCATGGGATCTTTAATATCCACCTGAACAAACAGATGGAACCTCTGTTTAACATATACAGCATCACCAACAATGTATAGGGTCTTCAGAGAAATACTTCAAAAGTGAAATAATTCTAAAATAACATTCCCTTTGAACATTCCCTACCACCCCACATTAATGTATTTAACTATAATGTATCCTTCTAATTAAGTCTCATTCTTTTTAATATTCCTTAAATCACCATTTGGGAAGGCCCTGGTCTCCATCGAGAGTCACTCAATATTCAAGCAAGGAACTGAAAGGTGAAAGGCTCGATTGTGAACCCGCAATCCACCATCACTGCTAATACTAGTTACTGGAAAGCCATCCTAAAATACACACTGAAATTGTTTTCAGTGAAAAGTTGTGCCACGTGTCAAAATAATTGAAGGATTCTCCACTGCCCAAATAAATGCTCATCCAAAACAACTAGAGTTAATCTATCTAGTTAAAGGCAGAATGTTATTCTTATTATTAATAATATTATTATTATTTTAATGACAATTTTGCATAACAGTTGAGATAATTTTTGCCTTCAGACTTGTAGCTTCATTACCAATGTTCATTACTTGAGCTCATAGTCTAAGCTGACACTCCAGTGCTGCATTGTTGGAGGTGTCGCCCCCGAAATAACTTGAAATTCCTTGTTCCAACGGATGTTAAAGATCCCATTAAATATATAAAAAGAGAAACAAGATTCTTCTGATCTCTTGACCAAGAACTATACAGATTTATTTGGTATTCACCTCACGTGAACATCAATTGTTTGTGGGACATTGTGTGCACAATGTTTGCGCACAAATAGCAGCCATGAGATAGGAATTACTTGTCAGATACTTTGAGGCACTGACACAATGAGATGCAGTAAAATGCAAAATATTTCTTTCAAAACATTCAATTATTTTTAAATTTACATTCAATAACAAATGTTCACCAAAGCAGACTGGATACATACAACACACAAAATATGTATCTATACATTTGACTCAATCAATGTTAATAGTTGCAACAGAATGACTTTCATATTGAACAGCCTCATTATTTATAATAACATCAAAACAGTTTTATTTACCTTAGTGGTCCACAAAGCGTGAGTCCGAAGAACCACAATAGTGAAATAATGCAACCAACAACTGCATGCTTAGCAATCTTAATCCACTGCAAAAGAATAGAAATAGATATATTTAATATTTCAGGGTATTTTATAAGTAAAAGTTTACTTATAGTATAATACCTGTTCTACAAGTACATCACTGTAATTGATATTTCCTGAAAAAAGAACATGACATAACTGCACCATGACACGTTTTGTTAATGCAGGAGCATTAAGTATTAAGGTCAGAATGTCATACTTTCGACCAACAGCAAATATCAGGCTTAGATCAAAGGAATCTTATTAAAACTGAATTGAAACTCAAATCCCAATCACTTTTGGTGATATATAGTTGGGATCTAGTTAATCAATAAAAAAAACTCACAACTCACTTTGTGGATTTGTTAGTTTGGGTTCAATGTGAGTAAGAGGTTAGGAGACATGACAGGGCAACTGAAAAGGACTGACAGCTGAAATACACCTTTCAGTCAATGATCTGCTCTTCAGTTTAACATGAGAACAGAATGTACAAGTGTAATTTGGCGTCAAGTCTTAATTCAAAGCATTAAGACAGACGAGAATTAATACTGTTCTGTAAGGACAAAATAAACTGCTGATTTCTTTTGACATGCCTCCCGGGATTCTATGTTTATATTTAACAATATAATATATAAAATAATGTGGGTTATTACAGACAAGCCTTAACTTACTAATATAGTTGTTGTATTTACTTTTAAAGACTTGTCAATTATGTGGGTTCAAATAGAACTGCCAGTCTACAGAGGCCCAAAGTTATACTCAAATGATATAACGTATAAGAATAAACAAATCCAACACGTTTTATACAATTACTAGTGCTCGGTAAGTAAATTGCTTACATTATTTTGGGAAATGCTGAAGAGTTAACATATAATGCAATGCAGCTTGACAAACTGATCAAACTGGTTAACCCTGGTAATATGACATTCAGTGAACTATGCAATTCAAAAGGAAAATTAAGAGTTTAAGATGGACAATATCTCACAAAATTATATAAAATATGGTACTTTGTCTAACATCCGTAGCAAAAATGATCAACAAATCTCTGGTTCTATGAAGCCTGCAATAAGACAGCTCCCATTCATTACAAATTTCTTCTCACAGAGAGCACTAAGAATCTAAAAAGCATGGCTTCAGAAAGCTGTAGATGACAAATCAGTTGAGAGATTTAAGAGAAAGATGGATAGATACTTGGGGAGCAAAAATATTAAAGAATATTGTGAGAAGGTGGGAACAGTTTGTAGTACATTGCTATGGAGCGGTCTGTGGTGGAGTGGGCTCAATTGGACCAAATGTTTATATTTCCTTATGTTGTAATTCTATTACTTGTGTGTCAGTCTGGCTCAGCACTCTCCGAGTCAGAAGGTCGTCGCTTCAAGCTGATATTCCAATGCAGTGCTTGGATTTGCTGCATTATCGGAGGTGCTATCCTTCCCATTTGACACTCCTTTTCTGTAATCTACTTGCAACCATACAATGCTGGAAACATATTCAGATGTTTATCTGTAGACAGGTTTGCCCAGCTTCTCTTGATTTTAAGTTGGTATAATAGAACACAAAATTTGGTCTGAGTTGATTTCAGGGCTGCTGAATAGAAGATTAACCATCAACTTAATGAAGGGAAAGGATCAGCACACCTAGTTATGGGCTCCCTTATTCTTCCTTTTGAAAATAGGTTAAAATGCTAATTACAAGCAACTCTAGCTGAGAGCAGAGGCAGTGAGCAAAGTTCAAAAGCAAGGTCTCCTCGTCCCTGGCACAGTATCCCAGGCGATTTAATTTTCATTATAGATCACACAATTCATTACAAGCACACAAGGTGTAGATCTCGAGTGAGATCCGCCCTTATATCTGCCATACTGTACAAAATATCTGTTGACTCACACAAAACCTTTCTCTTGTGCCTTCTGGCTTGCACACATTAAAATGATAGCTTGTGCTTATTTGAAAACTAAGCTTTCGCTTCACAGCACAAATGTAAACATCATTCTCTGGAAAATGTAGGCGAAATAATGGAAACATTTTTATAGGTTGACTCCAGACCATCAGAATTTGCATTCTACAATACTTCAGATTAAACCACACCTATAAAGTGCGTAAACAGAGTGTACCTCTAATTAGGCAATGTTTATCTTCTGTAGACCACACTGCAAAATGACAAGTCAGAAATTGATTAGAAAAGCTTGCAGTATATTGTAAAAGGAAGCACTTAAAAATCTCAGACCAATTTATTGTACATATCTTCATGCCCGCGCTTGCCTCTCAGACCTGCTCAAACCCCACCCCTCTACCCATCCCCTTCCCTCAGCTGGCTCCGGCCTGCTGCATATCCCTCTCCCCCTTCTCTCCACCATCGGCAGCTGTTATTTCAGCCACTCTGGCCCAAAATCCCAACAAATGCAATAACGGTCACTGTTATTTTCACTGCGCATGCTTGCAGAACTTCCTGTGATAAAAAATGGATGTGTTCCTGGTCATCGGCTGCTAGTGTGCAGGAAGCAGTGACCTGATTTAGTATACAGGGTACCAGCTGGCTTTTCAAAGCATGCCTGCCAGCCTTCTGCCTGCATTTTTTTGAGTAAATGTTGGAGTTCACACTCCAATCGTACTATAAACAAACCTGTGTTGTAATGGGAGCCAAACATCTACAAGAGAGAGGACGTATTAAAGCAACTGATAAAATAATATATCAGAATGACTGTGGATAAGCCTAAGAAAGATCAAGTCACTCCTTTTCTGTAATAAGAGTAAAAAAAGTACTGTTATGTCAGCAGAAAGAGACAGCGTAAATTAAATTAAATAGTATTTTCGCTAATATAAAGGTGCAAGTTGGACATGATCTAGAATATTGTATATAGTTCTCCTCATCTAATCATACGGAAGGTGTTATTGCCCTTGAGAGTAGGGATCATTCAAAAAAAGGACAGCCCAGACTTTGTAGCAATGTCAATTTCTGAAAAATTCTTATGTTCCAATATTTAAAATTTACATTACTTCACCAAGACAACACTTAACTCACCTGGTTCTCAAACAAAATAACATATTTCACATAAGACCCACACGGATGTCAGCATTCATCATACACAACATAAATTAGAATTAAACAAGTGTTTTAACTCTCTGGAAAAGCACTGCTTGTGCTCTTCACTTATGAATCATTATTAACATTGCTTATTGGGCTTAAAAATAGCTGTGGTGTTGAAGGTAAGTCATCATTCAGGAAGTGAAGCTTTAAAAAAAAATTGCCTACAGAATTACAGTTATGTAATTCTAAGCAAAAATACATCACAGCAGCACCAGTCAAGTAATGTGTTGATGTGGATCTATAGGAAACATAGGTCTACAGAGACTACCAAAGAACTTGTAAATTCCGTTGAAACTTGGAATAGCAGTGTACTAAAAGACAACACAGAAAATAAAAGTAATAATGATCCTTGCACTTTATAAAGTGCCTTATTCACGCTAAGACATCTCAAAGAGTATCACAGGAAGCTGCTGTGCTGCAGATCATCCAAAACTCTGCAGCTCGTGTATTCTCACGGACCAGACTCCGCGACCCCATCACTCCCACCCTCGCCCGACTCCACTGGCTCCTCATCCCCCAGAGGATCGAGTTCAAGATCCTTGTCCTCACCTTTAAGGCCATTCATGGCTTTGCTCCCTCCTACCTCTCTGACCTGCTGAATCCCTACCGACCTGACCGCTCCCTCCGTTCATCAGGCTCTGGTCTGCTCCATGTCTCCCGCCCGACCCGCCCTACCATCGGGGGCCGGGCTTTCAGCCTTTCTGCCCCCACACTCTGGAACTCCATCCCCTGGTCCCTTCTCCTCGCTTCCTCCCTTGCATCCTTCAAGGCCGGTCTCAAGACCCTTCTCTTCGACTGTGCCTTTGGTCTCCCTCCCACCTCTCTGCCTTCCCTCACCCCTACACCACCCCTCCCCCATGCTCGGGCCCCGACATCTGACTGTTCAGCGCTTTGGGACATCCTCCCGACGTGAAAGGCGCTCTATAAATGTAATTTTGTTGTTGTTGTTGTTGTTGTTGATGACTGTGTATTTGGAGGTCAAAGCAGAAGCCAATTCACACACACAATATCTCACAAACAACCATGAAGTGAATGACCAGAGAGTGTTGGTCAGGATATTGGAAATCATAGAAACGTACAGCACAAAAAGAGGCCATTCGGCCCATCGAGTTTGTACCAGCTCTTTGAATAGAGCAATGTAATGTCAATCCCACTCCCCAGCCCTTTCCCCATAACCCTGCAGACCCGTCCTCCTCAAATACCCGTCCACCGCGCTTTTAAAAGTAGTTATTGAATCGGCCTCGACCACCCTTTCAGGCAATGTTAATATATATATATATATGCTCCTGCAACAGCAATAAAATACCAACACAATGGCATATTTGCACTGATCAATGCACCTCAAAGATGCCACTTCTCCACTTGGCTAACCAAAACCATGAGAAATGATTAACATTCTTTATCCAAGATGTGCTACATTGGAATCAGATAATCTGCATCAAATTATCCACCCCTACTGTATTTAACTTCACATTGTTGTGATTCGAGCTAGATTTTTAATAAAAGCTGAGCAATATTTATACAAGATGATCTGGAAGAAATTTCTTAATACCACACGCATCTTTCATTATTCTGTGCACAATTCAGGTAATATGGTACAGCAGTTTTAACAGCATGCAAATCACCAGATGTTGGATATGTGACTTCATCAGAATTTATTGATCATATACTTCCTTTTATATTATTAACCCTGAGGAATATTGTGCTTCAGAATCCTTTCCACACACCAGCCAATCCCTGGCTTCTTTGACAAAATACTGGGTAGATATCACCTAAAACCATTTACTCAGGATCCTTACTGGCAGCAGCAAGGCAGAGTTTCATCCCTTTATCCCATGCTTTTGGCACAGATTCAAAGATGAGGTCAGAATGCAAGGACAATGTTCCAATCCACTTAGCCATTAAGTCCATCATTGACCGGATTTGTCCATTCAGTTTAAACAAGTAAATCTTATATGTTCACCCTGCCAGATTTATTCACCCAAATCCACATGAGTTTATGTTATCCAGTTAAGTTTAATCATAGAAGTGGTTTACCAACTTAAAACCTGGTTTACCTACCTGACGTCTTGAAATTGATTTGCCAGAAGAAAACGGTTTTTGAAACAAAACCAAGAATAATGCAGATCTGACAATAAAGAAGACAAAGTTAGAACTTAACCACTGAGATCAGTTTAATATTCTAGGTTTAAAAATAGAGTTAACAATATGCAAATATATATTTCCCAGAAATTTATTTTGCCTGATCTATACTTTTGAGGCAGAGAATGATTCTAAAGATGCTGTTGATCTTTAGATACTGCCAAACTACTATTGTATTGACCTACACAGTGACGGTTTATGCTACACAGAGACATTAGGAGTCTCTGTAGCCCAGTGGTTAGAGCGCTCGCCTTGTGAGCGAGAGACCTGGGTTCGATTCTTGGCAGGGAACCTTAGGCAAGTTTCCTTACTTCACATGCCTGATAATAATCCCTCAAGAAAAAAAAACACAATAATAATTTGGTCACTCAATCCATGACTGTTTTTGGGATTATGAAGACAAATTGGCTGCTGCGTTTCGCCCACAAAATATACAGTCAATTCACTTTACAGTATATTCTGTGAAGTGTTTTGAGACATCCAGAAGATGTGAAAAGTGCTATATCAAATGCAAGGATTATTATTCTGCTCTACAGCTGCTCTTTTATTCTCACGTACCCAGCCAAGTCAACCATGAGTGCTATATATCTACCCTTGCTTAATCAAAATCAATTTTGAACCGAAAGAACTGGACGACGTTGAGCATTAAATCACTTCAGTGAAATACAATAGGCTTAAATCAAACCTTGTAAAATATTGGCTATAATTTAGTGAAACCTGTAATGGGAGAAACACATTCACAGAATTATGCACAGGCTTTAATGGTGAAGCAAATCCAAATTATTTCTCCTACAGAGTCTGTAGCTCACAGTGATAATAGAACGTGTTCTTTATAAGTAATCTGACGTATTCCCACAATCCCTTTGCCTTGCTCCCTCTCTTGCCTCCTTCAAGGCATGACTCAAGACCCTCCTTTTCAACCGTGCCTTCAGCCGCCCTCCTATCTCTCTGGCCTCCCTCATCCCAACCCTGCCCACCCCACGGTCCTGATCTCTGACTGATCCCTGCATTGGGACGACCTCCTAACGTGAAAGACGCTTTACAAATGTAAGATTAGTTTTCATGGGCTTCTGCAATACAATACGATTACATATCAATACACCTTAAAAGAAACTTATAGTCATCAGTGACCATATATAGGTCAGAGAAACCTGTAAAGCCAGCAGATTTTTGAAACATTATCGCAGCTCTTTAACATGCATATATCAAACTCACCCCAACTGGATTATGAAGACAAACTGGACAATGTGAACCACTTTAAGGAGGTCATATGATTCAAAAATTCCGAGGACCTTAAGGAATTTAGCCAGACACAGCAAGACGATGTATCTGGTTAACCTGTAACAGAGATATCAAAAGACTGAATCAGACCTCACAACATGAAAACATGGATTAAATAACTCAGGAAACGAATAGGTTAAGGTCTGAATGAATATTTCTTGCACCGTAATAGCTGCAATGTCTACAGGCCAGTAGGGTACAATATCTGACACATATCAAAGTTATTTTCATTGCTCTTTTAGATTTCCCCACAAAATATGCGAGGATAGATAAGCACATGTATGATGGGCTTTGCCCATCAAGCAGGGAGCTCAGTGATCATCTGTTCACATTCAGAGTTACAATTTTTAATAATACTAGTAATAATACTTGCATTTGATATAGCGCCTTATCACGTCTTCCGAGACGTCTCAAAGCACTTCACAGAATATACTGTAAAGTGACTGAATATTTTGTGGGCGAAACTTGATGCCCGATCAATAGACAGATTTTCACATTTACTGTCACGTATCTTGGATAAGATTAGTTATCCACTCTGGAGAGAATAGATGGTTGAACTCCAAATCAGGTTGTGTGTTACTAGTTGCCTTTGAAGACAGGTTTGATTTTGGAGACAAGTTGGTCATGTAAGTGCAGTATTATACATTTCTCCCTTCCCAAGGGAGGATGAAGAACAGTTCATGTGGTGAACGGAGGGAAGTGAATCAGCATACACTGATCCAAGTGAATGGTATTTTACACACTTTCACATTGAAGGAACAGAAATCTCGCCACCAGGAGCAACAGCTAGAATGCCCAAGAGATGTTATTTTTATTATTATTATAATAGATGTTACCGTACACATCAAAGTGTGTGTATTACACAATGCTTTGTATGAAATAATTGATGTTTAAATTTGAAAAATGCTCGTTTCCCTTCACAAAATCAGCTATACTTGAAGCAGTTAATACGACAGGGAAGTTTTTACTTTAATCTTGCCTACAATTAGATTTTTTTTAAGGTTCAGAAATCTTGGAAAGATTGAGAAATTAGGTCTGTATTACCTGGGTTAAGGGTCAATTGAGTAAGAAAACATTTTTGCCTGTTCAAATGAAAGCAACATGAAAGAAACCACAGGAAGTTAGGTTAAACAAACAGCTGTGATGTGGAATGATAAACAAACAAATAAATAATAACTTGGGTCATTCAATCCACGACTGTTTGTGGGACACTGCCGTGCGCACTTGGCTGCCGCGTTTTGCCCACGATATATAGTCCATTCACTTTACAGTATATATTCTGTGAAGCGCTTTGAGATGTCTGGAGGACTTGAAAAGGCGCTATATCAAATGCAAGGATGTTATTATATTATTAACATTTCAAAACACTTTACAATGACTGAGTTGGAGTCTGACATATGTTCGTGTGCATAGGGTGGCAAAAAGCAGAGAGTTACATTTTCATGCAGGGAGGGAGGGAAACAGGTTCTCTTTGAAGCAGAGTTGACAGGTCAATGGAAGTTCAGAATCCACCCTTGTGCTCTCAGTCGCCTGGTACCTGGGCCAAGCAGGTTTGTATTAAGGCACTGTTGATAATGGACCAGTCAGTCTGGCCAGGACTTAGAAGAACTGACCAGTCATTAGGCGCAGGAATTCTTCCCACTAAGGGTCTTTTAATCATGTACCAAAGGTCCTCGCAGGCAGGGTGGTATTACTGATGTTCTATCCTTAATAGCTTTGTTCTTATAGATTTGAATTCCTGTTGTGATGTACATAACGTAAACTGCATAAACCAGCTTTCTGGCCACTCCACGTCTTCCGCCCTACCATCGGTGGCCTCTTTGCCCCCACCCTTTGGAACTCCATCCCACAACCCCTTCACCTTGCTCCCTCTCTTGCTTCTTCAAGGCACGACTCAAGACCTCCTTTTTGACAGTGCCTTCAGCCGCCCTCCTACTCCCTCTACTCTCCCTCACCATAACCCTGCCCCCCCCATGCTCGGGTCCTAATCCCCGACTGTTCAACACCTTGGGACATCCTCCCGACGTGAAAGGTGCTTTACAAATGTAATTGTGTTGTTGTTTCTGTATAATGATTTTTGGACTGTAAACTGACATCACTATAAAACATAAATGTTATTAAAGCTACTTCCGCCCTTGGTCTAATCATGGGTAAAGAATGCAGCAATGGGTTGTGCTTTCCTTCAGTTCCCTGGGGATCCATGTTTTACTGTGGACTAGCTATATATGTACCTATGCGATCACTAAGATTTGATATTAGTTACTTATGAAGCGCTTTAGAGACATTTCAATAAGCTAAAGTGCAAGTTTCTTTTTGTGTTGGTGAAGGGAGGGAGGGAGCGAGGAGGGGGGAAATGGTCAGGGTGAGGGGGGGGAAGGAGGGGGCGAGGAGGGGATAGAGAGTCGAGAGGGGAGCTGAAGGCACGGTCAAAGAGAAAGGTCTTGAGACCGGCCTTGAAGGAGGAAAGAGAGGAAGCAATGTGAAGGCACTGGGGGATGGAGTTCCAGAGCCTCGGGGCTGAGAGGCTGAAGCCCGGCCACCGATGGTAGGGCGGTTGCGGGGGGGGTGGATGTGGAGCAGACCGGAGCCAGAGGAACGGAGGGTATGGGCAGGTAGATAGGGGGATAGTAGGTCGGAGAGGTAGGAGGGAGCGAGGCCGTGAATGGCCTTTGTAGGCGAGGATGAGGATCTTGAATTCGACGCTCCTCACCTCAGGCACTGACAGCATCACCATCCATGGTTGCACACTCCACCTTACTAACCCAGTCTGGAACCTTGGGGTCTTGTTTGACCCTCAACTATCCTTTCTACCCCACAACTGCGCCATGACCTGCTTTGCCTTTCCCCACCTCCGCAACGTCGCCCGGCTCCGCCACTGTCTCACACCGCAGCCCGCCGAAACCCTCATACACGCCTTTATTACATCGAAGCTCGACTATGCAAACTCACTGCTTGTCGGCCTCCCCAACTCCTCCCTCCACAGGCTGCAGATCAGCCAGAACTCTGCAGCACGTGTCCTCTCCCGCACTAGGCCGTGAACCTATCACCCCCATCCTTGCCCAACTCCACTGGCTTCCCATCACACAGAGGATACAGTTCAAGATCCTGGTCCTCATCTTCAAAGGCCTTCACGGTCTTGCTCCTCCCTACCTCTCCGACCTCCTAACCCCCTACCACCCTGTTCGCTCCCTCTGCTCAGTGGGCTCTGGCCTGCTTCACGTCCCCCGCCTTGCTTCCCCCACTATCGGCGGGCGGGCCTTCCGCCACTCTGCACCCACCCTCTGGAACTCCATCTCGCAGTCCTCCCTCGCCACCTTCAAGACCCACCTTAAGACCCTCCTTTTTGACCGTGCTTCTGATCTCCCTGCTTCCCCCCTTACCCAACCCCCTCCCCCACCCCGACCCTCAGCTTGGGTCCGTAACTCTGCCTGTGCAGCACCTTGGGACGTCCTCCCGACGTGAAAGGCGCTATAGAAATGTAATGTTGTTCTTGTTGTTGTAGAATCCTAGTCTTCGCTGAATGAAATGACTTCAGTCAGGGCAGCAGTAGGGATGGTACAATTAACTGATTTTCAATACGCTTTAAACTAACAGGGTTCTCATTCTTGATTGGGTGCGGAGTGGATGACTGACTGTTTTCCTTCTGAACAAAAGCTGAACTAATCGTCGTACCTGCACCCCAACTGCTACCCTAGAGCCTGAGACTTCACTGCGCTCCGATACGTGACCCCGCGCCAAGGAGGCTGCCGTATACAACAATAATTCTCGCATTTGGTAATAGTGCCCTACCTCATCGTCAGGATATTTCAAAAACACTTCACAGGATTTACTGTGTGTATGCTGTGGGTGAAACGCAAATACGGTGTGTTGGGACTGGCGCAGTTTCAAACTGAGTGAGATTCCAGGGGGACGAGAAATGGTTTCCATTGGGGGAGTTGTGAATTGTTTCCATTCCTTTGGATGAGATGTTAAACACAGGTCCCTGTCTGCCTGATCAGGTGCCGGTTACAGTTCCTGTGGCACTATTGGAAAAGGGAGTTATTCCTGGTCAATAAATCCCTCAGATAACATGGATCGTTCACTCCGTGACTGTTTGTGGGACCAATGCAAGGATTATTATTGTTATTTAAAGGAGCTGCCGCCAGTGACAGGGGCTCAGGCCGCTCTACCGCTCCACTCTAGCCTCGGCCAAATCGTCCTTCTACTCCAGGATAATCCTGGAGGCGAAGAACAACCCCAGGCTACTGTTTTCTACCACATCCCGACTCCTCCGTCCCCCCCGCCACCCCGCGCAGGTCATCTCCTCCAACCTTCACTGCGAGGAGATGCTGGATTTCCTTGAATCCCAAATCAAGGGAATTCGCTCCACGGTCACTTCCCCTCCAACTTCCACCCACCCCCACCCCTCCCTCCCACACTCAGACTCCTACCCATCCTCCCCTACACACTTTCGTACCCGTTTCCCCACCCTCTGTCACCAAACTCATCCTATCCCTGAAACCAACCACCTGCTCCCTTGACCCCATCCCCACTCCACTCCTTATCTCCCAGCTCCACCTCCTTGCCCCACATATCACAGACATCGTCAACCTGTCCCTCTCCTCTGGCTCTGTTCCCATTCCCTTAAAAACTGCCACCATCACTCCCACCTTGAAAAAACCCTCCCTTGATGCGTCGCAGCTATCAAGCTACCGGCCCATCTCCAACCTCCCCTTCCTGTCCAAGGTTCTGGAAAGAGTTGTCGCCTCCCAACTGCGCTCTTTCCTCTCCACCCATTCATTATTCGAACCCCTTCAGTCGGGTTTCCGTGCTGCCCATAGCACAGAAACTGCCCTGGTCAAGGTCACCAATGACATCCTGACCATCTGTGACCAGGGCTCCCTCTGCCTCCTCGTCCTCCTCGACCTATCGGCAGCATTCGATACGGTCGACCACGCTATCCTCCTCCACCGCTTGTCCTCCCACCTCAACCTTCAAGGCCCTGTCCTTGAGTGGTTTAGGTCGTACCTCTCCCATCGTCTTCACTTTGTTTCCACGAACGGTTTTTCCTCCACCCCTCGCACTGTCTCGTGCGGTGTCCCTCAGGGCTCTGTCCTCGGTCCCCTCCTCTTCACCCTCTATATGCTCCCCCTCGGTGACATCATCCGCAGACATGGGGTTAACTTCCACATGTATGCGGATGACACCCAACTCTACCTTTCCTCCTCTACCCTCAACTCCACGACCACCGATGTCCTGACAGCTGCCTGTCCGACATCGAGTCCTGGACGAGAGACAACTTTCTTCAGCTCAACGTGCGTAAAACTGAGGCCCTCCTGATTGGCTCACGTCAGCGCCTCCGCACCTCAGGCGCTGACAACATCAGCATCCAAGGCTGCACTCTCCACCTCTCAAAGCCAGTCAGGAACCTCGGGGTTCTGTTCGACCCTGAGCTGTCCTTTCTCCCTCACATCCGCACCACAACTGGCACCGCCTTCCATCACCTCCGGAACATCGCCAGACTACGGCACTACCTCACCCCTCACGCTGCTGAAACTCTGGTCCACGCCTTTGTCACCTCAAGGCTGGACTATGGGAACTCTCTCCTCGCCGGCCTTCCCGGCACCTCCCTCCACAAGCTGCAGGTCATTCAGAACTCTGCAGCTCGTGTACTGTCCCGCACCAGGCTTCGCGACCACATCACTCCCACCCTCGCTCGCCTCCACTGGCTCCCCATCCCCAGAGGATCGAATTCAAGATCCTCATCCTCACCTACAAGGCCATTCACGGCCTTGCTCCCTCCTACCTCTCCGACCTACTATCCCCCTACCTACCTGCCCGTACCCTCCGTTCCTCTGGCTCCGGTCTGCTCCACATCCCCCGCCCCAACCGCCCTACCATCGGTGGCCGGGCCTTCAGCCTCTCAGCCCCGAGGCTCTGGAACTCTATCCCCCAGTGCCTTCGCCGCCTCCTCCCTTTCCTCCTTCAAGGCCGGTCTCAAGACCTTTCTCTTTGACCGTGCCTTCAGCTCCCCTCTCGACTCTCTACCCCCTCCTCGCTCCCTCCCTTCCCTCCCCTCACCCTGACCATTTCCCCCCCAATGCTCGGGTCCTGACCCAACTGTACAGCGCCTTGGGACGTCCTCCCGACGTGAAAGGCGCTCAATAAATGGAATCTTGTTGTTGTTGTTGTGTTGCTGTCCAGGGCCGGGGGTGGGGGGGGGGGGGGGGAGGCCGGGCCGGGGGTGGGGAGGGCCGGGGGGGGGGGGGGAGGGCCGGGGGGGGGGGGGGGAGGGCCGGGGGTGGGGGGGGGGGGGGAGGCCGGGGGGGGGGGGGGAGGGCCGGGCTGAGCCCCGCTTGGGAGGCCCTGGAGTGACCGGGAGGCGGAGGTGGTGATGTACCTGGAGTTGGGCACATCCACGGGGCCCAGTCTGGCGCTCGCCATCACGTTGCTGCTGTATTTCTCGTCCATGGTTCGGGGGCGGGAGCCGCCTCAGCCCTCACCGCTGCTCATGGTCGGGGGGGAGGGAGGGAGGGAGGGAGAGGCCGGGAGGAGCCGCGCTTCACACACTCACACACACACACCGGCGGCTGACACGTCAAGTCAGGCGCCCGGACCTCGATCCCGCCGTCACCCAGAGCGGAGCGGGGCCTGGAGGCGGCGGCGGGGACACAACACAGGCCTCACAGCAGAGCGGAGCTCCCCACACAGCGCCCCCCACTGGCCACAACTCCCCACACAGCGCCCCCCACTGGCCACAACTCCCCACACAGCGCCCCCACTGGCCACAACTCCCCCACAGCGCCCCCCACTGGCCACAACTCCCCCCACAGCGCCCCCACTGGCCACAACTCCCCACACAGCGCCCCCACATGGCCACAACTCCCCACACAGCGCCCCCCACTGGCCACAACTCCCCACACAGCGCCCCCCACTGGCCACAACTCCCCACACAGCGCCCCCCACTGGCCACAACTCCCCACACAGCGCCCCCCACTGGCCACAACTCCCCACACAGCGCCCCCACTGGCCACAACTCCCCACACAGCGCCCCCCACTGGCCACAACTCCCCACACAGCGCCCCCCACTGGCCACAACTCCCCACACAGCGCCCCCACTGGCCACAACTCCCCACACAGCGCCCCCCACTGGCCACAACTCCCACACAGCGCCCCCACTGGCCACAACTCCCCACAGCGCCCCCCACTGGCCACAACTGCCCACACAGCGCTCCCCCCCCCCAACTCCCCACACAGCGTCCCCCCACTGGCCACAACTCCCCCCACAGTGCCCCCCCAACTCCCCCACAGTGCCCCCCCCCCCCACTGGCCACAACTCCCCACACTACGCCCTCCACTGGCCATAGTGCCCCCCGTACAGGCAGAGGGTGTAAGAGGGCGGCTGAGACACGGTCCAAAAGCAGGATCTTGAGTTCCAAAGAGTGGGGCAGAGAGGCTGAAAGCCCGGCCACCGATGGTAGGGCGGGAGACATGGAGCAGCCCGGAGACTGCTGAGCGGAGGGAGCGGAGAGGTTGATAGGGGGTCAGCAGGTCAGAGATGTAGGAGGGGGCAAAGCCGCGGAGGGCCTTGAATGTGAGGACGAGGATTTTGAATTCTACCCTCTGAGGGACGGGGAGCCAGTGGAGCTGGCGAGGGTGGGGGTGATGGGGTCACGGCGCCCGGTGCGGGAGAGGACGCGAGCTGCAGAGTTCTGGGTGATCTTGTGGAGGGAAGAGTTGGGGAGGCCGAGAAGGAGGGAGTTTCTGTCGTCGAGCCTTGAGGTGAGGAATGCGCGATTGAGGGCTTTGATGGCCTGAGGGGTGAGGCAGTGACAGAGTCGGACAGTGTAGCGGAGGTGGGAGAGAAAGGGCAATTGAGGGTTGAGCAAGACGCCCGGGTTCCTGAGTGACTTGGTGAGGAGGAGTGTGAATCCGTGGATGCTGATGCTGCCGGTGCCTGAGGTGCGGAGGCGCTGACAGGAGCCAATCAGGAGAGCCTCAGTCTCGCTGACATTCAGCTGTAGAAAGTTGGCTCTCATCCAGGACTTGATGTCAGACAGACTGTCTGTCAGGACGTCAGTCGTCCTGGAATCGAGGGTGGAGACAGAGAGAGAGTTGGGTGTCATCCGTGTCCAGGTGGAAGTTGACCGGATGATATCACCAAGTGGGAGCGCGTAGAGGTTGAAGAGGAGGGGACCGAGACAGAGCCCTGAGGAACACCACACGAGACTGTGCGGGGCCTGGAAGAGACAACTTAATTTAGGCAGTACTGTTCATGAGGGTACTATCTCAGAGCACTTGACAGTGTTCCCCCCTTCTCCCCCCTTTATAAAGATAATGCTTACATTTGGTGCTGCTCCTTTCTCATCAGGACGCGTCTTAATGCGCTTCACAGCATTTACTGTAAAGTGTGGAGATTGGGTATTTTGTTGGTGAAATGCAGTCGCCAATTTGCGCAGAGCAATGTCTCACAAACACCTACAAATTGAATGGCCTATTTTATTTGGGAGATTGTTGGCTCGGACACCGAGAGAAACTCCATTCTCTAATTGAACAGTGTTATGAGATCTTTAACATCTACCTGAACTGGCAGACAGGCTCGGTTTGACATCTCATCCAAAAGATGGCACTTTGAATAATGCAGTTTGAACAAAACTGTTCTGGTTTAACTTGCCAGTCCCCAAATAAAAAAAAACACTCTTTCTTTCAAAGCCCAAATTCACCAAATACAGTAGCTAGCTAATCCCCTCTTGAATTTGCTGTCACAATCTCCCTCCTTCCATTCACTGGGTGTATTCCACATATTCGTTGCTCTCTGTGTAATTATAGTCTGACCCTGTTATAGTGCCCCGTGGGTTCAGATATAGTGTGGGAACACAGTGGACCTGCACATTTGCTCACTCAAGCGCTCTGGGATGCTATCCCGCATGAAGGGTGCTATATAAATGCAAGTGGTTGTTGTTGTTGACTTCAGCTCTAACTGGGCTCCAAAGCACAAAGGTTTCAACAGAGCCCCCAGCAAAGGCCAAAATGCTCAAGGTAGTCGATACTGCGCACCAGCCGGCTTTCTGTACATGACCTGTAGGTGCAGAGGGGCTCAATGACATCAACAGCATCAGCGGTGACCCTGACAGCCCTAGAAGTGCTTGCGAGTGACCACACTATAACGTGCTATTTTAAAACACGGGGTCTCATTTTATGGATCCAAATGGCAAATTACAATGGAGTCAGACTGTATATCAAACTGTCTGTTCATCTTCCTTCTCCTGAGCTTGAGTCAGCGTCCTTGAGATTGTGACTGAAAACTGTATTCCTAGGGTTCAGTTTATCTACAGGATCTATTCTGGGATTTCCCATTATAAAGATATAATGAAAAGTTTGCTATTTTTAGCACTTAGCACACGATCGACTCTGAAGAGTTCAGAAAATGATGTGGTTATTGCACAGGACCCTTACTGTAGGACTATCAGTGTCTCAGAGCTATCTCCAGAATCAGCCTGGAAAAATCCATCACAGTGCATTCAGTGGGCAGTATAAAATAAAACATATTCAAATATTTTCTTTCCACCCACGAGCTAGAAGTGCTGTTCTTGGCCGAGTTATGGATATACCCTCCCCCCGCTCGGCAAAACCACCGATGACAAACATGTATAACCATCGTTAAGGAAAATTATGCCCCTTGTCCTTTAGCTCAGAGAGAAAATGAGTCAAAAAGGTACAGTTAGATTTGAGTGGATGCGCAAATTTCTTCGAGGAGACTGATGCCCAAATGGATTATTGTGACATCTCTGACTTAAGTTATATAAAATAAGATTGATAGCTGTGATTGGGAATGTACAAGGATATTTCACTGCTTTGATCAGCGATAATCCACCAGAGCACGAAGGAACTGCACAGAGCCAGGTACAAGATAAAACATAACACATGTTGCACTCTGCAACAGTATCTTGTCTCAGGATCTGCAAGAGACTTGTTTGCACAAAGTGAGATGCAATTTGTCCCATCCCCCAATTCCCCAAGTTTTCTTTCTCGTTCCCAGAAACAGTGAAAATAGAATCTCTAAGAACAGTGAACAGAAGACCAGACTGATTCAAACTATAGCATATTCTGAATGAGGTTCCAGTGCTGTGATATGAGGCTGTACTCAAGTAAAGTATTTTTTAAAAAATTCACTTTTAAATGTTTTCAACATGCAGTATGCTAAGTAAGACCTGCCATACGTATGCAGAAACGTGCAGTGTCAGCAGGTCTGAGGTGACATCAACAACAACAAGATTACATTTGTATAGCGCCTTTTACATCAGGAGGACGTCCCAAGGCGCTGGACAGTGTACAGCATTTCAGACCCGAGCTGGGGTCGGGGGGGGTGGGGGTGGGGTGTGGGTAAGGGAGGGGAAGGGGGGGGGTGGCCGGTGGCATGGTCGAAGAGGAGGGTTTTGAGGCGGAACGTGAAGGAGGCTAAGGAGGGGACAAGGCGTAGTGGTTGGGGGATGGAGTTCCAGAAGTTGGGGGCAGAGTGGCTGAAGGCTCTCCTGCCAATGGTGGGGCGGGTGGGTCAGGGGACGTGGAGCAGACCAGAGCCGGCTGAGCAGAGGTAACGGGTGGGTTGGTAGGGGGTTAGGAAGTTGCAGAGGTAGGGTGGGTCGAGGCCATAGAGGGCTTTGTATGTGAAGACCAGGATCTTGAACTGGATCCTCTGAAGGATAGGGAACCAGTGGAGTCGGGCGAGAATGGGGGAGATGGGGTCACGGAGTTTGGTGCAGGAGAGGACACGGACTGCAGAGTTCTGGATTATCTGCAGTCTGTGGAGGGAGGAGTTGGGAAGGCCGACAAACAGGGCATTTGCGTAGTCGAGCCTGGAGGTGATGAAGGTATGAACAAGAGTTTCAGCGGCCTGAGGAGTGAGGTAGTGGCGGAGTCTGGAGATGTTATGGAGGTGAGGGAACGCAGAGTGGGTTATGGCTTGAATGTGGGGGAGAAAAGACAGTTGAGGGTCGAACAAGACACCTGGGTTCCTGACTAGGTTGGTGAGCTGTAGTGTGCAACCATGGAGGTTGATGTTACCAGAGCCTGAGATGCTGAGGTGCTGTCGTGAGCCAATCAGGAGGGCCTCAGTCTTGTTCACATTCAACTGTGGGACATTTGCCCTCATCCAGGACTTGATGTCCGACAGGCAGTCTGTCGGGACAGCAGTGTTCCTGGAGTTGAGGGTGGAGGCAGAAAGATAGAGTTGGGTGTCATCCGCATACATATGGAAGTTGACCCCATGTCTGTGAATGATGTCACCAAGATGGAGCATATAGATGTTAAAGAGGAGAGGGCCAAGCTGTACACCATCACACTGTCCAGTTACTATTTGTGGAGCAAAGTGCCAGCCAAGAGTCACAGCAAGCCTGTCTGTCCGGGTATAAAGATAGGTCTGAGTAACTATGCTGTCTGCCTGAAGACTATTTCCAAAAAAACTAAATATTTGTGGAATATATTGAGGGTAACTGATAAAAAGGTAGTCTTCCTACAGGCTACAGTTCATGTAAATGACGAGATGTGTGTTACCACTGGGACTGGAATAATCCAGCATATTTCTGCTGGTGGTAAATGTCAGTCAGTGCTGCTTCTACTGGAGATAAGCCAGTTTCCACCTGGGTTAAGAGTAAAAAAGGACTATTAGCAGTTTCCAGTTTTCCCAACTCTTGGCGTTAGCAGATGGAAGCT